CCCTGTTATGAATCTCATTCTCAGTGTGAGATACTAATTTGATGTCTCACTCGATTAAATTACCTTACTGTTGCAACACTGTACTGTGGTGTCGTGGCCACGAGAGGACTTCCAAGTTTGCATTTAGGAATCAACACTGCAAAAGTAATTCTTCTGGTGCATCCTCTCTGCGTGCTTTATAGATGGCTGATGCGTGACAACCACATGAAAGTTCGCACCCTATACCCACCATTTGTGGCTGCCGTCGAGCGCTATTTCAACAAGCTCATACCACTTGTGGCTGACCTGCAGGCAAGTTCCATGCATTGCGTCGTTGACCAACGTGGCCTCACATTGATTTGATCGTCACTCACACATGTGAAACAGTTCTGCAGAAACAAGATGTACAGTGCTGCTCAATGAAATGCAATCGAGTGAATCAAGTACGCCATGCCGGGCGCTGTGCAGCCATGGACCTGCAAACACTGGGAGTTTCACTCGTACAGGGCGCAAACCTGACTCATTTGATCGGATTTCACTGAGCAGCGCTGTAGTAGTGTTGCTACAAGTTGTAGTTGAATTCGCACTGGTCCTTTCCTCACTGCTGACTCCAAGACTATGCCACAACTGACTACCTTGCACTGTAACAGTTTAAGTTTATGTTTTCATTCTGTACTTGATTTTTCGTGACAATCTCGTAACTGACCCATGACAGTTGCTGTGTTGACCCGGACATCACAGCTCCGATTTTTCCTGGCGACGAAACTGTGGGGTGCTGTCCTGCTTTACGATGCAGTTGCTGCAGCAGTTTGAACCCGGCATATTGTGGGAAGTCAAGATCAGATGTGGTGTGCTTGGTAGCGTGGCCGAGTGGTCTAAGGCGCTGGATTAAGGCTCCAGTCTCTCCGGAGGCGTGGGTTCGAATCCCACCGCTGCCATATATCTTCTTTTTTTCTTTTTTCGGAGTCTCAGGACACTTGTTTGCTGTTTGCTTCGTTTGCTGTGTAGGCAGAGGGATAGTCCATTGTTTCACGACTGTCCATTCGGGTTTTTGTTTTGTATCGGGGCATTCGTGTTGGCACCAGTGTGTATGTTTTTGTCCTGTCTCGTCCTTGGATAAGCTTCATTCGAAGAAGAGACGTAATTCTGTTTCGACTAGGGACCAGAAGGGAAATAGCCCTGGGTTACATGTGGGGATGGAGTATTGTGAACACATGTAGCGTATGATTGACCGTATACGTGCTTGCTTTCTCTTGCCATGGCCTCTGTTCTAGTGCATGGCATGTAATTTGTTTGTCCGTGATACTTGCAGCTAACGTGCCGTGCCTTTTTGTATTCTTACAGTGTCACCGGGGTGGGCCTATCATTGCTGTTCAAATCGAGAACGAGTATGGCTCGTTTGCTGCGGATGCAAACTACATGAGGTATTTGGAGAAGGTATGGATAACTGCTCTTTCTCTGTCTGCCGCTTTGTCTCTGATCTTAGTATGGTTCCAGCGTGGTGGAGGTTGTAGGTGGTCTGTGACTCCAATGATTACTACAAGTGCAAGTTTGCTTATCGTCTGGCTGACCACTAAGCTGAGGTTGTACTCGACTTTCTTCTAGTGCCGTAAAATCCTGCCCGAGGTCTGTCTCTTCAAAGTGTCCCTCCTTTGTGGATCGCCTGGGAAAGGGAGGACCTTGGCCGTATCCCGACCTGAGCCTGCAGTGCTGAACTGCCTGCAAGTGTACTGTATTTTGTACACTCTGACCTTTAGTCAGGCTTGAGAATGAACCTCAACAGTGTAGACACAGCACCTACGACGACTTGAAATGATTTAGTATTGTTGTACCTGTCTGCCCAGGCAATGACATCACGTGGCATAAAGGAGATGCTGTTCACATCCGACAACATGTGGGGAACCGGCCTGAAGAGCCACTTGCTTCCTGACAGTGAGTGCTAGCTGTATTGCCGCCGCCGCTACTACTCCGGCTGCCAACGCTGCTGCCACTGTTATAATATTGCTGCTGCTGCTGCCACTGTTATTGCTACTGCTGCTGCTGCTGCTGCTATACCTTAGTACACATCTAAGGCAGCAGTTTGGTGTTGTGTTCTGTGCAGACCGTGTGCAGTTGACAAACTTACTCTAACCCCTGCAATGATGCCGACTGTATAAAACACACAGTACATGACTGGATAGATCGAGCATAAAGTTAGAGCTGGAGAAGCGTGCAATCTGAGCATGGGCTCAAGTATGCTAGCATTGGCTTTAAGCTCTGACCTACATCTTTCTGCTGCGTCATTGACGTCAGAAGACCCCAACTTCGTCGGCTACCGAATGCATCAGTACATGTGCATATGTCCATGCATGTGCACTCATGCTTCTGTGTGCATTTGAACATGTTTGGATGTCCTGTGTGTGGGTGTTTGCGTGTTGGTTATGTGATATGGTCTGTTCTCCCACTAATAGTTCTTCAGACGGCCAACTTCCAGAAAGAATGGAAAGAGAATATTGACCTTCTGAAGGTCATTCAGGTGATGTTTGAATATACATGTAACTTGAAACGGTCTTTTCTTTCCAATTTAAATAGTGTTATCCCCTCTCTCGTTCTCTCTCTCTCTCTCTCGCTCTCTCTCTCTCTCTCTCTCTCTCTCTCTCTCTCTCTCTCTCTCTCTCTCCTCACTATCTATCTATCTATCTATCTCTGTGCATGCCCTTCATTTTGCAATTGGTACTTTTGGAGATGTATTGAGTTGTTTTTTTGTATTTGTTGATGGTTTCCTTCTGTATTTCTATCCTGTTTTCATCTTCTTTTCTCACACATGCTGTCTCGTCTTTTCCATTTCCTATATTTGTTGAGCAGCCGAATCGTCCGCTGATGGCTATGGAGCTGTGGTCTGGCTGGTTTGATCACTGGCACGAGGAAAGCCACCACACAACCAAGCCGGAGGAGCTTGCCGACACCGTCGAGAACATGATCAAGAACAACATGTCAATTAATTTCTACATGTTTCATGGTGAGAGGTGTACCATGGTTTTTCATTTAGCTGGAGCTTCACCAATTTTTTAACAGTCCTATTCGAACCAAAGAATAATATTCACCTGGGTCTAAAATGACTGCATTCATGTATTGCGTGTGTCCGTTTGGTGGGCCCTGGTGGGAGAAGAAGTACTCCACAATCTATCAAAGCCATCTTTGTTTGGGACAATTACGGGCATGCCACCATGTCAATCTGGTGTACTCAGCCATCATGGACTATTGTGTAAGTCATAGTCTGCTTGCCGCTACTGTGTTGCCATAGGTGGAACAAACTTTGGCTTCATGAATGGTGCGAATGATGGCGGAAAACACGATGAAGACTACATGGCGGATGTCACAAGTTATGGTGGGTACGGCTGACGTTATGTGGTCACACGCCAGCTCGTATTGTCTTGCAAGCAACCGTGTGTGTGTGTGTGTGTGTGTGTGTGTGTGTGTGTGTGTGTGTGTGTGTGTGTGTGTGTGTGTGTTTGACTTACCGTCTCCTGGTGACCATTACCGTTTTTAGTTTGTTGAGCAGACAGAAAGGATACTCATTGGTTTGAGGGAGTTATAGCAGAGCTCTCATTAGATCTTTGAGGAGTGAAGATGCAGAACTCTTCAGTTTTCGTTTCAGAGAAGGCAGTGGAAATCTGTTGCATTGTTGGCATGGTGGTACAGTTTGCTGCTCCGAAGCAAGTAATACCTAAGGTGATTTCCCCATACCAAAATGCCTGACCATGCTGCTCGAGCAGACTTTGTTAGATGTGGCTTTTCTTGATGAGCTGACCAAGTCTCGGTATCTTTTCTATAACAGTCTTTTGCTGTGGATTCTTGTCAAGAAGTTCTTCAGCAAAACAGTGTATCAATGTTTCATTTCATGCTATGCCTTGGTTCTTGCCTGTTTAGACTATGATGCACCGTTGAGCGAGTGGGGTGCAACGACACGCAAGTTTGACCTTGTTCGAGATGTAATCAAGCGGCTTGTGCCAGGTGCAGGTAAGAGAGACAGACCAAAGCATATTAGGCAGACGCTTGCTTTCCACACCAGCAAAAGTTAATACTAACTGATACTTTTTTCAATGGATCAGTCGGGGAATTTGAATATCTCCCAATCCTTTCGAAAAAAATTATACTATTTTATCTCTACTTTAGGCACAGTCTCTAATGTAAGTACACATTGTATCCCCTTCGAAGAGCTCTTAGCGCCGTCTCCAGTACAAGCCCGGGCTATGTATCGTGGAACAGTATATGGATCATGCATGCATGCACGCACCACCACCACCACCATGTATACGCCCGTCGCAAGAGAAGCACGCAAATCTGCAAATGCACTGGATGTGCACCCACAGATTTTCTCTTACAGCAACGATAGCGAGCAAGATCTGAATGAGACAGATCAAGACTTGCGCCAGATAACTGTCTAATCCACACAACTGGCGAAGCCATGTGAATCGACCACCAATGCACACCTGGTCTACACCACACGGAGTACATCGGCATAAACCGGCCAAGACAGTTACCTATGCACACCCTACACTTGCTGGGGTAACCAGTATAGACAGCACGCTGCTTTGATAGAAGCAGACACTAGATGCACTGGTACCTTGAAGTGAAATTGGAGTTACTTTACCAACCAGCCTCGGCTACTGAGTACTGGGAACCCAGAGCCAACAGACATACCAACAACCTCAGCCATGAAAGCTATATAGTAACGACACACTGGATTGTGGAGCCGAAACTAGTCCAACTTCCAAATGCTTTGGCAAGAAGGTAGCTTTCCGACAGGTTGGGCACACACACACACACACACACACACGCACGCACACACACACCTTTGCAACATCATACCTACATGTACATGTACACTGAATGTATCCTAAGCTGACAAGCTTGGGATTTCTTATCCAATGTGTGCCAGAATTCTGGGACTGTGTATGCCCTTACATTCACCGGCATACCTTGTGCCAATTCTGCCTGTGTGTTGTTATTGCAGAGTTTCCAGCATTACCTGATCCACTGCCTGTCAAAAGCTATGGTACGTACATCCATGGAAGTATATTCTTAGTTCTTTGAATATTGTCTTAAAAGCTTCAGTGACAATCTCGTGATTTTTGTATCAGAGTGTGTGCGTGTGTTCTCTGGTTACTGGTGTCGTTTGCAGGCCAGGTGGAAATGCACTTGTGCCTACCTCTGCTGGAAGCCTTGTCTTATCTACCAGTAAGTCTTGCCATCCCTCAAAGATCATCATCTTGTCTGCTACAAGCCTGCACCATCACTTCAAGTGCATGTACAGTAGTGGCAAGCTGGCAACTGAAATCCGACCACAGCTCGGCACACTCACATTTCAAACACCGAGCATGCGCTTGTACACTACCAAATAGAGACCGCTAGAATCGGTGCCGCAGTCGAGCATGAACATCAGGGGTCACATTTCAGTTTCCACCACTGTGCTTGGAAGCACAATGATCACATGAACAGTAGGTCCACAAGAAGTGGCAATGGGTTTGAAGGAGGTGTGTTGCTGTGGGGGCACGTCACTTTTTTCCTGTGAAGCCTTTTACTTTTTCTTTCGCAGTTAGCCCTTTATCGTGCCACCTTGTTTCCTGCCTTGTTCAACTCACAATGGTACCCATTGCAAGGGCTTGGCCGTAGCAGCTTCATCTACAAGGGTGGGTGGAAGACGGCAACCTACTTTTATATAAACCCGTCTTAATTTGTTCTGCCCCTCTGCTGCAGAAACCAACAGAGAGTAAAACCCTGCGGCCCATGGAGATGCTGAATGTCAACGAGAAAAGCGGCCAGGCATATGGCTACGTGCTGTACCGCACTATGATGTCCGGTGAGACGCGGAAGCTACGGCTGAGCGACGTGCATGACTGGGCTGCGGTGAGTGATTGGATGGGCGCGCCTGTCTGCTCCTGACCTGACCACCGTGTTAGCCACAGTGGTGATACAAGAGCATCAAGTAGTACTCTTTTTTTTGTTTTTTTTGTTGTTGAAGTGTTTGGCCCATGCTACTAACCAGGGCGTACTAAAAAACAGTTTTTAGTACTCCCTGCTGCTAACTCAGCCATGCAAAGTCAGATCTCTGGGCCAATACATCACATCTCTAGTCCAGTTTAGGTTTGTCTTCTTTGTCTTCTTTGTCCTGTATTGTTTGTTTGCTTTTGCCTGAGGAGTGCACACTCTGTAGACTGTACTGAGCATGTGCGAGTTGATGTGCTTGCACTGGTATCTGCATTCGGTGTGTTTTTTGGATCGTAGGTGTGTTTGTGTGCGTGCGTGCGTGCATGAGTGTGTGCGTGCGTGCGTACGAGCGTACGATCAGCTTGATAGCTGATAGCAATAAGCCCAGTGCGCAATGACGTAATTTGTACCATAAGCACCCCACACAGCCACCTGGTCATGGTCGTCTGGGGGTGTTGAACAGTACATTCCTGATCCCAGTGTACTCACATGCATTACTCATACCTTCCATATTTGGCAATGCGCAATGGGCTTATTATGTTGTTTTTTTTTATTTTCGGACAATTCAATGTCTTCTTGCTGCCATGTGTGCCCCGCAGATCATAGTGCCCGGTGAGGAGACATTGTACATGGAGCGCTTCAAAGGTGCTACGTATGACCTCAAACCCAGCAAGGTATGTGGCTGGTTGGTCCTCTCACCTATACCCGCTTTGTGTAGAGCTACTGAAGCATCTGTGAGGTATATCCAGTGGCATTCTACACAATAATGCCGTAAGAGGTTTAACTCTTGCAGCATTATTGTGTTAAAATTCTGAAGTGGGGCGCGTTTAGCAAAGTACCGAGAAAGAATCCATCGTCAACTCAAGAAACCTACCTCTACCGTATTCTTCTCTCCTCTGTACTAGTAATAGAATAGATGGCTGTTTGCTGGCAGGAATCGGTAGAATTTGTGTCCCAAGGTGGGAAAAATTGGAGCAGCCTCATGCCAACCAAACATTACTCCAGAAACAGAGTGCATTTATGTGAAAAGTGTGCCAAACTTGGTTGCATTCGTCAAATGTGTACGAGTCTCTTCGTATGGCACAACGAGTGCATGCCAAATGCCACCCGAAAGCGTATGCACGTGATCATTTTGGACAAAAAGCGAGGTTCTCGCCAGGTTTCATTGGCTGCTCTGGCCTCGAGGCCAGACAAAACAGAACATGTTCTGGCCGATACAGAACGGGTGCGGTCCCAACCAAACTCACGGTTCTGGTGTTCTGGGTTGTACCAAACCGAACACACTCTTACAGTATATCAACGTCCTTCAGAAGTAAGCAATGTGATATTTAGCTACATCTCGTGCAATCATGTGACACTTTCCTGCCACTCTGTGCTGTGCTGTACCGTTCTTTGTAGAAACACAAGCGACATCTCAACTTGCTAGTGGAGAATATGGGTCGTGTCAATTACGGCGAAGCACCGCTAACATCACGAAAAGGTAGATCACTGTGGTGTGTTGCAAGCCTTTCTCTTCTGTTTCCTCATTATGGTCACCTTCCTTGTGATTGTTGTTGTTGTTGTTGTTGTTGTTTGAATTCTTTTATTCTCACGATGGCCTGTGGCCAATGAGAGTTGTTGTTGTTGTTGTTGTTGTTGTTGTTTCGTAGAACTCTAGTGCCTTTGACTACGTGTAGTTTGGGGCGATGCGTGAGTGTGTGCTTAAGAGTGGCATGCCCTGTGGTGACTACTAGTAATAGGCCTTGCGCTTCTTGTCTCTACTGTTACCTTGTTCAAGTGTGCTCGGTAATGCGCACACACACGAATATGGTCGTGTGATTATGCAACTGTGTCATCTGCTGCTATCAGGTATTCTTGGCAATGTGTGGGCTGATGGTAATGTGGTGTCGGGATGGACAACGTACTCCATCGAGTTCAAGCCAGACTTCCTGTCCAGGTATGGAAGTGTTGTGGGCATGTCTTTGGGCATCTTCATCGCCTGTACTCATCCAGATACGTACTTGCTTTACCCCTATTTACTTTAGTAGGTGTGGAGAGAGAGAGAGAGAGAGAGAGAGAGAGAGAGAGAGAGAGACCGAGAGAGAGAGAGAGAGACCAAGAGACAGACAGACAGAGAGAGAGAGAGAGAGAGAGAGAGAGAGAGAGAGAGAGACGCTGAAAAGAATAACTTTGATCACTGCAAGTAGTCAGTTATTGTATTTGCCATGCTAGAAATATGCAATATTACTCATAGAATATTGAAGTTATTCGGAAATTAGAAATTTCAAATTTGCATGGCATTTTCGGGTTCGATTTATCGCGATTCCACATGTATAATTGTTGTTGTTGTTGTTGTCGTCCTCTGGTCACTGTAGTATTAGTTCAGGTGGTCAGTGGGAACGGTCACCACCACCGGTACGCTCTGGACCTACCCTGTACAAGTCAAGCCTTCGCATTGACGGCGAGCCAGCAGACACATTCATTGACCTGAAGGTAAGGCAGGCATAGTCAGCGTGTGTACTGCTTACTATGTTCATTACTACTAAGTATTGCTTGTAGATTGTTTACCCCTTTGTACTGCTGCCCTCGGTTGAGGTGACATGATGTAGACTTGGTGCAGGTACGTGCTTGCCCTTTCTTCTGACTGCTGCGCGATGCTGTGTGGTGTTCAGGCGTATGTTGTGTGGTGTTTATCATTCTCCTTACTGGTTGTGTTCCATTCTGTGGTGCATGCTAGGGCTGGAGTAAAGGTGCCGTCTTCATCAACGGTATCAACTTGGGTCGCTACTGGCACGTTGGACCGCAGAAGCGTCTGTACGTTCCCGCACCATTCCTGCGCAAGGGAATCAACACCGTGAGTTTCTATTCCCTGCAGCCAGCCTGCATCACTGCTGCTTTTGGTGTGCAAGATGATTTTCTTGATAATGTGTAGGCAGGTGAGCAATGTTTCACCAAATAATGGTATGCAGAAGCCTGGGCACAAGTTGCTATTTTTATAATTATTCATAAAATAGAAAGTTTTTTTTCCGCTTTTGTTTTTCCTCCTGCTTACAGGTTATCATATTTGAGGTGCAGCAGGCACCAACAGACTTCATGGTGACTTTCTCCGACCAGCCAGATCTTGGATGAGAGTAGAACTTTTAACCACCTCCGTGTGCCGCTGCAGGACAGAAGGCGAAGCTTGATGGCCGACGGTCGAACTTGCCGAAATTCTGGGAGTCAAGGAGGGTTCTCTGATGATGGATATTGCTTGCACAAGCAGCCTTGACAAAGGCCTACATTGCACGTTACATGTATTGCTCATCCATTCCTGAAAGAAGCGTTTATGATATTTTTAAAGTTTAACCTATCCCCTCTAACCATTCTAACCAAATAGGCGTATTATAGATTCAATGAAAGCGATATCTCATTTTTTAGACTGTTGATGCTAGTAGTAGCGTTATGTAAGAAAGGCGATCAAATTATGGAATACACCATGCGAAATTAAGCCTTGATTTCTTGAGCAGCGCTGGAAATTAAATGTTCAACATCAATCATGATTGTACAATGTACGTATAAGTTCTGGTGAGATGAGAAAGATGTTCTATACAATTTTTTTTAATTTGTTGCTCAACGGTTTGCTTTGTCAGTGCTCAAAAGAGATACCAAATTTGTGAAAAGCACCAATAGTCTCTCCCCTACAAGGTCGGATAACTTTTGTTGCTTGTGGTATGTGAAGATACACACTAACCAAATGAGTATATCAATTCATGCTATATAAAAGGAGTAGTTTCAATGTTTACTTTAGTATGTGCAGGGAACAGAAGAATAAGACAGATAATAGCTCTCCCATGAAGAAGAATGGGAGATTTGATGGTACACACACACACACACACACACACACACACACACACACACACACACACACACACACACGTAAGCACGCGTGCGCACACACACACACACGCACGCGCACACACACACGGTTATAGCAAAGATTGTCTTGGCTGTTGGCAGCATCGCTCTAACCACTGCTACCGCACTCAGTGGCGCTAACTGGCATCCTCTTCAGCAGTTGCTGTTGGTGCATTGTTGTCGCACTCATCTGTTTGTGGATTATCTACAGCTGAGAGCTGCGCTGAGTCTCCATTCGAGGCTGCAGTAGCTGCACTGTCACTCCCATTCTGCAGCCCTACTTCATTCTGTACTCTTGCTATCAGGTCATCATCATCCTGACTGAAGCTTAGCCTACGCTTTCGCTCCGCTGGCATTGCACTTGCCGCGGTGTCTTGAGCAGGAAACAGCATGGACTGGTCACCAATGGCAGCGCTTGCCTCTGCTGCTGCGGCTGCGCGGCCCTTTTTCTTCTTCTGCTTCTTTCTCTCGGCATTGGAAGACTCGTTGTGGATGCCCTCCACTAGCTTCCCTTTCCACACGTCTTCCGGCACGTTCTTGGCCCACTCCGGTACAGCGGTGTCGGGCAGTGAAAATCCAGACATTAAACTCTTGATCTTATCCGCTTGATCTGAAATACAGTCCAAACAACAGTCCACAAGAGACACACAGCCACGTCCATATAGCAAGTTCCATATCACAAGAAGTCAGGCATTGCTTCATTTAATATTTTCGTCAAAAATTAGGGAAATGATCCTGGAAACAAAAAAATGTAATGAGACTAATGAATAGAACAAGCTTCGGGCTCTTTACAGCCAACATTTCAGATTTCCACAAGCACTTTCATTGCCTTCTCTTCAGGTTGATACAGGCAGAAAAAGAAACTAACCAGTAAAATGCTCGTACAGTCGACTCCTGATCTAACAAACACCATTGTGCAGGAGAATTAGTTCTTTATAGCCGAATTTCGTTACAACCGAAATACGCTCACACTATAAGCAGCAAATCAAGACTGACAAGTGCCCCATGACGGTATGACTGCACTTGGTTTACATGCAGCCCTACAGGATTTGGTTCGTTATAAACGAGTTCGCTAAAATGGGTCAATTTTGTACTTAGTATGGCTTCAAACAGGGACATGGCCAATGGTTCGCTATATCATGAAATTCACTATGTGCGAGTTCGTTATAAGTGGAGTTGACAGTACACTCAGACGTCTCTTATCCAGGCACCTCGGGACCGGGCACTGCCCGTATCTCAAATTTGCCCGTATCTCAGGATAACTCATCTACCATGTATCATAATCATTTTTGAAGAAGTTTATTTGGCACATATTGCACATGTTCAGGTTACAAAAATAATCCATGGATAAAAATGTGTGGATTACAGAGGTTGGCAGTAACAAATAAGCACTTGTGCATTCGGAAAAAAGTTCAAACCCCCAAATTCGAAGCATTTTTGCCATAAAAACTCAAGCTGAAGGTGGCCGGTAGAGAGACGTGCCCGTATCTGAGGCGTCCGGATAAGAGACGTTTGAGTGTATACCCTACAGGTGATATAAGCAGCAGGAGGTGATAGCGAAATGCTTCGCTGTTCAATACTGCTGCACATTGCTCTTCATAGCTCATACCTGTCTCCATTGGTGGTACTGCCGCTGCTGCAGCAGCAGCTCCTTCGGTATTGTCTGCATCGTCTCCATCCTGATACGTATACACAAGCAAGTATGAACATCCATGACAAAAAAAGCACAAGAGTATTGCGACTGTTAGAAACTGAACCTACCAATTGAACTTTTAGAGAAGTCGGTCCTTTCCACACGCAAACATGAAATACTTTGCACAGTAAATACTGAATAGTTGAGTTTGCTTTCACAATGAAAAACAATTTTAGAGCCAGTATTACTAATGCACAGAACGCATAGGCTACGATGAGTTTGGCGGCTATAAGAAGTTTAAGAACACATTGTCTACTAGGATGGCACATTGAGGAAGGAAAATTTGGTAGGAGTTGTGGCTGAGGGTTCACCAATGTCAACAGATCACATATAATCAGATACTGTAGTGAGACAAACTGTCAGAGAGCACTGAGACATTCACCGATCTGATACCAGTCACCGCATCACCCCCATCACAAACGTATTTTATCGGCTATAGTAATCATGTCGAAAGCTCTCCGCTCCATGCATTATCTCAATTTATTTTTCGTGTCATTTCAACAGATATGTAACACACGGAAATTTGTACGAGCTGTAGTGCGTGATGAAGTCCTGGCTTCTTGCCAAAAGAAGCTGTGCAGTGATCAGTGGTAGATGTGGCTGAAATTGCTCATTGCAAGTGTATTCATGGTTTCAGAGACAGCCTCAGTGAACAGGATAGTCCGGTGTCGTTTGAGACCATGCTAACGTGCCTGGGCAGAGTGATACCCAACTTGCATAGATGATTTGTGTGCATATCGCCTACTGAAAGTCAACAAATATTCGGCGCATATTTATTTTCGGCCTGTTCATATTTGGCCGAAAATTTGTTGCAGCCGAAATTTTGTTTTGCAAGGTTGAGTGTGACAGTGCATACAATCAGCAGCAATGCAGGCCGAAAATTTGATGCTGCTGAAATGTGTTTTAGCCCTGGGAGGCTGAAATTTGAATGGGCCAAAAATGTGTAGACTTTACAGTGCTGCTCAATGAAATCCAGTCTTGTCACTCAAGTTTGCGCCTTGTATTGCACCATTTCGCAGCCCAGTGTTGTGCAGGTCTTGGGCTGCGCAACGCCCAGCGCGTACTTGAGTGACGCGTCTGGATTTCATTGAGCAGCCCTGTAGTAATACATTTGCCTATGCCTGGTGATTGTGCATAACGTGAAACTCAGAGTTGCAACATAGCTTCTTTCTTTCTCTCTACTGACTGTACTGCCTTATTCAAAACTCCACGAGCCGGCCAGGTTACGCTCTACATGTACCAGGTGGTAATGTACAGGAACGACGTACATGTACCTGTGCCGTGCCCCGAATGGCGCAATTGTTCACTACCGTTGGTGCCAGGTAAAATCAAACATACCTGGAAGTTTGTAACGCTGAAATCCTGATCGTGGATTTCAATTGGTTTCACTGTATGAAATGTACTGTGAGTGTAAGAAAGCGCCTTCGCCATTCAGAGTAATATACACATACGCGTATTTACAACTAACTGACTGCTCACGTAACACGAACAGCATGAAAGTAGTCATGTTGTCTCATGACATCAGAGCTGTTGACGTACATGTAAATTAAAATGCTTCAATATCAGAAACTTGCTCCAGTATGGTCACTAAAAAAATGCACATCTTGCCTCATCCGAGCTTTGCGCCAATGGTTCATATCCAGATGGAGCGAAGTCATCTTCATCATCATCTTCTCCTTCATCATACCCGCTGCTACTATCACTCAGGTCTTTATCAACGAGGTCGTCTTCTTTGGTGGCCATAATTTACAACAGATTTATAATACTACTAGCACAAATTAATAATTGAGTCACTGGATGAAAGAGGTGCTGCTCAAACTACTAGTGAGTTGTGGGTTTCTTTCTGATCAATGGTATACACTGCCTCTTGGTCACAGAGGATCGATATGACACAGAGCACAAGGAGCAAAGACGTCTTCGCTTTCGCAGAAGTTCGGGCTTTTCAAGCAAAGATTGTAAAGCAAGTCATCTAATCAATTTTTGGACCATCAATATGTTCAAAACTTTTGATTTGTCGAGTTTCGCAGATCTACGTAAAAAAAAGACAGGTATCCCAGCAATATTGTACGAGTGCACTGCATGCACTGCACTGGGCCATACATGGGACGCGCATGCATCAGGTAACGCGCGTCCCCACGCCATTTTTTGTAGCGATAGCAACACTCAGATGATTTGGGTTGCGCAATGCTGCTGTTCCGTTTGTGGCCGATCGGATATCGATCACTCAAATCAGGGCAGCGGTGATCTTGTGCGTAGCTAGCTAGCTGGTCGCTTTTTTTTGACTTGCCAACGCGAACGCTTGAATCACATGAACACCAAAATCAACTCGAAAGTGTGCAGAAAGATATTGTAGCGCATGCTGCAATACTGCGAATAGTATTTCTCCAATCTCTCTTCGGGTTCCTCTGGCGAGTGCCTTCGCCATGTCGTGGAAGATTGCGGGAGCATGTGGTTGTGTGGCCGTATCGGCATTCGTCGGCTACTGTGTCTATTTTGATAGAAAGCGCCGCAGTCATCCGGACTACAAAAAGAATATCCTTATACGTATGTTTGAATCAATTTTTGTTTGTTAATTTCAATGGGCACCAATTGATGAGGTTGTATGCTTTCACTGGACTTTCTACAGGTCGAAAAACTGCAAAGAATGAACCTGTAAGTATATTTCCTAACACTTACACTCCAGCTTGCACACCACTATTTAATATCTTCCCCTTAATAGCTTCCATGATTTGTGTACAAAAACAGAGATCTTATTCTGATGAGAGTACTGTACTACTCAGCATGAATAACGGTGGTAACTTCAACATGTACAATTCATGTTCCATTCAGATATGAGGAGATATGTACACCTTGTATGCTATTGTGCAAATATAGACTAGTGCTTTATCCATCCATGGTGATTCTCTAGCATGTGTACATGTAGTCCCCAGGAATATTATTAATTTTGTATGGGCCTCATTTAGGCAAAAGGAAATCTTCGTGCTTTCAAGCCTCTGAGACTTTTGTACATCAAATAATTATACCACCCTTTTATACAAACATGATGTACAGTCAACTTCGCTTATAAGGACACTCGGTGGGGCCTCAGAAAGGTGTCCTTATTCGCGAAGTGCCGTTATACCCGAAGTCTCATTATATGTATTACAGTGGGATGGGACTTCGCTCTGGGCATGGAAATTCTGTCGTTATTCGCGAATTGTCGTTATATCCGCAGCAGTCGTTATTAGCCAAGTTGACTGTACTACACACTACTCTTATGTGTATACGTGTAGTATATACTGTCACACAACCTCGGCTTCGCTTCGGTTTGTGTTCAGTTTATATTCCACGTATAAACCTAAGAATGGACTCGGATGGAGAGCCAAGGACAAATTTATAGAAAAGAAAAAGGACCAAGGAACTACAAGTATTAGGCAGTATAATACATACAGAAGTATCCCCATACGAACATCTATTCCAGAGTCAACGCATACCTGCTGTATTCATGTTGAAAGTTGCCCGAGCTACCTTAGTCCTGTCTCATATAGAAACCTGCAAAGTTTCCCCAAAAAAGTCATATAAGCCGCAGCTTTTATACACGACTTTACGGTATTATTATTATTGCAAATAACGCTGAGTAAATACGCTATGTATAAAAACCAGCATTTGTCAAGTGGAAGGAAGAATGAGGAACGAGCAGGGTTAATGAGGTGCCTATACTCATGCAACTGCAGAATAGGCAAAGCAGAAAATATCACAACAGTTCTAAAAATACACGAACGGTCAACAATTTATCAACAAATACAATTTGATAACCTGCTCAGGGAATAATTTACTTTCCAAAAAAATCTTTAGCATAGTAATTTTTCTATGCAAAATCAAACTTGAATAGCAATTCGAAAATGTTGCATAACAAATTTCTTCAACACTTGACAACATTGTCCTTCTGGAGAGCTGATCAGAGTGCAAGCTCAGACCACAATTACACTGTGACACCTTAGTTGCAAGCCCATCCTGGTGCCAGGATGCCTGGCTCAGCACTTTCGAAGCTGCGTGCATCTATTTCAACCCTAAGAGACACACCTGGCATGTACGCTGTGCATCATAGGGGGTACAGTGAAAAATCAACTTGCATCGCAGTTTTCTGCAACACATATCTGAAGTTAGTTCGCAATTCAGAAGAATTACGTACCAAGCTGCGATGCGATACAGGTTAAATTATTCCCTGCTGCTGAGTACTGTACTGTATTCATGATACATGTACAGATAGTTGACGTACAGAGTGTCAAAAGTTGCGGATATAATACGAGTAAACATAATTATTGTACTATTCTACTAATAAACTACAGCCGAGAACTACGAAGTCGAAAGCTACACAAGAGGAAACCATTGGGCACATATAGACAAAGTTCAAATACAAAATACTCGAAAATAGTACTTGTGTGGCAAAATAGCGGAACAAATAAGGCAGACTCAAACATTCCAACATTCTGCAGCTGTTGCGTTGCCGGTGTTGTGGTGGCAGTTCTGATGCAGTCGACCTACCCTTATAACGACATTTGCGTCAGACCGAGAAAATTAATATAAGGGTAACTGGTTCATTTCATACATGTACGTCACAATGCATGGATTTTGTTCATTTTTTACACTCTTCATAGCATAAAAAACTGACGTACATGCGCATTATATGTGCAGCAAGGTGCCCACTGGTGCCCCCATTGTATTTCAACATGTCCCAGCGACTTATCAAGTGAAGCTTGCCCTACCTGGATAGTGGGCTCTATATATTCCCTGCTAGATATTGTTATAAAATGGAAAATGTCGATTGGTCAGCCCATTTTATATCGTTATAGTGGTAATATCGTCATAGCAATATTGTTATAGAGGTAAGCCATTGTATACAAAAGTCAATGGAGTGATTTGGTTTGGAAGAAAAATATCGTTATAAGGGTAGGTCGACTGTGCTGAGGTCGTACATGTCTTGGAGCTCGGCTAGCAGCCGCCAACCAGTCAGCGCAACCTCGACCACACGCTCACTTCAGCTCTATGCCCGTGTTGACGGAGCTCCGGGCAACCAACAAGCCGAACAGCTGCAAGTCGCGACTCCACACTGATCGTCAATGAGCTCTCATCCCTCGCTCCATTCCCTTCTTCACTCCGTTTGATGAAAACGTTCATTCTCCCAAGGGAGAGCGAGGAGAAACGTTACTTCTCCACTCCAACAAGATAGAACAAGATGGGCGTAGTACGCGTTTAAATTGCACATGCAGCCTCGGCATACAACATGTACGAAGCTGAAAAGCTTTCACAGGTTTGAAGGAAAGATGCAAACGGGAAAAGTCTGAAGGCAAAAATTGCTGTCACCACCAGGACGCCTTTCTTATATAAGTTATGAAAATCGCCGAAGTCGCTACCACTATCTAGTAGTAAATGAAATTATGCATAAATTCGAGCGTACCTTCTTCTTACAGCCTGATATTCACTATTATTAAACTGTGTTTTCTGCTGTGTTCAGGATGTCGGAAGAGAAAAGTTTTTCATGCAGGAAGTCAAGCAAGCTGAAGACTGCTTAATGCAAGGTGAGAGCATCTTACACTGACAGCAACACACAGAGTCAGATTCCAGCAGCCAATGCTACATACCGCTCCATGAAATCCAGTTGTGCCACTCAAGTACCGTAAAGTACCGTTGATCCGCCCCCTGTCGATGTTCTGCCTGTGAAGCGACTTCGGCGTATACAACAAAATACCATGTTGAACCGACGCATGCCCTGCTGTACACAATACGTGCCAGTGCAGGATGAGAAAATGTGCACAATCCAGCACATCGAGTCCGATCTTCCACATTGTTGTACACTGTACTGCACTTGACAGCCTTGATCTAATTCCCGCCCCCTGCCGACATAGCGTGGTGGAGGGGATCAACGGTACTAGTCTTTATGGTACACGCCGGGCGTTTCGTAGTCCTAGACCTGCGAACACTGGGCTGCGAAATGGTGCAAGGCGCAAGCTTGGGTGACGTGACTGGATTTGATTGAGCAGCACTTTGGCTGTAGAAAGCTTTGAGACGTTGAGAATTTGAGATTGTGGGAAGTTCTACGGTGTGCGTGGTGTATATTGGTTTTTTGAGTCTGCCTGATACGGTGACACCCGAATTGAAGATGAACAGCATGGTTGTTTAAAACTCTCTTTCTCTCTTTGCCTTGTAGGTAACTTTGACGATGCTATTGAGCACTTGGTGAGTGCCCTCGGCGTTACAGCCAACCCCACACAAGTGCTGGGAGCCCTGTCGCACAGCCTGCCAGCCCCGATCTTCCAGGCTCTGATCCAGAGATTGCCAGCGAGCTACCTGAGCGGTGCTGGTGGTGGTATGGGTGGAATGGGTGGCCCAGGTGGTATGGGTGGTATGGGCGGTATGCCTGGTGCCAGTGCTGGCGGAGCTGATGACTTTGATGATCCCGGTATAGACTAAAATATTTTTGTTTTTTTTGTTGAAAATTTAATAGTAATACCACGAGCGTCATGCAACCTGGCTCCACTCAAGTGCGAGCTTTGTACATACTTTTAGGGTATCTTTTCTTTTGACCTCTGTGTATTTAAGTTGTACAGCTATTCGGTTCTTTTTTATCTTGTTTGTTCTGTAAGAGAACTGCCATCGAACTGAAAGTTCAGTGATGCCTGTGCCAGGTTGTAAGCTTACTTTGTAGTGTGTGGTACGAAGTGAAATCCGTGTGTTTGAAAGAAGTGAGTGTGATGCCTTGTAGTCACCCCACACGTGGGCACTTTGCAGTGCAGCTGTGCTCTTGTGAGAAATAGACCACTGTGTCCAGGAATGAAAGCTGAGTGATTGACTGTAGAACACGAGTGGACTGTGTGGTAGGCTTGATGCTTTCATCTTGTGCTGTACTGCCACCAGGGAGGGCTGTGCTAAATGAAATCCAACCCTAAGTGCATACAACATTTGTTTTATTGTATAATTATTTGGCACCCCGGACTGGTACAAATGCAGCTGGACGTACACATGATAAGTGCAGGTTGCCAGTGGTTAACTCATGCATCTCGGATGTCATGCGCAATTCTGCGGATTGCAGAATTCAGAAAAACCCGTGGAATATTGCAGAAAAGAGAGAAAAATTGCATTTTCCTGAGACTTTTGATGTATTCACTGTTACAGCCAAACCAACCTGCCCTTGTGACTTTCAAAATCAACTTGCACGGTACATTTTGGAGCTTTCAATTTTTTCGACCAGGATTTCGCATCATTTTGTTTCAGAATTTATAGGGATAACAAACTTAGGTGGGATTGCGCAAATTCAATCTGTTTTACGCTCATTTCCCTTGCAGAATTGCCGCAGAATTTGGAAGGATTTGCAGAATTAGCGCAGAATTTACTGTTTTCAGCCGCAGAATTCTGCACGGAATTTCTGATATTCTGCCATGGAATTCACGGGGGACAGAATTCACCTAGCACAACTGTACTTAGGTCGCAACTAAAAAAGTGTAGACAGATTTAATAGTGTAGTGTGGATGAAGCGATCTGCAACATTCTTACGGCAGTCGATCATCCATTGGCAGCTTGTAAGTATCGCTAACAAGAAAAAGTCGACGAGAGCTGCATCTTCATCGCGAGCTCGTGCGTGTGTCATGCAGACTGACAAGCCTGCATACATAGTAGCTCAATGGTACTTGCTGGGTCCGCCTCATTTCTTCGCCCTGGGCCAATGAGCAATTATGTGCTCTATGTACCCAGCTCTTTGGTGGCTGTATCTCCACAAACTTCCAGAGACCCATAAATTACACACGGAAAACAACCACATGCTTTATAAATCTACCCTTTGACCGTCCCATGAGTTACCTAGGTTTGACGGGAGAAAACACCACACAGGCCAGATCAGTGTAGACCTCTCACACTAGAGAGAGGGAGAGGGAGAGAGAGAGAGAGAGAGAGAGAGAGAGAGAGAGAGAGAGAGAGAGAGAGAGAGAGAGAGAGAGAGAGAGAGAGAGAGAGAGAGAGAGAGAGAGAGAGAGAGAGAGAGAGAGAGAGAGAGAGAGAGAGAGAGAGAGAGAGAGAGAGAGAGAGAGAGGGAGAGAGCCACTCTACCAGCCAATGAGGAGTTGCAAAGAGCCAACGACGTGGAGAAAACAATAGAGAAGCTAGGATATGTTTCCAAGGTACTGCACATGCCTAGCAAAACATGTACGACTGAAGGACAAGAACGACTTGCACTATAAAAAATAAAAAATAAACAAAAAAACATGAGGAGCACACCTAGGACACACAAAGTCTGACCTTCGCAGACAAACTACAATGTAAGCAACATTAGGGGAAGCTGGTAAAGACGATACATGTAGGATTGTGTGAGGGCAGTGACAAAATAGTGTTCTTTTTAAAATTGAAAAATGCTGTAAAAGAGATAGCTGTTAGAAAATGTGTAATCGTAATAAAAATACAAGATTTGATACGGGGAAGGGGAAAAGATCACCTAGTCTATGTCCGTATATCACTGGAGATATTTTTTTTCATGCACGTTCCAATGAAGGAATGCCGTTTCTGTACAGACTCAAATCATTTTTGTTGCGCATATGGAAGAAAGCTGCCATCCGGACCACCACGAGCGGAGACCTTGTGGTGAACTGCATACTATTATAGCATGACGTCAGCCCTCACATGGAGAACTCTCTAGTGAAATCGTAGTCTATTGTGGGCATGACGGCCTGCACAAACTTGAGGAAGATGAGCAGGTATCTGGTGGTAAAGCTACGGTCAAGGACTATCAACGTGATGACATGGGTGGCAAAATCAGGCATACCCCCGTTTCAAATAACAATGTCATCAGTTCACATCCCAGGGCCTGCTGGAGAGCCGGGTCAGCCGGGTCACGCGCCCGGCTGGGGAACTGCACGACCTGGCCGAACAGATAACACCGGGTCCAGTCTGACCCGGCTGAAAAATGTCTCAAACTGACAATGGATTCCTAAAATACCGGTATTTTACGACTCGCGGACCCCATCTGTTGCAAATCTAGCACAACCGTAGATCTACACACTACAGTCTACAAGCGACAGAAACTCGGCTACAAGGGTCAACCAGGTCAACTGGGGTCAACTGGTTCGAGCGCGATTTGGCCAGCGGCGAGCAGGAAGTCAGGACATTCAAAGACGTCGATGGCCATATGGGCCATGGGGCAGGCAGTCAAAACTTTCAAAGTAACGCTTTTGACAAAAGCGTTACTTTGGCTACAGCTTTTGACACAGTTGCAAGTTTTCAGCCGACTGGTGATTTGGACGATGGAGCCCGCAGCGAAGAGAAAAAAACTGACGCTTTCCAAGACTCCTGGAAGAAAGGTCGACCCTGGCTGGACTACGACCATGCCAGTCTATAGTTTGCCTTGTTCTCTAAAATTTCCGATTTCCGGTAATAAATTCGCCTTTCTGTTTTCCTGCGTTTTGAGCAGGCTTTTTGGTTGTTTTTCTGCCGGATGATCTGACCCGGCTTGACCCGGCTGGCCTGCATGCGCCAGGTACACTCTGACCGGGCTGTGTTGAATGCCTAGAGCAGGCCCTGCATCCATGCAACCAGGTCCTCCAGAGTGAACAAACTACAGATGAACTGGTTGCAGCATAGTGACCGAGGCTATGCTACACACTTACGTATGCAAAGTACTAATTCACGTCTTTTGAAGTACAGTGGTCAGACACGTGCCCCGCAGAACAACAAGGTTGCACCCAATATCCCTTCTCCATTCGACTACGTACTAGGTGGATCAGAAGCAGGAGATTCTACTCTTGATGGTGGTATCAGGAAGATCCCCCCCCCCCCCCCTCTAGAGTAACAGAGCGCAACCTACTCATGCTAAAATAGTCTAGGCTCATTTGGTGAGGATACGAATGCACGCCAACTTCTCCGCCGCCTTCCGCAACTGTCTCGACGATCTTCTTCATTACCTCAGCATGCCTAGAACAGCAGAACGCACACACACACACACACACACACACACACACACACACACACACACACACACACACACACACACACACGCATGCACATACCAAGTGCATAAAGGTTAATAAAATGCGGAAACAAAACAGGATAGTGCAAGGGGAAAGAGCGGAGGAAAAGAACAAGACCATATCCTGTGGGCCAAACCAGAGCCATTAATTAGTGCTTCACAGTAAACGAATGTGTAATCTCTCCCACGCTGCACATCGTGTCCTGTGGGGAGGTGGGCAGCGTGACAAAAGAACGGCCGTATCCACTCCTGCCTACTCTACTACTGAAGTGTGCAGATGCATACATGAACAGTGATCACGAAATGCAGATGCACTGCTGTAATTCTAGTTACACCCCACTTACCGACAGGGATGCACAGATGCACGTGGCGGAGGCGGCAAGTGAGGGTGACTCTCCACTGTGACTGTCTTGTTTGCATGGTCCTGAACACAGACAGAACATGACCAGAATAGGAAACAGGATAGGGTCTACTCCCAGCGCAACCAGAGACGGAAGGAGAGCGCTTGCAAGGAGCGCGCACAGGAAAGAGAACATTGCAGTGCCAACAGTAGTAAACATGTGCACACGTGTTGTATAATCTACTTGTCACCGATATGCTGCACGGCGGGCTGCAGCCAAGCAGCCATGCACTCACCTGGCTAATGTCTTCGTACATCTCCTCCACGGTGAGCGGCTGATTCTTCTCATTATAACCGAACAGCCAGAGGCGCGGCGTCTGATAGTACTTGTCGTACGTAATGTGAAGGTCGTACGTACGCGTGTGCAGCAAGTTGTCGCCTGCTGTAGCGCCATCGGCAGCTGCAGCAGCTGGTTCAGGCTTGCTGAGTGTAGCCTGTAGGAGAGGAAGAGGGGAGCAAAACATACAATCATGTGTATATAAATCAGGCACGCCCGAGTAGGAATATCATCTTGAAAGGGAAATCCTGTACAAATCCAGCAGCGCTGCATCAGACACCTTGATAATCGACAGTGGTGGCACACATACAACACCGAAAAGTGGGTCTGACTAACTCTCCAACGAGCCGTGACATTTTTAAAGTCAAGCAGTGCCACTACATGCTTACAAACACACACGCACACATAGCAATGGGACCATCACAGCCTGGCACCACAAACACAGGCAGACTACCCATTCCATTAGAGACATCAAAGCAAACCACCGTAGTATCTTACAGGGTCATTCTCCTCAAGACCTTCCTCGTCATAATCTAACAAACACAGAACACAAAACAATCATGTGTGAAATTGTCACTCGACTCACATGACTAGTCTAGACTAGAGTCGAGAAGCAAAGATAGATTTCATCACACAAAACTCGATGGGCAATAGCATAGACTTACGAAGACCGTAGTACTAACACATGAGCGCATAGCCATACACACGAGCTAGCACCCCCCCCCCCCCCCCCCCACACACACACGCACACACACACATGCATGAGAACACACCTTCAATGTCTACGGCTACATCGTCATCGTCGTCGTCGTCATCAGCTGTGGCTGTTGCAGGCTGAGGGGAGAGAAGCGAGAAATGAAAAGTAAACACAAACATGCCGAACGCCAGCAGCTCAAACAGTTCCATAATATTATGGTTCCATAGGCATAAGTGAAAGGGGAAGATGAATTAAAATGGCTAAAGCCGGTGCAAAACGAACTAGTGTAACACGAAAGAACACGAAAACTACAATGCCATGGAGTCATTGACTACACCGCAATGGTTCAAGACAAAAAAAAACAGAAGAACAAAAAAGTTACCTTTGAGTCGAGGGTCAGGTCTCTAACTTTGTCGGTCAAGGCTGAGCACACATACATGCACAAGATCAGCAAAAAGAAAAAGAAAGTCAGACGAAGGTCAAACCTGGTTGCATTCTACCTTTTAACCCTTTACCATCCATGCGTACTTGAATGGATCTCTAGAGATCGATGGACATGCATACACTAAAACATTTGTTACTATCGATTTTTGTCGGAATTTAAAGAACTAGGTATCTAGGAAGAAGCCGAAGAGCCCAGCTTTCCATTACATCAATCAGTAAAGAGCTGCGATGTCGCATTCCAAAGACATTCGACATTTCAGCTTAGGCAAAAGTCGAATTTCTTTCCGAGTGACTGACCTTGAGCGGGGATTTTCCCCTCTCCTGACATGCTGAGTCACTTTGGCATGCTTTGAGCGAGTGGGCAGCATGAAAAAAACTCAAGCAAAAAATTTGGAATGTTAACGATGAAGGAGCGAGAAATGGCTGGCGAGGAGAGAATTTCCTCGTATATCCAGCGATGGGGTGTATTTGAAGCTCCCTGGCGCTGGATATGTGATCTCGGTAGTGTCCTGTTTGAGCTCAATGTACGCAGCTTGTGGAGGGCTTTCCAGAATGCCCAAGATTGTGAAAATTGGTTGATTAGGACCAAAGATATTCTCAGAATAAGGTGAGAATTATCGTATTTGGGACTGCTGGGGAAATTTGGTCGGATGGTAAAGGGTTAACTCAAGCACTTCAGAAGTAATATCGTCTTCCACACTTGTACAAAAGAGACGCAGTTATAAGTGTGCCGCCAAATGCAGAAAAAAGTGTATGTGTGTATGTGTGTGCGTGTGTGTGTGAGAGACAGACAGAGACAGAGAGAGAGAGAGAGAGAGAGAGAGAGAGAGAAAAAGAGATAGAGAGAGAGAGAAAGAGAGAGATAACATCTACACAGCTATAAATAATATAATTATTCTGGGCACCCCCGGCCTCCTGTGCCCAACACCAAACATGTCCACAGAGAGCAGAGGGAGGATGCATAATTTCACAACCACAAGGCATACAAAGTCGTTCGACACCCTCTCAATCTAACTAAACACACCAAGACACAGGGCAAATCGCCGCGAACACAAGCTCATGTTACTCACACAAGTTAATGTGGGGCTCTACCCAATCGCCGTCACCGAATTCATCATGAATTGTTTCACCCTCGTCGGGCAGCTCCATCTGCTTGCATCGGCGCAAGCAAGGAACTAAGAACGATGAGAATAAAGAGTGCCAAAAAACAAACAAAAACAAGCATAGGTTGTACACTACTGTGTGTCTGGAGCTAAGTTATACGTATAATGTATAAAATTCAATATGCTGGCCTGTAGCTTCCCATATCAACAATAGGGTTGAAATAGGCCAAGGCAGTGTGAGATTGTGACATGCACGGTAAGCATGATACTGATACTTTTGTTGAACAAGTATACCGGTAATAATAAATCTCCAAGTTTCTATTATTCCAAAGCTCACTATTCTTCAACCTCCACCACCTCATAGTGTACTTGTCTTGACTAGGAAACACAGCACCCAGGAAATCACGTCCTACCCACAACACCTCAAAGATGAAGTCATCTGAAGTACGGCTTGTACAAAGTGCACGGGCAAGGGCAGCTGAAACACCAACCATTCTTCGTTTCCAAGTACTGTTTGTCCGGTGGCAGGAATGGACGTGCCTTGTCTTTGTCACCTGCCATCCTGGAAGCCAACAAACAGAAAGGCACATCAACAAAATCATTAAGAAGGTGAAAGGATCGTTGCACAGTGAATTAATGACGGTAGTATTCAACAGCTATATGTACAGTAGTCCAGTCACATGCATGACGGCTAAAGCCAACTAGTTCACCCGGAAGCCAAGCATGAAATGGTGGATTGCACCACTTCATACACCTTTCAAGCCTTTCACAACCACCACTTACCATGACCAAGAGGGGCAGTGATGTACCAGATGATCTCCAGCCGCAACAAACTACAATCGCACATACAGAGAGAGAGAGAGAGAGAGAGAGAGAGAGAGAGAGAGTGAGAGAGAGTGAGAGAGAGAGAGAGAGAGAGAGAGAGAGAGAGAGAGAGAGATCCACTTACATTGTACTTCTCAATCCAACCGCTCTCTAATTAATTTGTTATGTGTATTAATCATACTGCATTTGTAGTACACGGTGCTGTATTTGCTAGAGTCTACATCCAATGCAATATGAGAACACTATCGCAGCCTCAAACTCTCGGGTACACACCACATCCCGATGCGAAATGTATGGTATCAAATGCAATGTGAGTGTTGGAATGTTTGGCCAAATAGGGAGTGTGCATAACACTTTAGCAGCATACATGTACGAGTACTTCAGCAAATATGCTACGTACAGTCAACTTCGCTAATAACGACTGCGGATATAGCGACAATTCGTGAATAACGACAGAATTTCCATGCCCAGAGCAAAGTCCCATCTGACTGTAATACATATAAGGAGACTTCGGGTATAAGGACACTTTTCTGATGCCCCGCCGAGTGTCGTTATACGCAAAGTTGACTGTACTTCGCTCTGATTCAGTCAATGCACACCACTTTGTTGAAGTTTGTTCACAAGCAATCAACTAACAGATGAAGAACCAGTACTGCATCAGCAGTCGGTTGAGTTTGATAGCTTTCCAGAGAGTGGAGCTCTAGTACAGAGTGTCATGCATGATTTTCCAGTTTCCACTGTAGTACTTCAGAAGTATGTACAATACCAGTACACTCGAACACCTCTTATCCGGTCGCCTCAGATACGGGCACATCTCTCTACCGGCAAGAGTACATGAAAACCAGAGTGTGCAGCTCGGATGGGTTGCTGTCACGGCGAAATTCCGTGATTACATCATTTTTAGTGATGTAGTGCGTACACGCAGGATTCAAGCAGGTCTCTTTCTGCACAACTGCAGCTCAGTTGTACGCACTACGCCATTTCCCGCCTCAGATCTGGGCCAAATATGATGTAATCACGGAATTTCGCCGTGACAGACACCCATAGCAGAAAAGGCCCCAAGCTGCACACTCTGGTTTTCATGTACTCTTGCTACCGGGCACCTTCAGCTTGAGTTCCTATGGCAAAAATGCTTTGAATAGACCTTATTCAATTACGTCATCCTTTCACCGCGCGGCCGGCGCGGGGGTACTGTTCAAAATCAAGCTGGCAGAGGCAGCATTTGCATTGTCTGGGAGAAAGATTTTACGAACAAGAAGTCCGCTTTGCTTGTTTTCTTTTGACGTGACTTAGTTTTGGAACGTGTGTTGTTTTGATCCCTTACTAGCTAAGGGGTTTTCTGTTTTCACCGCTGTCAGCATACGTTCTAAACTAGCAATGCCGCACTCCTGTACTGTTCCTGGCTGTCGGAACGTGTCTGGGGCGAAGAAATGCAAGCGAGGGTACCGACGTGTTCAGGACTGCACTGGCAAATGGTCGATGGAAGAGTATCGTCTTTGTGGGAATACGGCAAAGCGAGTCGGCTGTAGGGGCGCTTGCAGCGTGTGCAGGACGTTGCCGTTCGCCAAGTTCCCCAAACCCCTGCCCGAAAGCGCTGATCCACATCTAGCTAAACGGCAAAGAAAATTAATCAAATCGTGGAAAGATGCTGTTCGAAAACAAAATTTGACTGTGACTGCAACAAACGATGTGCGTGTATGTGGAGCACATTTCCCAGCCCTGCAACGCCAGAATGACGATGAAGTTCCCTCTGTATTTGCTTGGACCATCCCAGTGGTGGAGCGCCAAACACTGACCTCCAAGAAAGCGAGTGAGGCCGAGGAAGAAAGTATGACGGTGGATGAGGAAGAAGTGGCCAGCACCGAAGATACTGGAGAGGTGGACGTTGTCGAAGAGAATCAGCGGCTGAGGGATGAGATCTTGGACCTGAAATCACAGCTAGAGCTATTGAAAGACCAAAACACGATCCTCGAAGCTCAGCTTGAACGGCAGCGTTTTACGGCACGGCAGTTCACATCGGACAAAAACATTCGCTGGTATACTGGGTTCAGAACATTCGGACAGTTTGAGGAGATGTTCAAACTTGTTTTGTCCACCCGTTCTGCCACCCAAGCAAGAGGTACTGCACCAATCCTTCCACTGGAAGACTGCTTTTTTATTGCAATGGTGAAGGTGTGGAAGGATTATCCGGAAGAGGAGCTGGCACGGCTAACTGGTGTCTCCCAACCAACAATATCCAGGATCATCCGCCATTGGATTCCGTTGACTGCCAATGCACTTCGCCAAATCCCGATCTTCCCGAGCAGATCCCAAGTGGATGAGCTAATGTCACTGTCGTTCCGCGAAATGTATCCACGGACACGGATTATCATCGATGCGTTGGAGATTCCGATAGAAAAGCCAAAGAACCCCACCACTCAAGCTGCCACATGGTCGGAATACAAGCAACGTAACACCGTTAAAGCGCTTGTAGGAATAACACCTGGTGGTGCTCTGTCGTTTGTGTCGCAGCTGTATGGTGGACGGACGTCTGACAAGGAGTTGGTGAGGAGATGCGAACTACTGAAGCTGCTGGACAAAGGCGATGTGATTATGGCCGACAAAGGGTTTGACATTGCATCCGACGCACTTGTGTATGGTGTTGGTGTCAATATCCCACCCTTTCTCCACCATCAACAGTTCTCCGAAGAAGATCTACTTACAACACGACGCATTGCATCACTGAGGATTCATGTGGAGCGAGCCATTCAGCAGATCAAGAATTATTCCATCCTTCGCTTCCTGCCGATCAGTATGGCTGATATTGGAGATGAAATCTTTTCATGCTGTGCCCTTCTCACTCTATTTAATCCACCATTGATGTAAGTTATTCTGCAATGGTCTCTCCCTCCGGGACTGTCGCGCACATAATCGCGTAATTTACATACTTCCGTGTACATACAGCTATTCCACATAACCTTTCCATAACGCGGTTGCTTGCGACCAACTAGTTACTTTCGTGTATCTCAAGTGACAGTCACTATGGTAGTGATAGCTATTGTAGCGTGTGGGACAGAATGGTGCTCAGCAACAGCCTAAGACCCCCCCCCCCCCCCCCCCCTGCTGCCATTGAATTTGTATACTGTCGACATTGCATTACTTGTGATCTGTGCGCCTCCTTATGTAGCCTGTATTGTTGCCTTCAGGACAGCACACCTTACTCCGTTAGGCATCTAATGCAGTACATTGTAGGATATTTTGGTGTTTGTTTGTTACATCGGACTTGGAATGGGCCTTCACTTTTCTGTGACTAAAGATGTTCTGCTCTGGAGCCGTGCTCCCAAGCAGATGTGATGCCGTACACACCCAACAAGTATCCATTCTCATTACGACATTATGAGTGACAGATCATGAAAATTCTCACATAAAATATGCTCTTCATGCCGGTACAACTGCAGCATACATAATGTGGCCAAGCTGATAGCCAGCTGGAGCCACTGGAGGGCCAACCACAGCCTGAGGCCGCCCCCCTGTGGCTGCATTCATGCCATCGTAGAAATAAAACGTGCCATTTTCATGAATATGAGACACAAAATGTTGACCATTTCCATAGGTCACACCCAGCAACCGGTATGCAGTCAGGCGGCCGGAATCAGTGCCTGGCACTTCAACCTGTAAAGGAAAATCTGCAGCAGAATAAATTGTGTGCCGACCAACCATTTCGCGGCAAATGCAGCAAAAGAATGCCACAGAACACCCCACTCTGGAGCCACGTAGCACCTGCAACCTCCGTCGAGAATACGAGCGCACACCACCACAACGACAAGGCTGACTTCCCGGAAAAAACCAGGCATTCAACATCACCTTTACCTGGTCCGGCCCAGGCAGGTGAGATAGGTCTCCATCTGCAGAGATAAAGATTTCTGGAGTGACGACATCTTTCTTCACATTGCACGTGTCACATTCGTAGGATACTGACGGAAGACAAAACGATTGATTAAACGCTATAACAAACCGATCTGCTTCTGAACCATAGAAATTAATGTTCTGTCCATCACAGGGTACTCGGGGAAGGCCTAGAAGTTCAAGGGCGTGCCACCAGATGTACTTCGCTGCGCCTGGTTCGCCAATGTCAATGAACCCACACATATCCAGCAGGGCATGAGCTGCGCGGTTCCCACTTTTAGCTGCGTCTCTAAATTCATGAATATATATGTCATTGCTGCTGAGGAGAGTAAAACAAAACATCAAGCCATTGTCCAGTGGGCACGTATTGCTAAAATAGAACTGTTTGCCATCTTCTGTCCGGTGAGAGCCACCCCAAGGCAGGGGGTACTCTTGCACTTGTCTGTTGTCACTAGCATTCCCAGTCACATCCATGAGCGACTGCGGATTCACTTCCTCTCGGGTAAGTTGCGTGTCAGGTTCACCACTTGGACTATGTTCACCACTGAGACTAGGTTCACCACTAGGACTAGGTTCACAGGATGCACCCTTAGAAGCCTTATCTGTGCCTTCAGCCCGCAACTCACGACACGCCTGCTGCTGTTCTTTCGCCCGTGCAATGCGTTCCACCCTTGCAACCAGCGTTGACTCGGACGGCAGAACGTGGGTGAAAGCCATTGCCACGCCGCGGGTACTAAGTTCGTTTACGTTCTTGGCGAAAGTCAGCAAGGCAGTTGATGGCAGCCGAGGTGGGGCAAGTGGCTTGTCCAGTTCCTTCCGTGCAGCAGCTACCGGCGTTGCGCTGCTCTTGCTGTACGCAGCCTTTTTAAACACCAGATCCTTTAGCAGGCACACTTCAACCTTCTTGCTCCGTGGCACATTCCATTTGCTGGCCTCTTCCGTGCAAGTCAATGCTGACCGGTGGTACCCCAGCCGCACAAACTCCTCAAGAGCATACGCAAATGCCGCAAGGTGTTTGCAGGAAGCGTGAGGAGGGCGGCCAGCAGGACAGCCACACTCTGCGTACAGGACCTCTGCATATCTGTCCAGCTTCATGTATAGGGTATAGGTTTTTTGTTGTTTCATTTCTGCCAGCACAATGCAGCGGAGATACATTGTTCCTTGCTCTTCGGGATCCACTGCACCTTTAATGGCCTGCACCAATCCATTGCTGAATAGAAGCAGGGCATGCTCATTTACAGCCTTGAAGTTCATTCGGCTCCCATCAGTGGACTGACCATAAATGAAATAAGCCACCATGTTGGCCATGGTGAACATCGGCAAGGCAGTCCGAATGTCAACCAAGGGCTTCCACAAGTTCGGGTCGACTGGAAGCTTGCTTTTCGTACGGGTCACTTCTATCGACTCTGTGGATAGTGGTATAGGCGGTGGTTGTGACTGTGCTGGGGGATTACTGACGTTGCCTTGTACCGGTGGCGATAGAAAGCTACTTTCAGCACGGCCTGAAGTTTTCGCAAATGTCTTTAATCTGCAGTTGACACAGGAACACAAGCCACAGGAAGATTTGGAGTTTTTAGGCTCAGCAAGGAATATTGTCTCGTTTCATGGGTACGGTGTCACAAAACAAAAGTAAAATGACAAGAACATAATACAGGTAAAATGACTATGGATGCTGTTGCACACTGAGTTGAAAGCAGATCCCATTATAGCAACTCTCAGCAGAGTCGCAATGCTGCCATGCACATGGTCATGGCTATGGCTTCGTCCATGCCCACACCAAACGTAGTCCAAGTGTAATCCCCCCTCCAGTCTCTTCGGAGGCGTGGGTTCGAATCCCACCGCTGCCACCATTGTAACTCGTATACTCTCAGCACTCAAAGCACATACTTGTAGTTACGTAAGTAGTTATCATTCGTTCATTGTCTCACAAGGAGAAGAAGAAGACAAGGCCGTGCGAGTGTGCGCAGAGCTATCCAAGCATTCCTACGGTGTACTATTTATGTGTATACAAATAACGTGTTATAAAGTAGCCATGCTACACAAGTCTACTGGTTTTTGAAAAATATTTTTAGTTCAGCTCCATTCTTTGCACGCGGGCCAATAACGAAAAAACAGACGCCTGGGAGAGTTTAGTAATTTTCGGCAACACACTACTGAGTAAGAAGTGAAACGAAGAAAGCTTACCTCCCAATCAGTTCGTCCTTCTTTCCGGAAAGGGGTAAGCCATGTTCACGGAGTAGCCTCTTCAGCTCAGGCACTCTCAAGTCGGCTAAAGACGAAACTTTCTTGGCACTCATAGCTGACGGACCAGTCGGTGATACTCCACGACAGGCACTGCCTGGAACTCGACGTGAGGGCTAACTCTCGAAATAAAAACAACCACAACTGTCTGATGTCCAAGACGAAAATTTTGGAAGAAGTGAAGTCTTTCTCACCACGAAATCTCAAGTATACCCCCGGCGCGAGCCGATGACGTAATTGTGAATAAGGACCATTGGGGGTTTTGAACTTCTTTTTCTTGTATGCGCGAGTTCTTACTTGTCACTTCTAACCTGTGTAATGCACACATTTTTAAACAATTTGTTCTTTTTTTAATAATTTTTTTATCCTGGACATGTGCAATACATGCCAAATAAACTTCTTCAAAAACTGGTATGATACATGGTAGATGAGCTGTCCTGAGATACGGGCAGTGCCTGGCCCTAAGGTACCCGGAAAAGAGACGTTCGAGTGTACATGTATTGCATTTGTCTCCAAAGTGACATGCACACAGCAAGCCTGCCTCTTTCTCGCTTTTGAAAAAAATTCACAGTATGATAATAATTATTATAATGGTATAGTCACACGGGACTCACACCACAACCCCAGAAGATTAGAAATATGACGTATCAATGTTATGTACATGACTATTGTACGTGTATTGAATGCAGCTGAGCACACGAGGAAATCAGGAGCCCAGAAATTACGCCCACAAGAGAAGCAAGACTCCTTCGGTTCGACATAATCATCTACTAGTACTCAAGCCTCGAAAGACTTCTACAAAATTGTCTTCTCAGTTCTTACCTCCTCGGGCGTGATAACACCAGTCTCTTTGAACTTTGAGTCCTGGGTAGGTGGACAGTAGAGAGAAATTTTCGAATTTGCTTATAATTGTTGTTTTCTTCTTCTGAAAATAGTTGAACCAGGTCAAATTTTACCTTTAGAACTGGGACGACATAATCCACAGTTTTCAGATACGTGCTAAGTAGCTTGTTCTTCAAGCCAGTCGCCATTGCAAGCACCTGAGTGTCTGACACCACAAAACGCTAGTGGTCTTCACCTGCAGTTGAAATGGTATTTCGTCTTTGCTTTCCTTCAACACGTTTGCTTCTTCAAATCAAGTCCTTCCTGGCTTGCATCCAACATGCGCATCTGCCAGTGCAGTGCCGACGTCGCAACGGCAAGAGTTCAAACCAGCACGAAAAGAATGGCTAAATACGGGCCAGTTTCACACTTGTAGACGTATTATGTCGATTTCGGTGGGTTTGCACTGCATTATTAGCCTGTGCCGGGCCTGATTTCGATTTGTTAACACTGGAAAAGAGAGTTTTAGTCAAGTTTGCTCAAATGACGTAACCAGTCATACCGCACATTACACTTCACGTCACCATGATTTTTTGCGAGAAGAAACTTTCGAATGAAAAAAATATGGAGCAGTTTGAATAGAAATGTGGTGTTTGGTCAAGACAACTCCAGTATTTTCGTGCGAAGAGGATAGCTAGTTCGACATAGAGACGGAAGCGGCTACTGCAAGCTGTTCTTACTTTCAGCCATGGCCACTATTGAGGAAATGAGAAGCCGCGTTGGCATGCAAGAACACATTCTAACACATGTGAGTAAATATAACATTCGAATGGCTTTTCGTTTGCTTTTATATTGCTTGCACTTTCAACGCACATGCACATGCACATAGTAAAAAAGGGAGAGAGAAAAGAGAGAGAGAGAGAGAGAGAGAGAGAGAGAGAGAGAGAGTTATTTTGTTTTGGAAATGGGCTCGGTACCTCTTGCAAACTGCTTGCCCAAATCCTATGGGATGAGAATATGTGACATACTACAAAATTGTAGTACATGTATTGACATTAAATAATAAGATATGCATGTGTTGTAGTTTGGAAAGTTGTCAAGGAAAAAGTGTGTATTTGTTGTATTGTGTAGAAATGTAGACTGCAAGGCACCCTCACTGACAAATATGTAGTATTTTTGCTGGTGTTGTATTATGGAGTTGAAAAGAGGTACATGTAACATGTACTTCCTCTATCGCTGGCTACACGCGAGGGCCCCTGGTTCGAGTCCTGGTGGTGACAGTCAATGTTTTCTTCAGACTTCTCCCGTTTGCGTCTTTCCCTCAAACCAGTGAAAATTCCTCTATTCAAAAAATATTGTGTTGACCCATAACACCTTGAAGAACCCCTCTCGTTTCTCCCCCTTTCCATCGAGGGCGGTAGGTCGACTTTTGCGTTTAGTGTACACTGCGTGTAGGTGGTTCTGTGAATGTTCTGGTCAAATCTTCAGCCTTGAAAGCTATTGTTTGATGCTTTCTCAGCACAAATTGTGTATCTATCCTTAGCATAGTTGCCATCATTGTGTTCTCCAATGGGTGTCTAAGGTCTAAGTGAATATTTTGTGGTCGTCTGATGTTGGTTACTGCTATCAATCTCACCTTGTGTTACTGGTGTCGCTCTGTGCACAGACTAGAAGTACCGATTATCCAGGAAACTACACAGGATATGACGACAGCTATGATCAGTTGAAATTCGAGAAGGTTGGTGACAATAGTTATGTCTCTACGTAACTTGTTCATGACTAGATTGTGTTTTCTCTGGCTGAATAGTTAAGAACTTAGGAGGTTATTCATGTCAAGATATCATGTACATTCTATAGAATGGGATGTCTGCACGAGCATGCACATTCAAGAGAGTATGATGTAGATCTACATGTAGTGGAATAAGCCTGAAGAACGACTCCACTCTAGTGGTCAGCGTTTTGAATTGGTCTTGCGGACAATGAACTGCTAGTAGTTCAAAGTAATACCTGTGCCTCCGACAAGTTGGCAAGAACATTCCTGTTTATTTGGTGAGCACAGCCACCAGGTCATCCTGTGCTGCACATGCACACTCATTCATCGGGGATTTCTTTCTGTGTCCTGTTTAGAATTTCCGAATTGACGTGGTCAACATGGACCAGGAGGAGATGCAGTTCGACATGGTTGGCATCAATGCGGCAGTGGCGAACGCCTTTCGAAGAATCTTGCTCTCTGAGGTGGGTCTGGTGCTATTATTTATAAGCACCGTAAAGTCGCGGATAAAAGCCGGGCTTATAAGCACATAAGCCGCTTTCTGCATCAGGCTTGTATGCAAACCATGCTTATATGCACCACACTTGCATAGAAGCCAGGCTTCTACGCGCGACACGCGTAGATCTACCACTGACTACCGGTATGGTGGCAGTTTTATTATGCACTGTACATAGCGCATGCACTCTTGACCTACCCTATCCGCGCTTGCATAGAAGCCAGGCTTCTACGCGCGACAGGCTTATATGCATTTGACCCGTTTGATTTTCAGGCTTCTATCCGCGATGTGCTTGTATGCAAACCCGGCTTTTATCCGCGACTTTACGGTAGTTGGATTCACCTAGGGGCGTCGGAAAGTATTTTAGGGTGTTACGGTCAACCATCTGAAGTACTCCGGGAGCCTCCCCTGAAATGTTTTCAAGACTATGCCAAAATAATTGAATTTTATATTTTTATTTGTTCATGGGTACCTAGGGCAAAATGTGGTACGTTTGATAGTAGACTCAATACCGTAGTTACCGTAACGTGTCACGTAAACCAGTGGTACTTGTACAGAACCCTCTCGGCGGCCAATGACATAGTGATATCATCCGTACTTTCTGGAGTATAATCATGAACTTCAATTGAGTTGGTTGCCACTGCGCTGCTGAAGCCACCGCTTGGCTCCTGATCATAGAACATCAGGGAGCAGAGTGGAAGACAAGTCTGTTAAGGGAGTGAGAGAGACCGAGACCACACGGCGGACAGGAGTACGGTGAACAGTGGAATATGTAGGCAACAAGGCAATCAGGCACAGATGAAGCAAATTGACGTACTAACAACTTTATAAAAAGAAGGTATGATGTGTAGATAACAAATGCAGTTTTCTGACATGAAGCTATAGTGCCCCTTGCTAATGTGTTTAGGGCATTTTTTGTTTTGCTGCTTGTTTCAGGTTCCAACGATGGCGATTGAGAAAGTTTTCATCGTCAACAATACATCTATTATCCAAGACGAGGTATTGATCACTATTAAATTAGTACTATTGCACAATCATTGTACACACTGCTACTATAGTACATTGCTACATAACAAGTAGCACACTGTTCGAAAGGTGGGTCGGTGTTTTGACAACTAGTTTTAGGTATGACAGTAAGCCTTCACCACAACCAATGGGTTTTCAGCATATGATGAATGAGGGCCCGTTTACTTGAGAAAAAATGAGCCCGGGCTTTTTTTGATCCTGGGCTTATGGTAAACATTCCTTGATCTGTCATCCAGTAGTTTTAGTATGTGCGTTTACATGATGTGGCGGGCTTATTCAGCTCACCCCGGGCTGATCTAGCCCTACGCAGATCCTCGAGCGTATCGTATTCCCAGGGTTTATTTCTTTTGTAAACGGTCAAGAAAGTAGGCTTTTAAGCATGTTTTCGGTGCTTTCTGATTCTGCCTCCGTAGCCTGTGAGGATTCCATTAAAGGGGAAGTATACCCTAAAATCAAATTTTCACCAGTTGTAGTCTTCGGGGTGCTGAGTCGAATGGTCTTGGTCCGAGGAAGCTGCGACGCTCCCTTCCTACTTGAATCCCAATCGAACTCGCGCACTTCCACCGAAACTGGGTGACTGCGCCCTACTAGATGGGGATTTGTATGCAAAATCTCACTAAAAGCGCCATTTCGTTCTTATAAAAGCACGGATGACCGCGATTGGCCCATATGTTGTAGTCTTTTGGACGCTGAGTCGACTGGTTTTGGTCCGAAAAGGCTGCGATGCAGCGTTCCTCCTTTATTCCCAATCGAACATGGTTGAACAAGCGGTCACGTGGTCCTGGTTGCCCAAATCACCTGGTCACCACGCCAGCAGGCGACAACTTTCACACCAAGGTTCAACTCGAGTGACAGGACTGCACCCAAAAAAGGTCAAACAGGCTAGTAAGTTGTACCCTGCAGGCACGGTGACCAGGTGACTGGTGTACGCAGGAGCACGTGACCGCTTGTTCAACCATGTTCGATTGGGAATAAAGGAGGAACGCTGCATCGCAGCCTTTTCGGACCAAAACCAGTCGACTCAGCGTCCAAAAGACTACAACATATGGGCCAATGGCGGTCATCCGTGCTTTTATAAGAACGAAATGGCGCTTTTAGTGACATTTTGCATACAAATCCCCATCTCGTAGGGCGCAGTCACCCAGTTTCGGTGGAAGTGCGCGAGTTCGATTGGGATTCAAGTAGGAAGGGAGCGTCTCAGCTTCCTCGGACCAAGACCATTCGACTCAGCACCCCGAAGACTACAACTGGTGAAAATTTGATTTTAGGGTATACTTCCCCTTTAAGGACAGTGCAGCTTTTTTTCAGATGCTCTTGGAATCTGTTCTTCTGACTTTTTCCTTTGGTAAACGTTTCACCGTTTCTGAAAAGAAGTGACAGCTGGATAGGCAGCTGGAACGGGAAGAGGCACTTCTTGATCCAAATGTTATCAGACACGAGTACTTACCCCTGTGCTCATGTGCGATTTGAGAAAAAGCTCATTGGTTCAAAGGAAAGATGCAAATGAGAAAAAAATAAAAATTTAGTAAGGTGTATTCAGTAGTCAGAACTCGCAGTCACTCACCTGAAGTCAGCGCTTGATTGCTCCATTCCTCTGTCTTATCAATGGGTGAAAAAGAAGCCCCGGGCTTTTTCTCTGCTGTAAACGGCCCCTCAGAGCCCATACATGTAGCTAGCATTTCGAACCATGACAATGCTCCTGGCGTACCAATAGTGCATTATAGGGGACAGCTCCATGACAATGCTCCTGGCGTACCAATAGTGCATTATAGGGGACAGCTACATATAATTTGAATGAAGTGCGGCTACTAGTGATTAAAAATATAATTGTAATAGTGAGCAGTCTCTTTTCTTTCTTGTTCTTTGTTGTGTCACGCTGCACGCAATGCTATTAGGTACTGGCACATCGGTTAGGCCTCATCCCGTTGTTCGTTGATCCACGTCTTTTCGAATTCAGAACTAACAGTAAGTTCAAAACTAACAGTAAGTTCAGAACTAACAGTAAGTACAGAACTAACAGTAAGTTCAGAACTAACAGCAAGTTCAGAACTAACAGTAAGTTCAGAACTAACAGTAAGTTCAGAACTAACAGTAAGTTCAGAACTAACAGTAAGTTCAGAACTAACAGCAAGTTCAGAACTAACAGCAAGTTCAGAACTAACAGTAAGTTCAGAACTAACAGTAAGTACAGAACTAACAGTAAGTTCTTGTTGAGGCATTGCGTACTCTTGTTTGGGCTTTGCTATAGCCATATCAACCCCAACTTGTGGAGCGTTGCATGTCATTTGGGTGTGGTACTTTCAAGTACTTGTGAGCGAAGATTGACATTTTTACTTTTTTTTTTAAAGGTTTTAGCCTCGCATTGTAATGAGACTAATGACATCTGGGTTTTCTGTGTATTGTGGTGATTTCTTTCCAGCTGATATGGACAAATGGGAAGAAAACACAACAGAAGACAGCACGATAGAGTTGGAGCTGAAGGTCAAGTGTACTCGCAATCCTCATGCTGCTAAAGACGCTACTGATCCAGAGGAGCTGTACAAGAACTCCAAAGGTATGCCTGCCCCATTTGTGCACGGATGTTTGTGTTGAGTTCATGATGCACTATGCACAGCTGATCTAGGCTGTACTCGCTCTCCACTCTTACTACTCATTCACGCTGTACACAGAAGTGGAAACAACAGGGGAACGCTCCATTTATGCAGAGTGCAAGTGCTGATATCGGGAGTTGAATACAGTATAAGGCTCGAAGAAACACAGTCATACCCAATCACGTGCACGTTGTTCATCTCCCATTCTGCCGCAGCTTGGATCCCGGGAGATTTTGGGAATCAAGTTCAATCAGCTGCATTGAGCTCATCTTCCTCTCTAGTTGCTAGCACACGCCTGTTCTTGACTCGTTTTTGTGTTTTGTTTTGGTTGTGTTTCGCTACAGTGCTAACGGAACATATGAAGTGGAAGCCGCTTGGCAGCCAAGCTGATCGTGTGAGTAGTCTAATTAGCCGTAACCTTGTGGCTATTTTTTGGTGACAGGTTGAAACACTGCTTCCCAAGTTTTCCCTTGAATGTCTTGTTCTCTGTCTTGGTTGTCCAGTTTGCAGCATGTCCCATCCGGCCTGTTCACAGTGACATTCTCATTGCCAAACTCAGACCTGGCCAGGAAATCGATCTCAGATTACATGCGGTGAAGGGCCTCGGGCGCGACCATGCCAAGTTCTCACCCGTTGGTACGTACACGTATACTGCCGAGATGGAAATAGTATGTGCAGCAAGTCCTCTTAACCTTGAACCTTCCGAGTTGGAAGGCTGTTGGTTAGCGCTACGGAGATGTGTTGAAGCTGAGTGTTAGGAAGTCGAATGTCTCAGTACTCTGTCAGTGTTATGCCTAGTTGTTGCACTTTCTGACTGTATATAGTATCTAGTTACAGTGATGGACAGTTACTTTCACCCATGTCCGCACGTTTATAGCCATGGCGGTATATTCGATTATAAAGCCAGTCTCAGTTATAAAGCCATGGGCTTCATAAATGGAATGACATTTGAAGTATATTTTGTAAAAATGAAGGAATAAGTACTATGCTAGCAAACTTACAGCCCAGCAGGAAGGGTGAACAAGTAGATTTAGATTGACATTTCTGTGTGGACTTTGGCTTTTATGGCATGGCGTAGTGGGTGAATCATTTTGCGTCTAAAATATCTAGAAAAGCAAGGGTGTTTCGAATATAAGACCATGGCTTTAAAGGCACTGACATACGGTAAAATGACGACTACACCATAGCTTAGCGGTAGAGCACCGCTGGCCATACGCAAGTGCCCCTGGTTCGAGGCCTGGTGGTGGCAGTCATATTTCTTTAGATGTTTCCCGTTTCAGCTCCCTCAAACTTTATTTTGGGTAATATTATTTGATCGAATACACGTAGGCACAATGGTACTGTTCATGAAGCTTTATTGGTATATGCTCTCCTCTTGTGTTATTTGCAGCGACTGCCTCGTATCGTCTTATGCCGGAAATCACAATAACCAGTCCTATTCCTGAGGAGTTCGTCGAAAAATTCGCCAAGTGCTTCACCCCAGGTGTTGTGGAAATCGAAGAAGACGAGACTGGTGAGAGAGTGTGCCTACAAAGCTTGCGTATGCATGTGTGTGTGTGCGTCCGGTGTGTCTGTGATGTGTGTGTGTCTGTGTCTGTGTTTTGCGTGCGTGAGTGTATCTGTTTGTGTCTGTGTGTGTCTGTACATGCGTGTGTATGTGTGTGTCCGAGTCTATGTCTGTGCTGCATCACAATGCATAATGTCAAAAGTAGATAAACAAGAGTGTGCAACTCCGGATCTCTCCTGCACAATCTGCAGATACCCCGCGCCCACGGCGGAATTTTTTGTTGACGTCACCTTTTTTCAGAGAAACGCGGATTCTGCCGCAGAGCAGTGTGAGAGCACGTGCTGGGCACCGACCTTGTACATGTATATGTAGTGTAAAGCCCAGCCAAGTGCACGAGGGAAAACTCTCCAAAAGGCTCGCAGCGCGTGCGTCGTCGAAAAGATTACGTCAACAAAAAATTCCGCCGTGGGCCAACCCATCCGCGAGTTGCACACTCTTGTTTATCTACTCTTGATAATGTTTTTGAACGATATCATTATTTATACATTGTCTGGTCAATATTCCATGGTGGCAGTTTTTTGTACTCAGTTCTTCGCTGTATGCCCGTGGCAACCAAATCAAGGTGATGCCTGCCATGCACTCTGGGAATGATTTGCGTTTGCTTTCTCCTTCGGTCGTGTTGACGTTGTCATTTTGTATCCCACCGCCTCTCGTTTTCCTGGTCATGCCGCTGCCTGATGATAGCTCCAATGCATGAAACTTAAAGTTACAGCTGAACAGCCCTTCGCCTCCAGTGTTTGTATATGGGTATACACTATACAGTAACCCTTCTAAGGAACACATCTCCTGTTCAAAGTGCAAAGCCTATGCATATGGCTCTGCTCTTTATTACCTATGACCCAGGTCGTAAAGTGCCGAAAGTCGTCAACCCTCGCGTCGACACATGCAGTCGAGAAGTTCTCCGTCATGATGTAAGTTCTTTGGTTTGCTGTGTAGAGTATGGCTGTGCATGTCTGTATTATACATACCTCTGAGGTGGAATGTGCATACATCTGCACTCCTTATACAGTTTTGCTCGGTGAAGTCCGACCTCGAGTGCAAGTCTGGCGCCCTGGACTAGTTCCGATTACATCGTTGTATTTGTACATGTGTACGTCCAGCCGCATTCGTGCCACTTCCAGGGTGTCAATGTTGTGCTAGTTGAGGGCACCAAATATGCACTCTGGGTCGGATTTCACCGAGGGCAACTGTAGAACTACATACTGTGTACAAGTCCAAACATTTGTTTGGAAAATAAAACTTTCGGTAACTTCACTAGGTGAGACACGTTAACGGAAGTTTGTTCCTAGGTAAAATCTAAACAGCGTGACTACTTTCTGCTTGATCAAGGGATCCTGCACCGGAGACGAAAAATGAATTGCTCGCTGTAGGTTGAATTTGAGTTCTGATAGTAGTCTGATGGGCAGCACTGGCATTGCTGAACGTCTTGCTGCATGCACGCTGCTTACCGTCACCTGCGCGCTGATATTTTCACACCCATAGGCCATGGCTAACTTCCGCACGCTGACGTTTTCACACACCCCATAGGCCATGGCTAACTTCCGCACGCTGACGTTTTCACACCCATAGGCCATGGCTAACTTCCGCACTCGTACTCCGTTCTCTACAGTCAGTGGGTACGCACGAGCAATAAAACGAGTAGTTTTCAGATTGTTCAAGGAAAAATCCACGGTTCGCGTGAGACTCAACTGAAGGAACATTCTTACAAAATACCAATTCCGGGAGGACTTCAACAGTTTCCTGGGAAAGATATGTGTGAGTAAAAAATCACTAAAAATTCAGCGTTTTCAAAGGTGACGACAAGCCCCGTCTGTGCAGGTGTGTGTTGTTTCTGAGTTCAGATCGTACGGGGCATGTTCCATGGACTTTGACTTTGTCTACATGATGCTCATGGGTTCTCGTTGCTGTGTTTAGGATCTCAAGGATAACGTCAGACTAAGCAGAGTACGGGATCATTTCATCTGTAAGTCTAAGTCACAGACCTCTGTCACGAGCTGTATGGGAACATACGATACAGGTCAAAACCTGCGAAAAGGATGTGTCCCGGCAGTTTGCCGACGATTCTGTCCGATCACTCTTTTGCAGTGAGGTTGGCAGAAGATTGTTGTTGTACAGTACATTTCCTGTTTGTACTGCGCTGCTCAATGAAATCCGATCGAGTGAGTCTGCTTTTTTTTACTTACTTCAACAACACTGCTCCGCCGGGAAAGGGGAAACGGGAGAACATGAAAAGGATAGTAGAGAACAATGGGAAGGTGAGCTTTGCGCCCTGCACCAGTTCACAGCTCAGTGTTTGCAGTTCTAGGGCTGCACATCGCCTGGTGCGTACTTGACCTGCAATATCTTTGTTGAGCGGCACTGCAGTTGTAGCGGACCCTTGTCGTCTTCATGCTTTTTTTCTGATACCGTAGGCCGCATGTACTAGTTACTAAGTAGCATTGTGATGTGCTGTAATTACACTATTCTGATTACAGTAGAGCATACTTGTAGCAGCCACCACTTCGCAGGCACTATTGTTTCACTGAATGCTCTCCAAAGCTGTGTGAACTAAACATGTGCACTCTGCACACAAGGTTCAGGAATTAGGATAGAAGATCTCTTTTGAACACTTGCTGTGTTGATATCGCGCTTTTAAAAGCCGTTCTATCTCAGGTTTAGAAACAGTTGCTTGTCCAGGGCCGATGAGCTGATATCTGTAGCTTCTCCTCTGTGGTAGTAGTATGCCCGAAAAAAGATAATGCTGTGAACAGACAGTAATAAATATGGTAGACATGTGTATTTCGTGGCAGTGTAGAAATGTTATACAAACGTATTCCCTCTCTCTGGTTATCTGTGTCATGCTGCAGTCTCGATTGAGTCGACCGGAGCACTTAGACCCGAAGATCTGATGCGTGAAGCAATCAAACTTATGATGGCCAAGTGCCAATCAATCCTGGACAGTGACATCTTGCAGAGATGAAATACAAGGCTTTTAAACCCATACTTGTTACGCCTTGTGTTCCTGCTTTGTGCCGCTGTACCAACAGTGGATGTGCGCATTCCCGCGTGCCGCCGCACGTGTGTGTGTTTGTGTGTGTGTGCGTGCATACACACGCGAATATGTGTATGTGTAAGTGCATCCTCTCTGATGTACTTGGTCTCTCTCTCTCTCTCTCCCTCTCTGTCTCTCTCTCTGTCTCTCTCTGTCTCTCTCTGTCTCTCTGTCTCTGTCTCTCTGTCTCTCTCTCTGTCTCTCTCTGTCTCTCTCTGTCTCTCTCTCTCTCTCTCTCTCTCTCTCTCTCTCTCTCTCTCTCTCTCTCTCTCTCTCTCTCTCTCTCTCTCTCTCTCCCTCTCTGTCTCTCTCTCTGTCTCTCTCTCTGTCTCTCTCTCTGTCTCTCTCTCTCTGTCTCTCTCTCTCTGTCTCTCTCTCTCTCTCTCTCTCTCTCTCTCTCTCTCTCTCTCTCTCTCTCTCTCTCTCTCTCTCTCTCTCTCTCTCTCTCTCTCTCTCTCTCTCTCTCTCTCTGTCTCTCTCTCTCTCTCTCTCTCTCTCTCTCTCTCTCTCTCTCTCTCTCTCTCTCTCTCTCTCTCTCTCTCTCTCTCTCTCTCTCTGTCTCTCTCTGTCTCTCTCTCTCTCTCTGTCTTCCTACTCTACCTCTACCTCTGCATGCTGGGCAAGAGAATGGTTTGAAATTTGGTGTCAGCGGTACAAGTTCCTGTGCCCGAGCATGACAGCGCGCGATGGCCTATATCCCCCTGACAGGCTGATACATGTAACTGTATTCTAGTATTTTAAAGTGAGTGTCTTCAGATCTGGATGGAATGTGATGCCGGTCTGCAGAACTTGCCATATTCTGTACTAGTGTACTACCTGTTCCTCTCTGGAAGATTGATCGTGACACCCATACTCCACCTGAAATACCACTCTACATATGGGGTGCAGTTGCCTCTGCAAAGCCATAGAGCGAGCAAAACAATGGGAACACCTCGCCAATTTGTTGGTACTTCAAAGCCTTTTAGGAGCAGGCATCAGCTGGTCTCAGCAAAAGAGTCGCAACACGTCTAGGCCGGAGGGTGGAACATACCCGCTGGACACTCGTGATTGGACAAGCCGTGTAGGTGGCAGATGTTGTGTACGGCTTGTGTGCGTACATTGCACATAGCATAGGAGCCTCATCGGCTCCTCATCGGCTTTTTTCTGACCTCATTGAATACAGTCATGTACTCTCTACTTTTTCATATACAGTATTGGCTTTGTTCATATCCATTCTTGTTTGTTGCTTTGTATTTGTAATTATTGATAGCCAACCACAGCAACTATCCGAAACAGTAAAACAATTTCTTTTCATTGGCACTTGTACTCAAGTTGTAGTTGTACTTTTCTAGCTCTGTAGACTTGTAATAGCCTTGGCTTGGAATCCAGGCGTCTTCGTGCATTGTATGTCAGAGACGTAGATACGATCGATGATTGTGTATTTTGAACTATTTTCATTGATTTATCGATGCACTGCATTATTTATATCGCGGTCTCCCTGATCTGGGTTCGAGGATAATTGATTTAACTGCGCATGCGTGAAGCTCGAAGTATATAAAGAAAAGGTCCTCGAAGGAGGAAGAAGGGCAATCATGAGTGGCCCCAATAATGTCGCAGGATTCTACAAAACGGTTATGAATGATGTTATGAAAAATTGTAGAGATGCATTCTTGAACGAGGGAGTGGACGAGCAGGTTCTGCGAGATTTATCATCGATCTGGAAGTCCAAAGTGGAGCAATCTCATGCTGTAGATATTAGTACTGAAACGCCTCAAGCAACTGCTCTCGGTCATCTGGCTGCAGCAACTGGCTTGAAGAGGACCCCTGCTACTGCAGCTACGCTGAGCAGTGCCGACGCTGCTGTTACGGCTACCCTGAGTCAATTGCCGTTGTTTCCTAATCTAGGGTCAGTGCCCAATGTATCCCACCCAGGAATTCAAATGCTGCAGGCGAGAGCTGCTGTGCAGATGCAAGCTGCTCAACTCCACGCAGCAACCGTAGCCGCACAGGGGCCTCCAGCCAAACGGCCATGTCTGGAACATAAATCTGTTCTACCAGGACAGGCAAGTAGTGTGCATGTTCCAGTAACCGGCATAATAGCCACAACGACAGCAGTGGGCACCGCAGCAGGCACCATCCCTGCACCGGTCCAAAAGAAAATTCCACAGCTTGATGGTGCACATGCGGGCAGTTCATCAGAGGATGATGACGATGACGACGAGGACAATGACGAGGATGACGACGATGACGATGATGATGACGACGATGACGACGATGATGATGACGGCTTGCTGGAAGAGTTTGACGAGGGCGGTGACAAGTCAGACCATGTACATGATGACCCGCTAGGGTCTGGTGACGATGGCAGTGAATCAGATGGATCGGACCACTTTGATACAGAGAATGTCGTAGTCTGCCAGTTTGACAAAGTCAATCGGACACGAAATAAGTGGAAATTTACATTCAAGGATGGCATCATGAACTTGAATGGCAAAGACCATGTGTTCGCGCGATCTACAGGCGAGGCGGAATGGTAGCACCGGCCGTGTGTGTATGTACACACTGTGCAATGTGCTGCATAGGGTAGTGCAAATGTGTGCTGTGCCAGACCAAGCTAAGTTGCTACTAGCGCAGGTCTGGAGGCCAAGACAAGCCACTAGTCCCATACTTTCCTATTTTGTCATCCATTTTTAACACCATGCACACATGGCCCACTCTCCACTGGCCCGTCGTCTTGTTTCCACGCAGAGCAGAGCCAGTGTTGTTGGTTGAGCTAGTTAGCACACGCCTGTAAAGGCCGTGCTACAGACAGTACGTGCATCCATGTAACATCGAAACTCACCGTTTCCTTCTTTTCAGTTTTTATTAGGCTGTTTTTGTTTAGCTTTTAGTGCTGTGTGAACATATGCCATTAGTAACTATTGTACACGTTGACTACTACTATCGTTAGCTTGTGTACTTCATATAACCTCTTTTTTATCCTAGTTTGTTAAAAAGAATATTCATCCTTTTTTTTATATGAAAATGTACAAAATTGAGAAAACCAGTGTACTATTTTTTACAAGAAATTCACCCCAAGCTGAAATATAATTTCTTTTCATGAATCGTCTGACATGACTGTTCGTTGTAGAAGTACAGTCAGTGCTGTCTTGTTGAAAATTGAGTTCCATGTAAAATTAAGTGATGGCTGACGCTCTATCACGTTCTTGTGCACTGTTCTGGTGTTGTGTGGGCGTTGAGGAACAGCAAGGTGCAATTCGTGACGGTTTTGAGCAATTCGGATGCTTCCATAATGCTGGGCTGCTCTTGTTCAGTGAACGCTTCACTTAGTGACTGGGCCAGCACATCCTGTAGCACCAGGCGCATGCAGGTCAAGTCGAAGAGGTTCCAGTGGTTTCCAGTGAACTTGAGCTGCCGTTCACTGCTACAGCATAGCTGTTCTGTCATTACACGTGTCGAGGCAGCCCTGTCTGCTTCTCCAGCAGTATTGCTCTCACTGCCCAGCTGCTGGAGAAATTTCTCCATCTTATCAAGTCGTTGACTGCCGACGGTCAAGATCAGCTTGAGAAAGCCTGGATAGTTGAGGCCGCTGTGGGAACGCAAAAGCACCTGGCATGAGGCAACGACAAAGAGCAACAAGAATGACAAGAGTGACAACCACAATAAACATGCATTCTCTTTGCAAAGCAGTTTGTGGACAAAGAATATGGCAATGACTTACTAGTATAGCATGAATGCGCGTGGAGTGAGCGTTGCTGTATTCAAATCTCTGAGTCACCACTTTTTCAATGACAACTGTTCATAATTTCATATCATTAATTTCAATGACATGACAATGTATTATCTATACATTTGTATTGCAGAAATAAATGCAATGATGATGAGGTCGTCTCACCTGACAGTGTGTGTGGTAGTCGTCCATATCTCGACAGTCAGAGATGGCTTTCTCAACCTAGTAGCACATGGAGCACAAGTCACAATTCTTTTCCAATGTCCAAAACTTACTGGTCCCTTGAACTGCTTACCGTATCCTGAATGTTCATACAGCAGTTGGTTTCTGCAAAGGATTTGCATGTACACATGCATGCAAGTGCAACTGGTGTGCCAGAATTAATATTATTCTAAAAGGACTTTGCTTGAGCACAACAGTTTAATATGACTTTAAAAATCAACGTGTGGATATTCGAAGCGTTGCCAGCGTGGGATAAATGCAAGAAGCTCACCTCCAGGAGATCATCCTTCAGGCCTTTCCACAGATAAACAACATTACATGCATTTCCCCAGTTGTGATTGATGGAAACGGTATCCTCCTGTTGAGCACAAACAAAAATAGGCGAAAGTTTAAATTGGAGATATTTCTCTTGCAGAATCCTAGGGGCCGTCCGTAAATATCAACATGTTCACATAAAAAGTACACTCATACATGTAACTCAGTTATCTGGACACTGAAATTAAAGGGGAAGTATACCCTAAAATCAATTTTTACCACTTGTAGTCTTCGAGACTCAGCGTCCAAAAGATTACAGCATATGGGCCAATCGTGGTCATCCGTGCTTTTATAAGAACAAAATGATGCTTTTAGTGACATTTTGCATACAAATCCCCATCTAGTAGGGTGCAATCACCCAGTTTCGGTGGAAGTGGCGAGTTCGATTGGGAATAAAGGAAGAAGGGAGCGTCTCAGCTTCCTCGGACCAAGATCATTGGACTGAGCACCCCGAAGACTACAACTGGTGAAAAATTGATTTTAGGGTATATTTCCCCTTATGATACGGGCACGAGTACCCTATATAGGGGAGTATCATTGGAGATACCGGTATTACTAGTTACTACTGTTGTAGTACGTTATTTTGTGTACGTCGTGCGTACAACTTGGTTTTTCGGCAGGGTGCAGCGGTGCGGGAATTATATCAAGTCGGCCAAGTGCAGTACAATATACAGTTGCGCTCGGTGAAATCCGACCCGGAGGGCACATTTGACGCCCTCAACTTGCACGGCCCTTGACGCTCTGGAAGGTGCACGAATGCGGCTGTATGTACACATGTACAGGATCAATGCTGTAATCGGACCTGGTCCAGAGCGCCAGCTTTGCACGTTGGGTCGGATTTCACCGAGCGCAATTGTACAACAAAGCAGAATATCAGACTGAATTGTGCACATTTTTCATCCTGCACTGGCTCGCATTGGGTACAGCAGTGCATGCATCCGTTCAACACCATGCTTCATTGTTTACGTCGAAGTCGTTGCACAGGCAGGTATTCGACAGGGGGCGGAAATTAGAGAGGGGGCGGATCAACGGTACTTTACGGTAATATGTAATTGGAAAACGTCAAAGAGTGATACAACTCGTTACTAGTTGGTCTTACCAAGTTCTCCACTTGATGATGCCAGCCACTGGGAACATAAAAAAGACAGAAAACAATAATCATTCTTTGGTGTCTTGTTAGCTGGCACAAATGAGCTTGACCAGCAACGCTGAAGATTTCTCTGTGTGTTACACCATCTTTGAAGTTTCATCCCAGTATGTTCCAGCAATGCTAGGCACAGGCAGATTGATAGTTGTCACAGAATGGCAAAGAAAAGTCTGCTCAGAACACTGCATTGTAAGTATTCCATACAGACACACACACACACAGACACACACACACACACACACACACACACACACACACACACACACGCACGTGCACACACGTCTACCTACCTGGGCACAAAAATTGTTTGTCCAGCTTCTTGAATAACAACTATCGGCTGTGTCGCCTGCTCATACGCCGGAAACTGACCACTGTTCTTCACATCGTCTGATGTTACATCAAGTGGGAATGAACCAAATCGGTCTCGAAATGCCACCTCCTCGCCCGGCGGGAAAAGAAGCCACCGTTTGCGGCCGCATATATTGGTGGACCAACTATAAGATCTGCGAACGAACACACAGACGCCGCCCACACATTGCAGCAGATTCACAAATTCATCAGTGCTAACTAGGAGCCTGTTTCGTCAGAAGAATAGCCTCAACACATCATGCAAAATACTTGTTCATTAACTCCACACGATGATCGTTTGTGCGGCTACTTGTGACCCGACTGCTACTGAAAATCAGAGAGTACTTTGTAGTAGTGTACAATTAGATACTGGAAATACACAATTACAATCCCTGCTGAAGACCATCACAGTCTACAGTCTATAGTGACAGAATGGGTATCGATGCTGGCATTACCTGAATACATCCGCATGAAACGGAGTCCTGCAAGGCCAGTAGCAAACAAAGTACACATAGGAATGTACATGAATAACAGGACACGTACACAATGCACATGCAATATATTAGGGGCGTTCCATTACACATTTGTGACCGAAAATTCTCAAATGGTCAGAAAGAGCAGAATGTGACCATGCAAACGAACAACTGGAATTCATCGTAAATTCTAGTCCCGGTTCACTCGAGAAAGTCATCGAAAGAGATCACGAATACTTGCATGCTGCAACAGTTGTGCGTGATTGTGCTCGTGCATACCGTATTTTACTGGTTGTAAGTCGACCCCGGTTATAGGTCGACCCCCGTATCCGGAGGTCTCAATTCTGCGTTATAAAGTTTTCACCCAAAGAAGCACTACTAACCACCTCCTGCTACTAACACATCAACAAATCATGTAAACATTCCTTATTGGAGGGCATAACGTCCCAATCCTTGAAAAAGGCCAATAAACTGGCAAAAATGTATACACATGGTGCACTCGTGCATGCAGTGCAGGTCATTTTTTGTAAGATACTGATAGTTCCCGGTTATTAGTCGAATCCCGGTTGTAAGTCGACCCCCACCCTTTCTCCTTCTATTTTAAGTCGTAAAAGGTCGACTTACAACCAGAAAAATACGGTATATGCAACGGTGATACAAGAGTTTGCCATTTGTCCTCAGTGCCGTATTGGGTACATGGTCTATTTTATAACACGTGGTGCTGTCAGTTGTTCTTTGTCATTTTCATTCCCGCATCATTCATTTTGTACTTCTCCCTGACAGCAGAACACCATCCATTGCCTGAATACTATGTACAGGACTGTGAATAAGCTGTCTACAGCTACCCCGTTGCCTTGTGCGGGCCTGGTGTGAGCCAGAGGCAAACCTATCTCAACCACTGCAGAATCACATTATATCGTATGTTACTTCAGTGCATGTACAATATTAGATAGTGATTGACTGACCATGTTCCCTTTGGACCCATGTATACAAAGCGATAGTCGTCAGTGCCAGACGCATCCCAGTACTCGTTCAGCCAGTCCGACTGGAATGGCGCGGCCACATGATAAATGGGAGAATCCTTGAAAACCCTGGCAAAAGTACATACGTACACACAGCAATAAAATGATGGCCAACTCTCAAAGAATCCTTCGGATCTGAATGCAGCTGGAGCGTGGGCACCTTGCGCCGCACCTAGATGCCATATCTATTGTTCTTCACCCAAATACCGAGCCATTTTGTAGTGTGACGCAGATACGACACATACATCAGTGGCCAGTTTTCATTAGCACCTGATTGAACATGCATATCATGTGAGATAAGCAAGCGAAGCGAATGGCATGCGCTCGTGGAGCACGCCTGTTGACAGAGAAGAGGAGTTTCTCACAGTAGATGCGATATTCGGCGCTACAACAAGACTAACAACACTGCATGTACTACCCACATACCTTACAAAATGCCAATCCTTCAGATAGAGAATACGTCTGCGACTACCGGCGACATCATCGGAACGAGTTCTGATGTCATCTTGCCAGTAGTCCAGGTACTCATTCAGGGTCATTTCAATTTTGACATGGCTGCCGTACTCGACTTGCTCACAGTCAGCCACCGGTACCTTGGTCTCACCTGGACACAAGTCATGCATGAACAGATAGCATGGAATAGACCTCAAGCAGCGGTGGAATGAATTCACCATTAAAATGGCTGTATCTAGATGTGTTGTATGTTTACTTTAGTGCTGTTCGCCATCATGCACTTGGGAAGTTGTTTGGAACAAAATAAATAGTAAAAGCAGTGCATTTGAGAAATGTTGCATGCGTGTGGTAGACAGCAGATGCAGTGGATAGTCACTATAAGTTGGCTAGCTCATGCTGTAAATGAGATGATGGAACACACCCGTCATCTTGATGACCCCGTACACCTGCATGATACATGTTACTATCATGCATAGTGTGGCATGCGGTAGTTTATGTTCCTTTGCGCAACCCAAACACAGGATGTATTATGCATGCCTGTCGATATTCCATGGGACTTTATTTATTTACTTTATCCATTGATATTTTTATTTTGTTCTATCTCTCGCACATGTATCCATACATCGTCAACACACGTTGTCTCTGGGCTACACCAGTGCTAAAATTACTATTCATTCTTTTCAGAGAAATGTACCTCGCGCACAGAAATAAGAAATTTGACCCGACGGAAAATGTAGAGCCGGCACATTATCTTTCTTTCTTCCAAGTGAGGCCTGTCAGGCAGGCATGCATGCATTTTTAACCTACTCATGCATTCGAGAAATCTGAATGGGGTTGGTAGTCTATGACCACCAGTACTACAGTAGATCCATCCAAACACATAATGTTATTATTATTAATATTATTATGAGCTTCATAATTATTTTAAAATTTACATGATTGCTGATCAAACAAGCCAGGGTCAGTTAGATAAAAGCATACCGTATCTCTGCCTGAGATGTGGCCAATTCGGCTTGCCATCCTCTCCAACCCAGTCACGCCTCGCCAGCCAGTCACTAGTCAAACTTTCTCCGATCAGGCATGCTTTGTTCGGTAACAGAAATCTCTCAAAAAATTCTTCTACGCTGATTTTAGGAACGAATGGAATTTCCCGATCCCTTGACCCGTAGTTCCTACGAACAGTCTCGAAATCGTTCAAGTCCACAGAGGGCTCCAGAAGTTTCCTGCAGATACCCAAGATCTCAGACATGGCATAGTTCCATCAAAGCTCGCCATGAGAGGACTCTCGACTGTTGCTCCAACCTTTTCGTCGATCTACTGATAGTACATGTACTGTTTATTTCACATCTGACGATCTGTTCATGCTGTGCATGTGAAGTAAGTGCACACGTGCCGGAATTTTTTGAAAAATCAAACTCCACGTGGACGTGTTGGCTGTTGCCCAGCTTCTTCCACACATGTGAGATACAATGGATAGTGACATACAGTACTGCCTACTGGTATGGCATAATTATTGTAGATCTACGAGTACTCCAGACCAGGGTTCTACTTCTACTTCTAAGTTCTAGCCAGGTCAAAATAGTAGGGGGGGGGGGGGGGGCATGGGAAACAGTTACCCCGTAACCCATTTTTCAAAATAATTGTCTTGCCATGCAAAATGCAACGTACAGGGCTAGGGCGAACCCCCGACTTCAATTCACCCCAGACAAAATTTGCCTTTATGAACCCTCTACATTGTAGTACTAGTATAGTGACTATAAAGACTAGACCTTCAAGATCACGCTGAGCTTCGTATTCTCCCAGACGAGCAATTCGCCTACCGCAGAGGGCACTCCTGTGAGGATGCGTTAACTCTCGCAGTAAACCGCTGGATGATGAGTGTGGACAAGGGCGAGTATTGCGGGGTTGTACTCGTGGACATGAGCAAGGCCTTCGATCGGGTACGCCATGAACTACTACTTAACGAGCTTCAAGCTATTGGCATAAGCGGAGTAGCACTACAGTGGTTCTCCAGCTATCTCCAGGGTCGACGACAACAGGTGAAAATTGGAAATAACAGAGGAGACGAGACACATTGTACACGAGGCGTTCCGCAAGGGTCGGTGCTAGGGCCTCTGTTATTCTCTTTGTACGTGCGACATGTCCCTGGAGTACTTCGCCACGCAGAGTCCCAACAGTATGCTGACGATATCGCCTTTTATATACACTGTCAGTCTACTGGAGAACTTCAGCACAAGTTGACAAGTGAGTTGAACAGACTAAATACGTACCTTGGAAGCATTGGTCTCATCTTGAATGCCCAGAAAACGAAGTTCATGGTGCTTCGGAAGAAGGCTCTGCCTCTTCCGCCGGATCTTACCATTGCATGCGGTGGTGTCGATATTCGACCTTCTGCCACAGCGCGTTATCTTGGCCTCATTATTGACCAACACCTCACCTTTGAGGATCAAGTCAACCATGTGTGTACATCTGTTTATAAGAAGATAGGAGCATTCCGCCGCTGCCGCCGTACAGTAGATCACACAACTAAGCGAATATTTTATTTATCCCTCATCCAATCCACTATTGAATACGCCAGCAACTCGTATGCTCACTGTCTTACACCATCTTTATACTCTCGCCTTGTTACTTTAAGTCATATCAGCATGAAACAGGTTTTTGGTCTCCCTCGCCGTACCCCGACTGTCTTTGTTTTGCGGCACGCTAAGTTATACTCCCTCGAATCTCGTCTCAACTTGAGGCTTTTTATTTTTGTTTTCCGCTGTATTCATCAGCTTACAAGTCCTCTTCTTTCCTCAATGTTCACCCTCCAGTCGGCTGCTACTTGCACCGAGAGGCGCACTAGAGGGCAATCATTCTCTTCACTTTCTTTGCCCGCTGCTACCACTAGATATGGCATGTTCTCCATTTCTTTCCTTGGCGCTGATAGGTGGAATTCTCTGCCTGTCTCGTGTCGTCAGGTTGAGCATCTATCCGTTTTTGTTTCGCTCTGTAAAGAGCACTTAGGGTTCCCTGTAACAAGACGGCAACGTCTGTAGGGCCTTCCCTATCAAAATAATAAATTCTACTACTACTACTACTACTACTATCGACTGCATTTTCGTTGAATGGCATGAAAAAACACAAAAATCGACAAAATTAATGAGTAGGGGGGGGGGGGGGCAAACAGAGTACGGGGCGCTCCCCCCCCCCCCCCCGGCCCCCTTTGCCTAGAACCCTGTACAGTCAACTTCGCTAATAACGACTGCGGATATAACGACAATTCGCGAATAACGACCGAATTTCCATGCCCAGAGCAAAGTCCCATCTAACTGTACACATTTTACTTCGGATATAACGACTATCTGAATAACGACAATTCGCGTATAGCGACATGCTTTTAGTGCCCCGAGGTCATATTCACTGCTTGAATAACGACTTTCTGGGCTTTTGACAGCTATTTCAAGTACCTATCAGTCAAGTACATGTACATGTACATGTACCTGTCATGCAGAAGTACCAGAACCTATGGTGATGGATATAAATGCACACATGCAAGAAAATGCAGCCAAGGGGGGGGGGCTTTTTCTTCCTTTATATGTTGGCTTCAAAATTGTTGGATTTACCAGCACACCTACATGTATATGTATACAATGTACATGTAGTTGTACTAGATTGTACAGTAATCATCATACATGTACATGTCTCTGGCCCTGTAGATGGCTCAAAAAGGCATACTTTTCAATAGATTTCCCTTGCATATTGAATTTTTAGTTCCTTTCAACTGCAATATGAAAATAAAGTACACATTGACATAGAGCAAGAAAAGAGCTTGATTTTGATATGCATGTCATACTATACAAAATATGGGTTCACATACATTCAAATGGGACTTCGGTTATAAGGACACTTCGCGAATAAGGACACTTTTCTGATGCCCCGCCGAATGTCGTTATTGGCGAAGTTGACTGTACTCCCTAGCCTAGGCCCTGGTGAATTATGATGAGCATGGTGAACGTGAGCTGTGACTGCATGTCAAGTGACTTGCAAGTTGACTGTTTTCTTCTCTGGATCACGATTTGAGAAACGTCATCTTCGGGCTAAATATCAAACTGGTTGGGTGCAATCAAGAGCACTTTTGTATGGAACATATGATAGAAATACTGTACTAAAATACTGAAAGGGCATGACCAATATAAGACAGCTATTGTGAGCATTGGTACTAATTATAGTACAATAATGTCTGATTCGACAAAATGAGCAGAACAATCCAAATGTAATATTCTGTTACCGTATTCTCACCGGGATACGATGTTCTTCAGCCAGCTGCATAGTGGCTAAACATGTTGTCATCTACTAGTATTTTCAATTGAATTACATGTACATCAGAGAATGTCTATTTTCATAGTATGCAGCGGATTTCAGTGATATGGTTTTTGTGCTTTCTTGCGTCAAAATAAGCAATTCTGAATAGTGGAGAGTCACCACACAAACGTGTTTAACGTCACAGAGTAGTGGTTTATGATATGCTGATTGCTGTTGTATGCTGTACAGCAAGTATAGTATTAAAAGGCTAGTGGGCAAAAAATCAAGTTGCACTACAAATAGGCTAGTCAGTGCTACTGTTCACTGAGGTCTGGGCAGGTGTACTTTCAAGCTGCTGTCGCTTCTTTCTCAGCGTGTCGCTCATGTCCATGTAATTGTCGTCAACTGTGACCGTGCGGCTGACAAGAAAGCGGGGCCGACTGCCACGCTGCAGGCTGGTGTTTCCCAGTACAACTGCCGTGTTGTCAAGCTCGTCTACAGACGAGTACACATTGCGTGTCGACACGAGACTGCAACAGTCTTCATCGACGGTATTGGCCCAGGCAGCACCGGACGTTTCACTGAACAATCGCCGGGACTCCACTGACACGTACTGGTCGTCGTCAGAATCACACAGTACATCTTGTGACGAATACACACCCGTCTGGGACTGGGACTCAGCCATGTACCGCGGTGGGCCAGTTCTCTCATCGGTGCTCAAGTTGACGTACTGATCATCTTCATCCAACTGCTGTGTGACATGCGAGCGAGCAGGATAGCGTGGCAGGCCAGCTCTCATATCTATTTTAACATCAATGTAATGATTGTCTCTTGGCCGGCCGGGCTGCTGCTGCGGTGCCAGCAATGGCTGGTGCAAATCAGCTTCGCTAGCAGTGGACACATCATTATTACTGGATGCAGGAAGTTTGCTTCTGGGAGCGGGCACCGGTACACTCATCTTGGCGTGAGCAGCACGGGCACTGTCCATGCTCATGTATTCATCATCATCGACGTTGCCGTTTCCGTCTTGTTGCGATCCACTGTCTCTGGAAGTGGAGAACACTGCGGGACTACTTGCTAAGCCACGACCATCAGCAAACAGTATGACCTCCTCATAACTAGGCTTTCTGGTGGGACGCCGTGCTAGCGTGGAAGGTACGTCATATGAGTTACCCGCACCACACTCAGCCAGGGATTCTGTCTCGCTAACCGTTGTCAGCATATTGCGGATGTCAACGTGGTAAGATTCGGCATGATCAGGTCCAGGACGAGGTGGGAGACTAGACGCATTGCACGACTCGACTGAAGATGACGTGATGCTGACATCTGAGCCGGATTGGGCTATAGTCGGTGGTGAAGTTCCACTCTTGGGAACTTCCTCATAGTTTCGCGCTGGGAGTGGTGGAACATCATCAGACTGTTGGGAATTGAGGGATGCATTGCTGCCCACAGGTCTTGCTGCTGGCACAGGACATGGTGGAACATCATAGGTATCAGGACCTTCAGCAGCATTGCAAGACTCGACTGAAGATGACGTGATGCTGACATCTGAGCCGGATTGGGCTATAGTCGGTGGTGAAGTTCCACTCTTGGGAACTTCTTCATAGTTTCGCGCTGGGAGTGGCGGAACATCATCAGACTGTTGGGAATTGAGGGATGCATTGCTGCCCACAGGTCTTGCTGCTGGCACAGGACGTGGTGGAACATCATAGGTATCAGGACCTTCAGCAGCATGCAAAGAACGCGGTGATAGATCAGGTACATCAGCTGACATGACAGAAGACGAATTGTTATCGCTGACACTCGAACTGGAATCTTTCGCCACAGGTGTCATCGTATGGTCAGGGGTGTCATTGAAATTTCGTGCGGGAAGTGATTCACGTTCTGGCACGGAATTCAGGGACGGTCCATTATCCCCGGGCCTAACGGCAGGTACCGGATGAGGTGGGACGTCGTACGTACCAGGATCCTCGGCAACAGGTCCTGGACACGGAGCAAGACTAGGCACATTGGATGTATTTGTGCTCGAAGATACAGTATTGCTGCTGACATGCAAGCTGGAGCCTTTTTGAGGTACATCGTATTCGTGGATGGAGTTGAGGGGCACACTACTCTCTCCGGACCTTGGTGCAGGTACCGGATGTGGCGGGACATCGTATGTATTATGCGATGAAGCTTGAGAGGCAGCATCACTATCAGCATTTGACAAGGGCACTGGTGGCGGAGGTATATCATACGTACTGCTTACAACGGACGCAGCATTCATGTCAGCATTCTCAGTGGTTGACTTGGATGTGCCTTCAGGTGAAACTTTGCCTACGCCAGTTTTAGCAGGAGCTGCACTTTTCAAATCCAAACGAGCATAGTTGACATCGGACAGAGTATCATCGCTTGTGCTCCTGGACTTCAAAGCAGCTCGCCTTTCTTGGACATGCGTTGTTGTAGTGTACGTGGAGTCAGCTGGCAGCATAGTTGGTGTCACAACTGGCCTTGCATTGGGCGCTGTGGTGGACGGCATGAGAGGCTCCATTGAAATGGCCTGCCCTGGCGGTGGCGGAGCCTTTGCATTCGCAGCTTCTTTTCTGCGGCTCGAAATCTTCTTTGCACGCTGCAACGCCTTGGGCTCTTCAGGAGGAGCGGAGAGTTTGTTGGCGACGGCATTCGGGGTTGACTTTGAACGAGAAGCAGCAGTGTGTATAGATGGCTGTGCTTGTGACACTGCGGTTGAGTTCTTCTGTGACTGCACAGAGATATCGTGATAGTAATGAGAAGCAAATGCATTATCGCTTCCAGTTGGGCTTAGCGACTGATCACTATTGGAACTGAGCGTGCCACTGCGACACTGTGATTCATTGTGCGGTCTCCTGCCACCAACACTACTGGCAGTACGTGGGATCAGCGGTAGCTGACCGAGTGACGCAGCATGACTCAATGCAGCAACTGAATGTCGGGCGGAGTGAACAGGTGCCCCGGACGCTGCCACCACTGCACCTGCAGCAGAGCCGGACATGTCAACATACTCTGCATTTAGATCAGGCAGAGGCAGTTCGTTGCGACCTGCACGGACGCTGTCCTGAACAGGTCGACCCATCGACCGCGGCAGAGTAGATGCATGAGTAAGAGAAGACTCTGACTTGAAGGCTTGACGGCGCTCCTCCATTTTACGGACACGATCCATGGCCGTTGTTGTATTGGCCGGGCTCTGATCTGGAGGAATTTTTGAGTACCCATCTGGGCCAGGCATACTTCTATCCGAACCAACTGTCATGGACACCAGGGGTTTATCACTTAGAACATTTTGGTATTCAGGTAAGTCAGGTGTCAAAGGGCGATCAGACGTGCTAATTGCCAAGTCATCACCGGGCATGTCCAGCTGGCCCGGCAGAAGCTTAGCCCGAGAGTTGAGTCTGCCCACCTCCAGGTTGTGAATGTCGATGGCTTTTGGCATGGCCTGCAGCTTGTCCCGTCGATGCTGCACGCCGATGGAGCGCAGATCGTGCAAGCTGGAGCTACGGTGGTCAGCGGAGATGATTCTGGTGGACGGCAGTGAGTGTGTCGACTGCTGGCTGAGCATGTTGCGATATTTACTGGCCGGATTGAGAGGAGTTAGATCGTAGGGCCTATCATCAAGGCACAGCTGACTCACATCTGCCTGGCGCACGGAAGACGGCACAGCAGCAAATGGCTTCAAAGCCTGCAGTGCAGCAGAGTTGGAAGAAACAGAGCCGGGAAGGTGTTCTGAAGAGCCCGAGCTGGCTGTGTCACCGATCGAGCCATACACACAGTTGATAGATTCCTTCTGCAGGTTGGGTAGACTCTTCCATGAGAAGATGGAGCTGTTGGTCGATACAGAGCTACCACGTCGGTCTGGTGAGAGAGCGACGGCAGCCAGGCTAGACTTTAGTGTGGGTGATGATGCACCTGGCATTGGCAAAAAAAAAGATAAAGAGAGGGAAGCAAACACGACAGTGACAAATTGAGGATGCTGCAGAACTAAATGTATGCAGAACCTAATCCCTCAAATTTCTCAAGGCATGGGGAGGTCTTACTTCTTGGGTAGGGTCGTTCTCGAAATAATTAGTCAGATCTGAACTGTTGCGAACCGGAGTCATGTATTAGTACCGTATTTTCCGGAGTATAGTGTGCACTTAAGATGTGCTATTCTAGGCCCTAAATCGCAGGTGCGCACTATGCTCCGAATATGAAATGCATGTACTTCAATGAAGATTGAAGTGCGCACCTCCAATGAAGATTGGGGGTGCGCGTTATACAAAGGTGCGCACTATACTCCGAAAAATATGGTATGCAGATGGCAAAAAAATTACCCGTATGCTCATAACACTAGTAATTTTACTAGTACCCCCCCCCCACCCGTCATTGTAACGTCAAGCAGTGAAAGTGACCAGGGCGGAGAAGTCCAATCTACCAGCTTGTGCATTAGTCCCCATATCAGGTGTACCCTTTCTTCTAATATGTACGTGTACAGGCACTGCTGACAACCATATGCCAGAGTAAGTGCAAACCTCTCCATTTGCTAGGTGATAGATTAGGACGGAATGGACCAGTAATGCTAGAACTTTTTTTACGCTACACTTGGTGACTCGTCATTCTGCTGGAGAGCGAATAGATGCGGTCCTTACCGTTCTGGGTGCTGTTGGGTTGAACACGGCGCTTGCAATAGGTGACTAGCTGGTTGCTGACATCCTCTACCAGTGTTTCATCATACATCAGATGTGGAGAAATGGCCTGGCGCAGCGCTTCACTGGCCTTGGGAACGTCGTTGCACAGCACGGTCAGCATGACATTGTCGCGACTTTTCGTCGTCGCTGGGACCGCCTCAATCCACAGCTGAGCGACATCCAGGCGGTGGCCAATGGAAACCACCTTCCACAGCTCGACCTCGTATATGGTGTCCAGGGTGATGGCATGGCGCAGGACAACCTTGCTCGGGTACGGCGTCACCGGCTCGAGCATCAGCAGTGCGTCCTGCGCGTCGATCACTTGATGGCGCGGCACGGTGACGTGGAACACACTGGGAAGGTGGCCTAGCATGAAGCAAGACAGCCAGCACAATCACAGTCCCAATACGCAGAGTGAATACGGACACAATAGAGGGTACATTCTCAACCTTGAAGTTGGGATGTGCCCACAATCCACCAAAGGCAGAGAGAAGGTACAAGTGATCACTAAGAACAGCAGCAAGAACTACTTTTACAGTGTACACGTAGAGCATGATTGCATAGTCGGGGTCACGAATAGACTTACTTGAGCCAATCGGCGAAGAGACAGCATCTTTGATAGCAGCAACCCACATGAGCAGCTCTGCCTCCGTGTCAAACCGAAGACCGAGTAGAAAGCCCGCGGAGATAGCCGCGGCTTGCATGGCCCCTTTGGCTTTGCTGCCACTGCTACTGCCAGTGACTGCACTTGTGTTGAGCGGAGAAAACGCCAGAATGCAGGAATGATACGCCTGCGTTTTTTTGCCAGAGAGGTCGTTGAAGAGGGTGACGGGGTGAACGCCATTGAGACGATGCAGAGGAATGGACAATGGCAGTGTACCCACTCCCACCTCCGTGGACTTCTTTCGACCAAGCCATTTGCTCTTCTGCGCCACTGAAAAGCACAGCTCTCGACCCACGCTTCCTGATAAGACAAAAAAAAACGTACATGGATAAGGAGCATTAGTCATCAGAAGTGTATAACGGTATTCTAATAGACCCAGTACATACACTACAGAGCTAGAGAACATGTGCATGATCAGGCGATGCACATAAGCATGGCCTGATCATGACATACTGGTACTTAACAGCACACCGCAGCCTCCTTCTTCAAAGAATTGTTCAACACGGCTTATCCATTGTACACAAACGATGATGTACATTAATTTTTAATACAGAACTAATACTGAAGAAAGAAGGTAAGGCCAAGTAAAAAAAAAAGCTAGATGATCGTCCCCGTCCGCCCCAGTTTTTGTCAGCGCCCCAAGAAATATTTTATTTTTTAAATCGTGAGTTTTTGCCGAAATCGTTGGTTTTTTACCGATCGCGGATGCAGGAAACATGTGCACGCTTTGTTTAATACTTTCTTTACTATATGGACCACATACTACTAGTATATCACAACGTCAGTATCGATCTGCTGAAGAAAGAAAAAGAAAAAAGAGAAAAAAAAAGAAAAAAAGAGAAAAAAACCTTGATGTTGTTGTGTACACTGTGTGCATGAGAGGGTAAAAAGTAAAAAAATAAAAATAAAATCCTCCCGCCCTCCCCGATTTTTCCAAAAAAAAGGACGATCATCTAGTAATTTTTTTTACTCGGCCTAATGTCAATCTTCAAATAATCTGACAAGAGGACATTGATTGGCACTCATACATACAGGGGTTACAGAGGGTAGGAGAGCTGATAAGAAGGAGACACATTCAAGGCTCATTCCTTCTTTCCTCTCCATATTAGGAGTGTGTTCACTGCAGGGGGGGGGGGGGGGCACAATTCACTGTTTCCAAACACAAGTGCAGCCATTCACATTATTCAACTCAACACAACCACCTAGAGTAGGCACTGTGCATCTGGTAAGGTAAGTTTTGGTGCTCTAGTGCAGTATGTATTACTCTCAAGTGACCCACCTGCTTCTCGATTATGAATGGTTAGATTGCAACTAGAATACCATCTCCAGTCAGGGTTGTAGCTCACTGGCACCTGTGCACGCACACAAATACACACACACACACACACACACACACACACACACACACGCACACACACACACACACACACACACACACACACACACACACACACACACACACACACCACCACCACCACCGCCGCCACCACCACCACCAACATACATGTACAGATAGCACTCTTAGATGCAAGTTAGTTCACTGTTACACTCTAGCCAGTCACCTGCACTGGACCCTAAACGTCACAGTGCATTAATACACCCGCATCAATACACAGTATGTGCATCGATAGACAAGTACATGACTGTATCTACATCCATACATACACACAAGTACTGCCCAAAACCAGTATTCATAATGGAAGAGGACTGGAGACAGAACTGCTACTGCACAGCCTGCACACAATCACTGATTACTAGATACAAGAGTACAATTTACTTGCTGCCTGCAACTGTAAGTGGGAGATCAAAGAGCCCAGCATCAATCAGATAATACTAGTACTGTCAGTAGTGTACTCCTAGTATTATAAATAATCACTAGTACGTCCTAGCTTGGAGGAGTAATAGAACATCTAGATTCTAGACTAAAGAATAGCTTTATCAGTTATCAGATACACCAGGCTGGCTAATGCAGAGTTTGGAGAAGATTATGATCAGGTTAGAACAACAGCACTGTGTCAGCAAGCTCAAGTTCCCTGTCACTTGTATCAGGCTAGGCAAAGTCCAGGCCAGTGTCAGCCAGATCTTCTCTCTTGACCTCTCAGCAGGATTTCCTGTCTTGATTGATTAAAGTGCCAACGTGCATTGCTTCCACTTCCTGCCACATGCGACTGCAGGACACTGTGCATACCACATGCCACTCAAGGACACTGTATGCAGAAATGGAGAGTTATGGGCCTTATGGCACTACCGGTACTTTTGTCACTGTACATGTACATGTACATGGAGTTATGCACTACAATCATGTACGTATGTCAAAGTATGGCACTGTCATGTACATGGAGTTATGGCACTACTCATGACACTGGTAAATCTGTTTCAGTGTCGTGAAGTAGCGCAGTAACACACTCTTCATACAGCACATAGCAACATCACTAAAATGGCAAATGTGCATGGGTCATAGCCATACCTACCTAAACTGCAGGTCCCCTGGAAAAACTGCACTTCCAATGCACAAAGGTTATCAAAGGTCGTACTTATTGATTTGTAGCTATACCTAATAAGGGATGTATGTGACTTGACCATTGCATGTCATGTACCAGTCGAGTGGCACAAACACACAACGTTTTACTGCATATGCCTAGATAGTCCTGCCCATCTACATGAATTGATTGCACAGTCCATATATACTACATGCAGCACTTTATTATTAGTACCAGTAATTGCCTGTAACTTAGTAAGTTACTCATCCAGCCAGGGATGACAGATAGAGATAGATAGACACAGAGAGAGAGAGAAGGAGAGGGGGCATGGAGAGAGAGAGAGAGAGAGAGAGAGAGAGAGAGAGAGAGAGAGAGAGAGAGAGAGAGAGAGAGAAAGAGAGTTCCATACACTGTCTAAGCGATGACCAATACAAGCTGAACTACTAGTACTTCAAAGCACGTGTGAAACCTGATCAAGCAATACACTGCTTTCACCAACCACGGGGGTCTATAAGACAATCATCCTTTGGCACCAAATGAGTGGAACATGCATGGTGTCAACCTGGTTTCAGAGACCACCTGCATTGAAAGACCATAATGTGGGTAGCATGAGTGGTTGCTGGAACCAGGTTTCACCTACACAGTACATAGTGTTCGGCCACTGGTGCACAAGAATGTGTTCTATAGACACATAGAGTATCAGTGTGTCTATACAGACATCGGAATCTGTGTCAAAGAATGGCCTGAGATGAGCGGAAGAACTATTAGTATTGACAAGTTCTACTCCTAGATTCCCAGCTGTCAGCTGTCAAGGCGATACCCTGGCCTATCTGCCTGTGCACAAAACCCGCATCAGCAGAGAGCAGAGATTGATGTGCACACGGACATGGCAGCAGAAACACACGCTGCAGCACGAGATGCTCTCCCGAACAGCACCTACCTTTGGCAGGCAGGACTGGATGAAGGCCACGTCGCCGGTACCCTGCTGAAGGACGCGTGCCTTCCCAGCACTCGCTCTGTCCGGACTGGCACCCTTCATTCTACTTGTGCCATTCCTTCTTTTACGCCTGCAAAGCACAGCAAAGAACCATATACTACAGCGTCAATTACTCAGCACTCACACGGCATGTGAAAAAAAACTAAAACACAACCTAGCTAATATCCACCTCCACTGGCCAAAGGCAAGCACAGCATAGCATTTTGCCCTGCTGTATTGCATGGCCAGAAATCTGGCAGTAGGAGACCATGACAAACTGAAATAGTACCACAAACCAATGCATGCAGTTTGGACCCAGAAGAATGTCTTACAGGACGGCTCCATTTCCTTGTTCAACGAAATAAGAGGAAGTTATAATCGGGACTACTGGTAGTTGTAGCCAACTGCCTGCCGTACCTGAACAGCTTTCGGATTGCCTTCATCATAGCTGTTATAACAGGCTATGGAGGAATAACAGCCAATGGCAAACAGCGTGCCACACTACCGCTGGTAGCTCATTCAGGGCTCCTCCACCACGGAGCACTCATGTTTCTTGTCAATTTCAGGCGAGGGAAGCAAACTAGGACTGGAGTACCCATGCCCAGTCCCAAATACATGCAATGGTGAATACATGCATAGAATGCTAATCAGCCATGCATGCAAAGCCATGTCACAGAGTGGTTGCAACACGGCAAAGAAACAAGCAGAAGGAAACAGAGCCGGATACCACATCCAGCACAGTCAGACAGTGCGTTTTTGTTTAGGGTGCACTAGCCAACAGAGAAAACAACACCAGACTGATCCAGATTAGCGGAATACAGTGCTGACTGTCGTTGTTGTATCGCACTAGGACTAGTCAGGAAGTGGTGGGTTTCCACTGGCAATACATGTACCGTGGTATGGCGATTGCACAGCTATTGTAGTGTTGTAGTGTTTGCAATCACAACCCTGGGTCTGCGCCAAATGATATGACCCAAGTCCTGATCACCTCTAATATAAACGTTATCCTATGTACAGAAGTAGAACATGCACGATTGTGAGTAGAGTAACACAGTCATAACTAACCCAGTCTGGAAGGAAGTTCCGGAGCGCAGCAATAGCTTGGAAACCTATCTAAGACGTCCACCGGATGGCCAGTTGAGACATCAAGGACGTCTCGCTTTCTCTTCCAACGGTATGGCAACAATTCTTAGCAGGACACCCTGAGTTGTGCCAAGTGGAAGTGAGTAACCCACCTCGTTGTGTTTCTTCAACACACCAAACTGCGATTCTACATTCTTCGTCGGGAGGCATCGAGGCTGTACGGACTGTAGCAATCAGTCCATCTATAATGACAACGTGCATTTGAGCCCATCGAGGAGTATCGGACCGGTGCGTGGTGGCTTTCCAGGCACTTGGCAGTGTTGAAATTACACCAAGAGGCCAGGAATTTGCCGGAATCTCCATCATCATACCCGGCCCAAGCCAAACGTCATCCGCTCCGTAGAAAGACGGACGCTGCGCGTGCGTCACATGAACGTAAGTGCCACCCCTTCAAACAACTTGAACCAATGAAGACAATCGATTTCCGAGATGAAACGATCAGCATACAAGTCAAGAGTGATAACGACGATCAAATCAAAGACAAAGGACGGTGATGCCAGTCCAAAAAGCCAGAGTGTTGCAACCTCATCATCTTCACTAACTTTTCCCGTTTGAAAAGTCACCCTTTTCGAAAATTTGTTTTACAGATTTTTTCGGTCTGAGAAAAAAATGGCGCTCCGACTCGACTAGCGCACGCACATGCGTCCGATCGAGTTCGAGTCCGAGCGCTAGTTTCGTAATTTTACACGCGGTACAAAGAGAAATTTGCTTTGCAATATTTTTTGTTGTTGAAGGTTGGCTGTTTCTCCTTCATGTGATCGCAGAGTAGAGCGGTGATCAGAAGGACAGGGATAACGTTTCCCAACTTCCCTTTGCCATGTCGTCTACCAAGATTTATATTGGTGATTTGGGTAACGATGGCAGTGAGAGAGAAATAGAGGACGCTTTCAGTCGATATGGAAAACTCACTGAAGTTTGGGTCGCCAAGAATCCTTCGGGCTTTGCATTTGTGCACATGACGGACCCACGAGATGCTGATGAAGCTGTTCACAGGCTAGATGGCAGTCGCCTCTGTGGACATCGTGTGCGTGTAGAGATTTCTAAATCTCGGCCACGTCGAGGTGGCGGCCGTGGCTATGGAGGCGGTGGAGGAGGCGGTTATGGTGGTGGTCGATTTGGTGGCGGTCGTGGCAGGGATTATCGTCAAGATAGATACCGAGACTCGAGGTGGGTTGGACGAGTTCTGTTTCACACTGAAATAATGACTATGTTGTTGCTGTTGCCGTTGTTGTTGCTGTTGTTTGAAATCTTTTATTCTCACGATGGCCTGTGGCCAATAAGAGAAAGAGTTGTTGGTGTTGTTGTTGTTAACCATCAGCCACTGTTCTCACTTAAGGGTTTTGAGTCTTTTGACAGTTACATTATAGTTCCAATACTACAATTATAGTGCTAAATTTACAGGCTTTTTGTACAATTTAATCCACCAGCACTTGTGCCAAGTGCACTTTCTTCAAATTTCAGGGGGTTGCTTGTCATAGTGTATCCCTTGTACATTCTGCCCGATATACATGTGCTTCAGTCGAAGCAGAATGGTGAGTTTGCGCTCTCATGCACAGCAGACGGGGTTGGCCCACTTCTTGAAAATTTGCTGATTTGCTAATATTTTTTTTAAATTACCGTATGTCCGCACCTTAAAAGCCATGGCGGTATATTCGATTATAAAGCCATGGGCTTCATAAATAAAATGAGGTTTGAAGTACGTTTTGCAGAAATGAAGGAATAAGTACTAGGCCAACAAAAGTACAGCCCAGCAGGAAAGGTGAACAAGTGGATTTAGATTGAAATTTCTGTGTGGACTTTGACTTTTATGGCATGGCGTAGTGGATGAGTCATTTTGCATCTAAAATATCTAGGAAAGCAGCGGTGTTTCGAATATTATAAGGGCATGGCTTTAAAGGCGCTGACATACGGTATATAAGACGCTTGATTTACCACTCACATTTATTGGTTGAGAGACTAACCTCCTCTCCCCTGACTCACTTGTGAGGTCTGCATTCGCCACTAAGGTTAACAGGCATAGTGGTGGCCTGCGGATGCGAAGGCTAGTTTGTGTGTTTCTGAACATTCAAGCGATGCCGACGCGGATCCCGCGGATATTATTTATTTATTCTCTTGCGAATGAAAAGACAGTCTTGCTTACTGCTGACATTGTCTGTTACATCCATCAGATAAGCTATTACAAGGCATGATTTACTCAAACACAAGTGCATAGTATAAGTGCTATACACTTTCACGTTCGTTTGTATACTGCTACTAGTACCAGTCTTTTCCATTTCTGCGTAGCAGCTTCCCAAGCTGTTTTTTGAGCATACAGAGCTGTTAAATGCACATTGTAAGATGGATTTTTGCAAGATAATTTCGATCGACCAATCCGAATTGGCAGCGATCCTCAATAGTACAGTGAAGTGGTGATGATAACACTGAGATGATGAAGAGAGAACAGTATCTTGGCGTTTGGATTGCCACTGTACCAGGTGCTCAGTACAACATGCGGGGTTACAGGAACAAACTGAGGACGTGGGTCACTGAGTATCGTGTGCGACTAAACCTTCCTATTGCCAAAGTTATACAGGTACCACTTGGAACTTTGGTGTGTACATGGTGGGGAACACGCATCATTTTAAATAGAGAATTATTGTTTTGTCTTTGAAGTGTGATGTGATGCTCTTGTTCAATACTGTAGACTAGCCAGCACAGCTGTCTGATATCCATTGTACCGTTGTTGAAGAATAGCGGTGCTAGAGACGCTTGACTTCAGTCATATTTGATAGTTGTGTGACAGGACATGTTTCGTCCGTATCAGGACCTTGTGACACGTTTGCCACGCATGAATTCTGCCAACTGCGGAATACTAGTCGTTCGTGTGTTCTCGTCCATATTTTAAAAGTTTAGTGGAAACCCCTTAGACACTGTGCAGGGTCAGAAATCTCTGTCCTGTGTACGAAGGTGTCCTCATGACAGACTGTTTCATTGCTTTGTTTTGAGCAATTAATTGGGATTGACCCATGGGCCTGGTGTGACCCCTAAAGGAGGTTCTGTTACGAGTGGGATGTGTATTTCTGAGCCAGCACTTGATCATCTGATAAATGATAGGATTTTTTCTTCACCTTTATAATGGAGCGGACACCGCTTTTGACTAGTTCAATGATTGTGGTATGATAGTAGTATACAGATACCAGCTTCTGAAAAATCCTATGTGGTGGCTGTTGTTTTATGCACCGTACACAGATTACTTCTTTAATGCGGCTGCCGTCGCTCATGCGCGTCTTTCCGCCGACAAACTTCCTGGCAAACTTCCCGGCTCCGGCAGTCGATCCGTTTGCCTTGTCCTCTCTGCATAATCGCCAGATTCACTGCCAATCTTGTGTGCCGCACATCCACGGCTCTCGTCTCTCCCTCTGACAATCTTGCTTAGTCACCCCACACGACAGTCGGCCGGCAAATGTCCAGAGCTCGTCCCTACGCGGCCGAAAAATCAGTGCCGTCCAGTGATGGTTCTATTGTATGTGCGAATGATCTCTTTGAATGCATGCCTGACCAGTGGTTTCTCGTTGACTGCATGCCTCTTTGTAAGGAAGTCCAATGTACATTCCCTAACAGTTGGCTCACTGCTCATGTTACCTGGAGGTATAGCTTGAGTGTTTGGTTCAAGTTAACGGATATTCTCCCATGAATTCATATGGTTGGATGCATGAATCGTCAGGGGGCTTGCTAGGAGCACTGCTTTCAAGGTTCTAATCTTACTGTATGCTTTCTTTCTTTTTCGCATCTGATCATCACTCAGGTATCGCTCGCGATCTCGTTCTCCCCGCAACCGCTATAGATCAAGGTTAGTATCAGCTGTGTCTTGCAGTTGCATTCTTTGCTCTACATGAATTTGCCAACTTTTTTATTGTCTATTTACGAGTCGCACAAACATTCTTTTTGTGGCCTCTATTAAAGGCTCTAACTGTTATTTTGCGCATGGGAAATGCATCGCAACACCTGTCGTGCCTAAAACGGTTTGCTTGACTTCAACTTATTTGCCCCATCTCACGACCGTCGCCTTGCGCATTGTGAGACATGTCCCGTGCATGAAATGTAGTGGAACTTGGGCTTTATAGAACGGACACAGAATTTTGGCCATCTTCCTGAGTGAAGTGGCTGCAGTTGGGTTGGTACACCTAAAGAGAACGTTTTCTAAGACTTCTTGCTTTTCACTTCTTCTTGGTGCTTGTAGATCACGTTCACCGCGCAGATCAAGGTCCCGCTCCCCAGCTTATCGCCGTCGGTCACCTTCAGTGGAGCGTCGCCGCTCACCCTCGTTTGATCGTCGCCGCTCAGCCTCACCAGACCGACGTCGCCAGGACTCGCGCAGTCGCTCGCCTGTGCCTCATCACAGATCCTCGTCGCCAGGTCGCAGGAGCCGCTCGCCGCAACCCAATAGATCTCGTTCCCGATCACCGCGGCAGTCTCGATCGCCAAGCCGGTCGCCGGGGAGATCACCCCATTCCGCACGCCGCTCACGCTCGCCATCTGCTGGTCGGTCTGCATCGCCAGCCCGTGGCAGGCAATCTCCATCTCGTTCGCGTAGCTGCTCCCCTCAGCAGCAGCAGGAACGCCGCGTCCTATCTGCATCGCCACCACCCCGTCGCAGCTACTCTCGCTCCCCTAGTCCTCGTCGCCGTGGTTCTTCGCCGTCACCATCGGGAAGCCCTCGTGGTGAAAGGCGCTCGGCGAGCCGATCTCCATGATCATCTGTGTGTTATGTTATTGCATTCAACCTTTATTCACAATACAGGGGTAGCCATGCAGGCGTATGCACACGCACACTTGTGCATTGTCTCTCAGTTGAATTTTACGATGCCTTTACATCTAGTCTGCACAAGCTTCTCTCGAGCTTCTTCTAGTGGGTGAGTGAGTCTTAAAGTTTAGTTTGTGATGCTGATCTTCCTAAACGGTACACTTTACCTCCGCCTACTGTGCCTCCTGCTAGTGTTATCCATATGCCTCGGATCCATGACAAATTTTTTAAAACATTTTGTCTTAGCATTTGTACTTTGTAGCCTAGCCAGCTGGACTCTCTTTGCGTCTGTGCGTGTTCTCGTTTAGTCTTTTGATGACCAGGTGTCGATCTCACTTTGCCCAGTGCATTGCATTGTTCACTCGTGTTACTTTGTAGTACATATACGTGGCCGTGGATAGACACCCTGCCTTGTGCTTTCAATATCTTCCAGAGGCATGCTGCTGCCTTCGAGAAAGGGCTTGGCCAATGATTGGAAATTATTTTTACCTGACGTGAAAAATCCTGCAGATTGTTGTGGAGCCTTCAAGGTGCCCTGACATGATGTGAAAAGAAGTGTTCAAGTGTACACTCGAGCGTTTCTTGTCACATCAGGGCACCTTGCATTTGCTTGGGACCGAGCACCGTTTGTGCCCGTATCTGAGGTGTATCCGGATATAAGAGTGAAGACGTTGGAGTGTACACTGTGCCAGAACATCATTTTACTAAAGTCTACGCACACCACACGTACACAGACACACATACGCAGTCACGCACACAAACACCGTGTATACCAAGAGCACATTATGTACTCAGTCTCTTGTACCATGGCATGGTATCAAGCAGGGAGTAGTACAATTGTACTACTCCCTGGTATCAAGAGTACATAACCCCAGGGGTTATGTACTCTTGATGGTAGACTACAAAAAAAAACGTACCACAACATGACCGCACACTCAGCACACAGTCATGGTTCTCGACGGGAAATCCCCGGGCGCATTGGCAGAATCCTCACGTGCAGCGCTTGAATTTTTTCCCCCCTACAAGTACAACAAGGGTTGTAGGCCCTGTGAGATCTGGTGAGTGTGAAGCTGTGCTGCTTTGTCCTTTTCGCCTTCTCCAGTCCAAGGCTACAGTTGTACTACCGGTACTGTACTGTTTCGTTGTTGGACTGACTGTCTGTAGTTGTTGGTCTAGCAGGCCGCACTGCTTTCTGTAATACTAATAGTGCAGTCTTTCGTCCACAGGGAGTAGACCATCTGTTTCATCTGTGCGTTGCATTGTGTATGAGCCAGTGAGAACTAAGAAACTATAAAGTAGAAGCGCTGCCTCCCTCTCCAAAGAAGTTTTAGATTTGCAAGGCCAAAGGACGGGCTTATAATTATTTTTTTGTATCTCAGCATTCACACACGTAGACACACTACGGCTGAGTCACAGAGTGTAGAATGAGATCTAATCTTCAACGACAAGTCCTGCAGCTCTACAGAAGCTTCCTGAAGAGTGACTCTGCCCGTGGCAGTGAGCAGGTCAGAGAGCAGATTCGTCAGGAATTCAGGAAGAATGCTAAACTCGGACCCACTGAGATCATGAGAATCGAGACCCTTGTGCGCCGTGGAAAACGCCAGTTGAGCATGCTATCAAGTGAATCCATACAGATCAATACAGTCAGATCACCTTCACGGTGATAGAGAATTACCATGAAGTAAGTATTCCTGTTTTTCTTCCAGCAATTAATTTTCTGCACATCTAGATCTACAACCTTCATAATAAAAGGACAATAAAGTATTATTAAACTCCAAAAAAGTTGTATTTTGACAAATACGGTGGTGTAGATCTATTCTATATACTGTAGTGACATTACCAGGAGCGTGCAACATCCAAAACTCCAGTTACTTCCGAAAGCATGTAGTCTCTACCTCTATTGCCCCAGCGCGTATAAACTCTAACCAGAATACTCAGTTCCTAGAGCTACACGAAAGGAATGATCGCCTGCTAGTGTTATGTGATCTGATCTGATCAGGGGTGTAGCAACCGGTCCGGCTTTGACCACGTTTTTGCACCTTAATTTCAATTTTTTCACAGGGGATACCCCCGGGCCACCTTCAACGGTGGTGCTACGCACCTGCTGATGACTACCCGGTAGTGGGCTACAGTAGAGTCGCGCGCTGAAGAACGTGGAGCCCAAGAACGTCCAGCCTGAAATTCTAAGAACGCCACAGCCTAAAGCTAAGAACGGCGGTGTTGGTTTTCTGGCAGCCTGTGGGATACATAATGATCCAGTACGGATTGTTTCTAAGAACGTGCTATAAGAACGCAGCCAGATTGCTGAAAAATAAGAACGTCCCAGGCTAACCCCTTGGAAACAACGTTCTTGGGAGCGCGACTCTACTGTACACAAAAGGAACCTCGCCTTCTAGAGTTATGTGATCTTATCTGATAACTACAGTCCATTTCAAAAATATAGACGCATGGTATTTTTTGAAATATTTCAAATTTGGCTGGAGCTGTTTGATAATTTTTCTCGGAATATTGCTCAGGTCCTTCCCCCAATTACTCTCATAGATTTAATAAGCGATCGGATAGCAAATGGCCAATTTTGAGATTTTTATGCACAAAGTAATCACAGATTTTATGTGGTATAGATGCTGGTTTTGAAACACACTGTAGTGGGCTGCGCCCTGTGGCTGTCACATTTTAGACATGGCCTGAGATGTGAAGGATATAATGAAAACTTGGAAATCATGGTGAGCAGCATTGCGACAAAGCATGGGGCATGTGAACTCCCACATTACTGTGAACTTCAATTTTGGATAATTCCCAGAATACGTTGGAGAATGGATATGAGGCATCGCTTGATGAATAATGACGATTATAGTCTACAAGGAACTCTGTTCTGATGCATAATCATAATAATTGCATGAAGAGGTGAAGTGAAATGTAACGCTGTGGTGGTATTCATGCAGTGAGAATGTAGGGCCACTACAGTGTTACACGGAGCGGAGCCTCTGATGTGTGGTTACAAAGTGCGTGCTGTATGCACCTGTTACGGCTGTAGCTCAGTCATGCTACGTACAATGTACTAGTACAATCATGTAGTGCAGTGTAGTCACCTAAATGAGGTATAGCATGCATTCTTGCTGTGGACACTGGACACTTTCCTGTCAGTGGGACTGGCTGGAGGTGGCCATTGAAGTCTTGGGGTGTGAGTCGTGTGATGCAACCATATCAGGAACTGCTCTTCTCTAGATGTACATACGTTGAGCGTGGACCGTATTGAGTTGATGCCAGTTATGAATTCGTTATGCAATCTGCAGATGAAGATACGCTCCATCCAACGAATGCGTCCACTCTAATCACGAGCCGTCCACTGTGGCTATGCTCTTGAGATACGAGCCAATGTCTGCTGTTTCCAAGTCCAACTGCAAGAACCTGTCAACAATGTCTGACAACCTGAATAACAGACAACCCAATAAATAAGAATGCAAAGGCAACCAAGTACATTCGATTGGCTGTTTGATATGCTTACTAGTTTTTTTAAAACAAGTACTACTTGAGTAGTACATGTACCGCAAAGTGTTAAACACAAGTTACACAACCCTACCAAGGAAGGAAAAGAAACAGGAGGGAGCGGAAACAACCAATAGCAGGGGTCACATAAGGTGGCTGTGCGAGTGAGGCAGACCCAGCTCAGCCGACAGACCGTTCCGGCATCATTGCCAGAACTATCAAGAGTACATGAAAACCAGAGTGTGCAGCTCGGATGGGTTGCTGTCACGGCGGAATTCCGTGATTACATCATTGTAGTGATGTAGTGCGTACAAGCAGGATTCAAGCGGGTCTCTTTCTGCACAACTGCAGCTCAGTTGTACGCACTGCGCCATTTCCCGCCTCAGATCTGCGCTTAATATGATGTAATCACGGAATTCCGCCGTGACAGACACCCATAGCAAAAAAGGTCCCAAGCTGCACACTCTGGTTTTCATGTACTCTTGGAACTATGCATTGAGTAAAACGGTGTGCTCCTCAATGCACTTATTTACAGCGACAGTGTGGTTTCCGTCACAATCTGTACAGTATCGTCAGTGACTATTGCTACATGGTAATCAAGCTTGCCAGAAGAATTACATTTACAATTATATATGAATGGCTCTCAGTGTTTCGAGACCTAAAGAGAAGTCCTGTTTTGATGTGTGTTGCACAGGTTGCATTCTGGAATCCTAAAGCGGTCAGATATGGACTCACCGGGAGAACTCCTGCTGCGACTGCTTGCAGCTCACCGGGCGTACTTCCTTGCCGGCGTTGATAAGGTTAGACACCTGGCATGTGCAATGAACACAAGTGACACATCATACATGGTGTACAATCGTGTGATTCTTTTTGTGATATGCAGTTGTCCTCTGATAGTTTATAGGAGGTTCGGTGGGGGGGGGGGGGGGGTGCAGATGCAGCTGGCAACGTCGTCGTGTAGAAGTGAATCCAAATTCTGTCATCAAATTGGCAGACTAGCTACTGTGGGGCCTGTGAATTGGAGGAGATAGCTACCAGATCAAGTGTTCTTCCCAAACTTCTATTTGAAGGAGGACAGCGGTAGGGGTGCGCTCACACTGCTGCCAAAACACACGGCCATGTGCTCAAGCAACCAAGTTGCATAACAATGCTATACTCATGGCCTAAACACCGCGGTTACGTTTCAGATCTTGACTGTGGCCTCCAGGCAAGGAAAAAGCTGTTCCTCGTGCAGAAGAACAACTCAGCTACCCTGTCGGTGTTGGATGTTTGACTGTCAACTGAATTTTCATCCTGGACTTTGATATAATAATGTTCACTGCCTGTAAAAGCCTCGTGGTGTTTCTAGACCCTATGTGAGCACGATGATCATGCTTCATCACGTTTCTACGTGATGCCGACGCTTGCCCGCACACTACTTGTTGTACTGTAAGCACGCTCTAAGGTGATGCAGTGTAGCACTCTAGTTACAGTCTTGGTCTACTTTCTCTAGATTGTATACTAGTAGGTATCCTGGTTTTACCTCGGCACTCCTCTCGATGATTCCTGGTGACAGTCCAGCTACAGTGGCAATGTGCAAAGCATGGCTTCTGCGTGTCACTCCATCCACTAGCTGATGAAGGAAGACCACATCATCTCCATCCATTATTGTATCCATCATCTGGGCACAGCACGCACAAGTATGAACATTCTTAAATTAAGCATCTTCTATGAGCAGTGCATTCCAATCAACTGTACAGTCATGCTACATAGGAATAGAGGAACCAATGATAAGAATGGAGACATTCGGCAGTGTGGCGCTACTGAGTGGTGGAAGTATGAATCGTATTCCGACCTGAAACTGAAGAAGAGGTGTTGACGGAAGGAATCCCTGCCGAATGACATTGTGGAAATGTGTGGATGACAGCACCATGGGACAGTCCGGACCCTTGTCGGCCCAGTGTCGTATCACAGCACAGAAGAGACTCACTCCATCCATCTGTGCGCACACAAGTAGACGCATCGCAGGCAGAGCACAATGTCACTCAGACTGTGGATATACTTTTAAACAGCAACAGGAAGATTGCTTGGCAAGTTGCAGCCACTTCACTAGCACCAGTAGTAGGCAGCCCTGAGCCAAGGTCGCCACTACTAAACGAATGTCTGACAATTCCTGAAGTCCAGTGCCAGTGCTGATGGTTTGACTTTTTACTGGAACAAGAGGAGTGCAGTGGGATAGCCGAGATGACACCGGTTTACGAGAGATTGTCACTTACCGTTGCTGTACCTTTTCCGAACTCATCAATGATTACCAGAGAATGCTTACTGCTTCCTTGAACTGCGGCTGCCACCTGGATTCAACCAATGCAAAGAGGACCCTCATCTAGAAAAGATATTCAATTCTTTATTCTCACGATGGCACTATCACCAATAAGAGAGATATTGATAGGTTTGTTGTCAAATCTGGATTACCGGTATCCCCGAACGAAATTTAAATACTAAATTCTAGTGCTGTATCCTGTTTTTCATGCAATTGCCATGTGTGGTGTATGTATACGAGGAGAGACAGGCAGACAAAACAAAACACACATACACACACACACACACACACACACACACACACACACACACACACACACACACACACACATACACACATGTATTGAAAACTACCTGGTTTACATCCAGCATGAATGTGGACAGATTGACAGACACCGTCTCCAGGGTGGCGATCCGTGTGAAAAGTCTATCGCGTAAGCCAACCACTGCCGAATCAGCGGGTACAAAGCTGCCGATGTGTGCCAAGAACACTATAAGACCAACCTGTGGATGTGGCACACCAAGGCAGGAACACGAGGCACTGTTCAGTTTTGTTGGGCTGTGTGTGTGTGTGTGTTTGTTTAGCAATGTATTTGGCAATGCATGCCATTGTTATAAGCAACAGGTGTTTTGCGGAAAAAATGTCATGGTTGGTGTTCTGCGCAAGCTGATTGGTGTATGTTTGACTGGCTGATGCGATTTGTACCTGATTTGCATGGCTGGTGGGGTAGTGTCAGACAGAAGTGCTTCAATTTCTAGTCACAGGCTAGCCTGTGCAGATCCAGACCTTGCAAGAAGGGGGGCACCAACACCTGAGCATCCCGTGGTAGGTATTCGTGTTGAAATTTTAAGTGGCATTTCGTACTTGTAGATTGAACGTGCATTTTCAATCATTAAGACTGGGTGCACATGGACCCAATACCCCCCCCCCCCCCTTGGATCTGCGCTTAGCAGTCATATCCTCACTCACTTGCTTCAAATAGACACTTTTTCCACTGGCATTGGGACCCGTCAGGACTTTGATTCTGCCGGCACGCTCTTCGATGGTTGTGTCGTTTGGGACGAATTGATCTACACACAGCTCCTGCAGTGGATGTCTGCGCAGAAGGAAGATGGTGCACGGTATGCTGTAGTTGCGTGTGCATGTGCTACTGAGTTCTGCTCAATGAAATCTAGTCGGTTAGCTACCTGTACCTGTTTGCAGACCTGGGGCCGTGCAGTGCCCGGCACGAGGTCACCTACGCAACCGGGTTTCACTGGGCAGCGTTGCAATTGCAGCTTACATTGAGTGCTCTATCAGTGAAATGACTCAAAGGAGTATGCCAGGTTCATAGAGTGCAAGCCATTGCACCGAAATAGGGCATCACGATACCTTGTGCCTGTAGTACTTTATCCGCTCACCTGCCTGCCTTGATTTGAAGCATGTTGTCTTCGGTCAGCTCTGGTTTCACAAAACCGCCTTCCTTTGCGCACTGAGCCAGCGACAGAAGGCTGTGAGGAGATACAGGATATGCCACACAATGTCATTCTTTTATAGATAATTTTTGAATTCTTTGACAAATTTTCTGGTGCTACATGTACAAGTACTGTGACTACATCTGTTAGTCCCGTATTTACGGTGGGTGTGCTGAGATCACTACAGTGCCACTATCTTGTACTGTGCAAGTAGAGCTTCGCTACAGCATGAATGGTCAAGTTTGGTGTGGCGAGACGGTAATACAAGGATACAAGTAGCAAACGAGGCTGTTTACTGACAAGTTGATTCCGGGGTGTGCTGACTGCACACTCACAATGGACACTGCAGTCCCATCATCTCTGATACCAATGAATGTACAATGCAGTTCCATCATCTCTTACCAGTCAAGATCTGCTGCGTACTCCATGACATCGAGAAGTGTCCCACTGTGCTCTAGTATCACTGACTGCAGCTGGTGCATTATTGCTGTCTCTTGATCTGCAGCAGTAACGGTGGGCAGAGTATAGTACAGCAGTGCCAGTGACCAGTGCATAATACAGCAGTGACAGCAGACGGTGTATGATATAGCTGTGACAGTGGGCAATGTATAATGCAGAGTAGCAGGGCAGGGTGCACTGATGGGGTGAATGATTTTCAGGTGCAAGGTAGTTAGTTCATTAGAAATGTGAGACTCACCTATTATTTCACACTGTGTATCTCCAAGCAGGACATCCAGTTCTGGACAAAATGAAACAAAATAAACGTGCACGTGTTTAGCAATTTGTTTTGCTACTTGTACCTTGTAACAACTTGTAGCTAGCTAGCTTACAGTCCATAAAAATTTCTTTGGGATAAGCAATATCAATAGATGTACAGTGAAGGTGCTCGTACAGAGCCTCGCGTATAGCCTGTGTGAGAAGACAGTGCCTCTGGGCTAACCATAGCCGCATTGTTGGGCGTATTTGTGTTGTGTATGATGCTGGTCTGCGTGTATTGGCAACCTGTATTGAGTGTGGAGCTTACCTCTTGTACTTGGACTCTTGTAATGGGCTGTGCCATTGGAGAGAAACTGAAGACAACAATACAAAGTGCACATTGCTTTGAAGTGGAGGCGCATCCGGACGTAATACCCAGACACAATTTTTCCCGACTCTTACTCAAGCTCATGGGCAAGTCTGTGCATTGCTGACCAAGGTGCCCACTTCGATGAGACCCTATTTTAGTTCCCAGCGGCAGCTGCATTCTCACAGCTGATAACTCTGTAATCAGAACAGTCCGACACTTGACTTGATACTGACTTGCGGCAAAGGAATGTGTTTGCGTCCACACTGGACACCATGCTCTTTATTGCATTCCTGGTATTGCCATTTGACAGTCCCTATCTCCTCTACCTTCTGGCTGTGTTTCTCAGGCATGCAACTCACCATGAACTCCAATCCATCAATGTCAAAGTTGTCCTCCTCTGTGGCACCACCGGGTAGTGGAATGGATAGAAGATAGCCCAGCTGTCAAGTGATGAACAGAAAGAGGACACATGATTATTCAATTCCTCAACCGCAACAGCAGCAGCTGGAAGACAGGTTTGCTACTGATGTATGGAATGAAGGGTGGACACTTCGAGCACACTGCCCGTCGTTGGTAGTATTCAGTTGGAGAGAACAGCCTAAATGCTACGTCTCGGTGCTTGGTACACGCGTTGCTGCTGTGTTCATTCTGTTGCACTCACCTGCGGCAGGTAGATCACACTGCACTCTGTGATGCTACTGTCAAGCTGTGCAAGCTCTTGCTCAGCTACCACTGTCATGAAGTCTGGTAGGCCATTGTACGTGTTCTTCTCTGAAACAAACAGATACACACAGAAAGTCAGAAACCTCTTCGATTATTTTCTAGCCAATTTTAGATTTCTTGTCAGTGTACATGGTGGAGAATACTGCAATGCTGTTCAATGAAATCCGATCATGTGAGTCAAGTTTGATTCCGGTGTTCGCGTCTTGGGCTGCTGGCACGTACTTCACTTATGCGATATGTTCACTTAGTAGTAAGTAGTCTGTCGTGCTCGATTGTAAGTTGCACCCACTTTGTGGCCCTGAAGTTTAGCGTATAAACTAAAAAGGGTGCGACTTATATTCGGAGAAATACGGTACATTGTAAGTGAAGCATGCACTGTCAACTTACTCTCGTCAAGCTGTGGGTCCACACCAGGCTTTACTACAAATCGGTTTTGGTCAACAGACTGTCGAAAATCCACCTGAACACAGTAGAGAAACTGGTGCTGTCAGTGCATGGCAGCGGAAGAGTAGTGATTCTCGTTATGAGAATTCCGGTTTTGTATTCATCTTGAAATGTGGGCATTGAGTAGTGAAGAAACTATGGGTTTAAGTCCCTTGACTAGATAGATAGACAGTGATGTTACAATCCAGCTCTCTGCTTAGGTGCTCTGCAACCTGCTGGAAGTCTCTCTAGAACATTCAACTCCAAGAAGCGAAACTTACCACCTTGCTTATTAAACTGGCTATTTCGTAGAGGTTCTGAGTGAATGCATTTGCGATCTGTGCAGAGAGAGCACACAAGTGGTTGTAAAAGAAGGCACAGGGACTGTCTTCGACTTTCTTAATGCCCAGTCCACCTGTGACAAGTCATACACTTGCAATAAGTCGCATACCTTTGCAAAGGCAATTCATCTGTCTGGATAGACGCAATGAAACCCCCTTGGTACGAACATGCATAAAACAATATTTGGGCTAATACGAAAAGAAAAGAAGAAAATTCAGACTGAAATACATGTCTTATTGGACAAATTCCCCCTATTTTAGCACGCTTCTTATAAGGGAAACATTCCCTGGTCCCCGATTATCACAATAGCTACCATGTGTACCAGACCAGAGAGAAATAGTGATCCCCTGTGCTATTGCCTTTATACTGGCTCTCTGCGTCGGGATGACTGGTGCCATGCGTCAGTTCTTGTATTGCCATGTTCACGACAGTAATACTGAAGATGTCACAATCTTACCTTCTTGAAAATGGGTATCTGCTCAGGTAGCTGCCTGCATAGGTCGCCAATCTGTAGTGCATTGTATGCAGTCTGTGGAAGCAATAAAACAAGGTCACATATAATTCATGTGTGTACGACTGTGTTGCAGTATGCACTATGCAGTCAATATTTCAATAAGACTGCATGGTTCGTACCAGTATACTATATGTAGTAATTTGCTTCAGCCTTACCTTATACAATGCTTGCCACTCGCTCACTGATCCACTTGCCGACTTCATTTTCGCCAGGATTCTCTACGGGGAGAAGAAAGGCCGCAAGCAGTTGGAGAACAAGCTCACTTGAAAGTTGAAGTTGGCAAGAAAAAGCATGTATCTTCCAGCCCTTGTGGATTCGTATCCCAGACTTCATTGCTACCGTTAAATAGTGGCATGATGGTGCTGTTTCATAACGAACCTCGGTAACATGGAAGAGTTACTACCTATGGACTAATGCTGGTGACGGGGCTTACCGGTATGGCTTTGATATGCTTGAGGCAGGAAAGGAGAGACTGGACCACTTCTTCATTTCTCGGTTGCACCATGAAGTCGATCGCCTGCTGGCGTTCAGTAAGAGTTGTAATGTTGCAGAGTGGGCGTAGAAACCAGCTCCTACGAAATCAGGTACAGTGCACAGCAGTTCTTAGGTACACCTTCAGATATACATGCACATGTACTTCCAAGTAGAAACCTGATGCATGCTAACGTAGATGATTATTCACTTTACATTACAAGGGTAGAAGCGATCTTGATACTAGTAGTTGATCTACATGTAGATCACTCTTTTGCTTACCGGTAGCAATTGATTATCTGCCTATACCTGCTATCCAACCGCTATCCAACATTGTCAGGTCTACACGAAAAGTCGCCTGCCTCTCTTTGTCAAATATTCCAATTCATTGCGCATGGATGGAAGGTTAGCTCTCAAAATAAGCAATGTGAATGCAATCCAGGTAGAAACCGCAATTGACAATAGCAAGCTGACGATGGAATTGAGATCAAAATCTAGAAACATTGGAAAATGCACAGTACCTGAGTTTCTTCATCCCGATTGTGGTCCTTGTTCTGTTCATTATACCTGGAGAATTTCAACCGCCATCATGACATCAATAATGCAGGTCGTCTTCATAATTGCTGGAGACATGGTAGGGGAAAGCACTTTAGACAGCCGAGGGGGATGAACACCCGTGGAGTTCAAGAAATCTTCATGTGTTGTATTCATCGCCATAGTATCCAAATAGTTAACACCCTGTGTCCCATCAGGGTGCAGCTGTGTACAGACCTACATGGCCATTGTTCTGATCATCCAAGCATGCCCTTCTGTGTGGTCCACAGGCTGTGCAGGGTAGCCAAGCATGCGATGCACCTGTCGAAAACAGCAGGCTGTTCTACATGTACTACCTCCGACAAGCGAAACTTGGCGCGTTTTTTTACTTCAAATACTAGAAATAACTCTCACTTTACAATCAAAACTAAGGATTGACTCACCAAAATTCAACTTTGTATTGCTCAACAAGGACAGTAGAGACATCTGTTCGGCTGAATCACTCTCCTCTGATTCAGAGATCGCAGTTTCGTCTGGAGAGGAATTGTTCCTGTTTTGAGACCAAAGTGCGACTAGAGCGGATTCTGTTGCAGCAAGTACCTCTGTTGTAATCGCTCTGAAAATCTCGATGTCGCTCCTGTGTGCTGTGCTCGAGCGACGGTGTCGAGGGTAGTCGTTTCCGCCGCCACCCCCCCCCCCCACTATCCAGGTTGACGTGCTAAGAACTGTCCAACACCTCCACAAGCGCCTGGACTCGAACTGTTTTGCCGGGTATTCTCGCCAACTGCCCAAAATTGCCTGTAGCAATTCCCGGCGATTTTCCTTAGCCACCAGAGACGCATCGCTCTGGTGGCTATTGAAAGACGCTAGGATTGTTTGGGATGGACGTATGGACTCTGTGCTGGCGGAGTGACCAAGTGGAGAGAGAGAACTCCTTGGTTTTCCATTACAACGCGAAAGCACGACGATTCTCCTTCGCAGAAGGGACGCGCGCACTGTTTTGCTGGTACACGAGAGACTGGCTTGCCTCTGAGCCATGTGCCACTCAACAGCTCGTCGCTTGGCTTCCTGCAACCGGTTGCATGGAGCTACAAGTAGGTCGTAGATCTACGAGTGCCTCACAGCCTTGTGAAGTTGTGGTACCAACACAAAAAAATCAACAACAAAAAACGCGCCAAGTTTCGCTTGTCGGAGGTAGTACCTACTTAGAAAGAGACCTTGAGCAGACCGTAGGCCGTCTACAACATTGGAATATCAGCTTACCGAACATAGACAATCCTTCTTTGCCTCCTCCCGACTTGTACACGGATGGATGGGTCTCATTGCTGAAGATCTGCAATGCCCTGGACATGCCATTCGTCATGGACATTCATACACAGAACATGCAAGTGGTTTGCATAGAGTACAGAGAAGCAGCAAGCGAAACCACTGCTCTTTCAAAGCAGGTTATGACTTGTAGTGAGTTCAATAGGCAGCTTTGATTAGTGAGTGTTGGGACAAGATTGGGAGGAGAGAACAACCACCAATAGTGTGTGCTTTGAGCCTGTTTACATGCAGGGCATGCATCCATAAATGCATACAGAAAACAAGGGTGCTGATCTGTCAAACCATGCATTGTACAACCCTGCGAGCTACAGGTAGCAGTGGTGTGGTCTGAGAGTAGGTGATGGCATACTGCCTGAAGTCCGATGACTGATGTACTCACCGGAAGGAGTTGTTATCCACGAACATTGCTGCACCCCTGCACACATGGCATAGGACAAAAATTTCTCGGAACCTTTCTTTTCACTCGCTCCTTTCAGAAAATAGTTTTTATTACATCAATTCATGTAGGATACACCCTTTAGATGGGTGTCCATTTACCTTCTGGAGAAACCGTAAATTTATACACTACTGCGCAAATCAGTGCAACACGAAGGCCTCCTAATAAAATTACATTGTATGTTGGTTTATAACAAGTTGGCTGAAAGGCTTCACACAATGAACAATTTTCAATACCCTGGTTGGCAGAGGGTGTCCAGTCTACTTGAGGTATGTGCTACGAGTGGACCCAGGCAATGTGACCCTCAGTCTTAGACTTACACAGAACAAACCTTAAGGGACATAATGGGTACGGGAATGTGTGGGTCATCCAGCTCCACGCCGACTCTCTTTCGATCCAAGTACTTGATCAGAGCACCACTTGCCTGTACCTATGCATGTAAACAAGTCAAAGCCGATGCCATCATAGTTGTTGTGCAAGAAGAATCCACAGGCTGGATTTGAACCCAGCAGCCCCATCTCCCAGCTATGCTTAATTTGTGTGGCCAAGAAGCTAGTGTATTTGCTGTCCTTTGGAATAAATGAGGTGGAAAACATGGGAATACATGACCTGCTTTCTAATGCATGACTCACCATGTTGATATTGTCCATGGGGACTAGTGATGTCATGTAGATCATCCTTTCATCTTCAGTCATGTCATCTTTCAAGCCTGGCAGTGTGGTTAGTGTCATCAGGCGGCGCTTGCTTGCTTGCAATCCTTAGCAACAGCAGCAGTAAGTTAGCACAGAATCTTGTTTTTGTATTACTTCGATCTTCACTGTCCCAGTAGTCGCAAACAAGTGGGGCAATGAGAGATTTTCCTTTCTCCCCTGTGTTGTGTGCTATCTCTATTCAAAAGCTTGCTAGTAACAAGGTTTTCCCTTGAGAAAATATATTGAGCAAACCCACTCTGGAATAATTTGAGCCGCTCACAAAAAAAGTTACTTACCAAAGTCAATACTTGGCAACACATCCAGCTTGACTTTCAGGTCTAAGAATCAAATTTGAAACATGCACGAGTGTGCACACACACACACACACACACACACACACACACACACACACACACACACACACACACACACACACACACATGCACAAAAGTCCAGAGTAAGTCAGGGTTGGGTGCTGGTAATTTGCTAAATTTAGAGTGCATTTATATCCGTATTTTACCTTTCAAGTAGCGCTGAATATTCTCATCCTGCTTGGAGCTGCAGATGACGGTTGTTGGCTTGACCTGTGTTAAAACTTGTACAGCGCATACAAAATAAAGTTTATGCAGCATCCTGCACATCTCGCCGGCAACCTCAGAAAGGAAGCCTGAGGTTTCCGCACTTCAAAAGTGCCTTGATTGCAAATAAAATGCAACCTCACAAATAACTGAGCAGAGTTCCACTCACTGCACAGCTCAGTGTTAGCACTTAGTAGTGCTAGGGTAGTGCCGCCTGGAGCTGCTGCATTCACGAGGCCGCAGTAACAAAGAGCAAAATCAGCTTCATGCCAAGCTTATGCGTACTGGTGGGTTTTACTGTGCTTCTCGAATGACTCTCTGGGCAGTTCTAACAAGTTACTGCAAAGCTAATTGATTAAGCCAACAAAGGCGAGCGTTAGAGCTGATACGTACACGTGGCATTGGATCATAGTTTATCCACTCACTTCCTTGCATGCAGGCATGATCAGCGTCCTCTGCAACATCAGTGAAGACCCTCAGCTGCAGTGTGGTAGTATCAAACACTGCTGCACCAAGCTTTCCGCCCGTGCACAGTATGCTCAAGTAGACCTGTGAGAACAAAGGAGAGACACGCATACAGTACACATCCACACACAAGCACACACGCACACACATACGCGCACACACACCTCAGACCTCAGACCTGCCCATCGCAGAAGCAATGATAGCGAACAGCTATGCTAGACAAAACAACTAGTGCTGGGATTACACCATTCAACAGCTTGCAAGGCTGATGAATTGACCGCCACTAATTTTAGCCTGGTATCCACCACACAGCTGATTGAAGTGGCTTTTTCTGGCCAGTGAATCCCTATTTTTCATTTTATTTTCATTCTTTTTTCCTTTTTCGACACACACACACACACACCACACCACATACTCCGGCATACACTGGCTGTTGGTAACCACCCAGGAGAATGAAAGAAGAGCTAGGAGAATGAGAAAGAGAAGAAAGACGTGTGCGACCATAATCGTCGGGAATTGAACCCGCAACCTCTCGATTGGAAATCGACTGCACATACCACTGCACCATATGGGACACACACACACACACCTTTGACCTTTGACCTTTGACGCCCCATCTCCAGTGGAGATGATAGGCTACTGAGTTGGGCAGTACTTGATGTGACGCTTCAAATCGCCACTTCTCCTAAACGCTCTGCCGCATGCGCAATGAAAGTCCTTCGGTGCCGGGGGAGGAAGACGATGTTGATGAACCCGCCTGCGCCATTCCGGGCGATCTTGTGCGAGCCGATACCACTCGGACTCCGGAATATCCAGCGAGCGCAGATCACCGACAATCGTGTCTCGCCAACGCTTCTTTGGCCCATGCCGTGGTCTGGTTGCTTCGAGCTCACCAAACAACACTTGTTGAGGAATCCGGGCCGCGTCCATACGGGCAACATGACCCAGCCAACGCAGACGGTACTCACGCAGGAGAGCGCCAATGTCCTCAGGAAGACGCGCTCTCTGGGCTAGATCAGCAGTATTAAGATGACGGGAGTGCTGATCGCTCCTTGAGACTCCCAAGATGGAACGGACACATGAGCGATGAAACAGATTCAGGCGATTCATCTGCCGGGCCTTCATGGGCCAAGTCTCTGCTCCATAGAAGAGGGTAGGGAGGACAATGGCCTTGTAGACAAGACGCTTAGACTTAATGGATAGGCCGCTACACCCGAAGACACACACACACACACACACACACACACACACACACACACACACACACACACAGACAGACAGACACACACACACATACCGGTACACACACATGTGTCTATTATTAATTTTGAGAACACCCTGGGTTTAGGCTAGATCTAGATTTCCCTCCCCCCAGAGGGGTGTGCGGAGTCTGCTAGCTATGGCCATGTTCAATACTGGGAATTGTGTTTGTGTAGCGCAGCAGATATTGTTGAGCGCCAAAACGCTGCTCCCAACGACTGCCATTAGTTTGCACTATCATACCTCTTCCATTTGCTCATTGTCATCTCCATCAAGCTCAAGAGCCTGCCCGGTCTGTATTTCTGCTATGTCAGCTGCAGACATGATGCCATCATCATCCAACGGCTCAGCAGGATCGTGGGTCATCTGGGCTCTTGAAGAAGGACGATGTGTTCCACTGCTACATCCAGACGAAGAATCACGTGGATCTGCATTCCACCGTCGATATGGGGAGAAGCGACGGGAGGATGCACTGCCGACACTCCCCGGCAAATTTTCTCTCGCGTAGTCCATGTCCAATCGAGCAAGAACTTGGAAGAACTACATGCATGTGCAATGGTCTCCAGCTTTCCTTCATCAGGATCGCAAAGGAAGTCTGCCCTTGTAGATAATAATAATAATAATCTTTATTTCAGGATTACCCAAAGGCTAACGCCTACAGATCCCTTCCCGTCGAGACTTGCAGCCTGGTTGACCGCAGGCAGACAGCATTCTTCCTAGGAATGGATAGAGGCAGAAGAACTAACTTCAGTCTTCAGTCAGTTCGAGAAGGAGGAAGGAGGCACTTCGTCCTGCGCTGCTGCACGTGTGTCGGTGTTCGTGACGCTGCACTGCGCACCGAAATCGCGATATCGTGAACCGAAGTCCAAAGGTCACGTTGTGAACTGGCCAAAGTTCGTTCATAGAATCGTAGATCTACCATGTACTGAATGATGTACTGTAAAAGCAGAAATTTTCGGTGGTGTAATATTTTCGGTATTCGCCAAAATCGGCGGTTCGGTAGCGGGAAATTTTCGGTGAAACCCGTTCTCCAGGTAGGTGTACTAGTACTACATGTATACAGTATCGGTTGTACCGAAAATTTCGGTGCGTTTTATTTTCGGTAAAAATTGTTGGCACCGAAGTTACCGAAAATAAAACACCACCGAAAATTTCTGCTTTTACAGTAGATCTACCAGGCCGTTGTCGTCTTGTCGAAGTACCGGATCGGATCGTAGAACTACCGGTAGCAGCGGTACATAGTAGATCTACTTGCTTAGCGGAAGTACATGGCATGTGCTACATGCAGGGGCTATTATAGTACATTGTAGTACATGTACTAGTAGTAGGAGTAGGAGTCTACCTTACTGCCTACTGGTAGGGTGTTCGGTGCCTCGAACCCAGGCGCATTTTGAGTGGAAACAGTTTTGTACGGGGTCCGTGGCACAATCGTACATCACTGTGCTTCTTGCCTTGGCAAGGTAAAATTTTAGCAGCTCAGGACGAGTTTGTTTCTTTGTTGGAAAGAGGAGATGTCTCTGCTGTTGAGACCGTAAGTCCCGTTTCCACACGACGAATTTTAGCAATGTTACGCCCTGCGCAACTTCAGGGTATCGATTTCGGCCTGTTCTGGGCCGGTCGCAACGCCGGCGACTATTCCATCGTCTTCAGCGTCGAAAAACTACGCAGTGTGTGAAATTTGGAGGCTTTTCGATGCTGTCTTCTTGTTCTATGAGCGATCGATTTGCGCCAGAATACCAAATGTATGGAGTACATGTACGTGTCATGTACATGGAGTTGATGGACTTGGCTGTAGTGTTGTTTATTTGTAGTTTCGCTGAGCTACCGCATCAGATAAGCCTCTGGTCGCTGTATCTGGAGAGTGGAGAAAGCCATTGTGCAGACAAATTGGTCAAGAGCAGATTTCCTGCCAATACTGCGTTCAATATGCAGCTGAAAATCTGCACAGAATTGACACTCTGAGGATTTGCAAAATTGCAGCGCGCTAACGCAGTGCAGCTACGCAATGCCGTATGCACCGTGTCTGGAGTACATTGTCATCCACATAGCATGGGCAATGTAGAACCAGTGTATTTGTCGACTTTATAATTTACATCCAAATTACGCTTGCACAATCATCCGATAAATGAACTGTCTGTTGATTGTGCAAATCGTATGAATGAATTACATGTGACGTGCGACACCAATTGCCCCGAAGTGCTACACGCGCCGTATATGACGGGGAACAAGTTGTCCTTCTAAAGCTGATGATTAGCAGGACTGCTGCTGCCTTGGCCTGGCTGAAGCTTACATCGTGTTACAATGGTGCAGCATACCTGTTAATTGGCTGCATGCATCCGGTCCCGCGGCGCAACATGCCCGGGTGCGGGTGCCGTCTCGGCTGAGTGCGTATGCTATTTTCTTGGATGCTTCATCTACATGGGGTAGATAACTGTAATCTCCTCCTGGTGATGTGTCTTTGTAGTACCCGTATTCCAATTAGCTTCAGCCTGTGAAGGGTTACATCTTTCGCATTTATTTCGATTAATTTGTACGCGTTGCTATGGTGGTTGCTATGGGCGTAATTTGAATTTGGCTAATTGGAATACCAAAAAAATTGGTCAAGTGATGGAAGCTCTCTATTGGCTATCATCTGTGGAAATTTGAAAGACCCTGAACGAAATTGATTTTCACCTTGTTCTAGTTGGTTTTGAATTTCCCGGTTTTGTGCCACTGGCCTGCATCAAAACTGTTCCAGAAAAAGTGCCAACAAGCGCACTTCAAACGATCATAACTCTTGAACGTCTGGTCGGATTTAGACAAACCTCATATATTTCCCGGCTAGTTTATCCTACTCTTTCCAATGAGAGTAAAATCGAGGAGATCGGAGCAACTTTCAAAATCGTCCGAACACCCTACTACTGGACACAATACTGTTATACAAGGTCATCAGAACCATCTACGGCCCTACACAATCATGTACTGTGATTATGTAGGCTAGAGTCGGGGAGTCGTATAAAGTAAAGAATTTGAATTTTCTTCTCTGGCTTCCTTCTAAAACTGAAAGTAATCATTCCAGGATCTAGGAGGGGATCGTGGTCGGGGTTGGGATAGCTAGAATTTGAATTTTCTTCGCTGGCTTCCTTCTTCTTGGCTTGCTAATAGCAAGAAGAAGGAGGAGAATTTGGTTTATACGACCCCCTGGCTAGAGCCGATGGAGTCGGGATGAGGCAGACAAACTAACTTCAGTCAAGCCAAGGGCAAGGAGAGTGTAAAGATCTAAGCAGCTACAACAGTACAACTACAACGACTGTCCGGTTACCGGTTGTATGTCACTAAAGTCTTGTTAGTGGGACGGTCACCATGGTCACAGTACAGCCAGTGCAGTGTCGATGTCACACAGACTCACAGTCACAGCTGCCGCCAAAATGAAAATCAGAAGAAGACTGTTCGTTGCCGCCTTGTTCGAATAACTCCTTGTCGTGTGCATGCATACAGTCGAATGATTATGTGGGTACTACGGCCGGGTAGTATTCGGTAGGTAGTAGCTAGCGTTCCGGCAGTGCAGTGGCAGTGATCTTGTCAGCGCCACACACGTAGGGCACGTTGACTGCTGCAAGCTGTCACTGCTGTCCTCATCCTCCGCGATCCGACGGGTACAGCCAGCGTAAGACTGTCGAGACGACAGCGCCTTTTGAAACAAACTATTTCTGCAATTACTTACCAGTACGGCAGTAGATCAGGATAGACCCGGTACCCAGAGCTACATGTAGAGCTCCTTCATACGGTGGAGATCAAAGAAAGTAATTAATTTTGATAGCAGGTAGCTATAGGACGAGCACCGCAGAGCTAAGTTGCTATGCCATGGTACTCGTGAAGTAATGGCCAGTATCAATGGCCACCAACCTCGCTGATAGCGACACTCTCAAGCGTTTGCAGCTACGACTAACTGCACAGCTGTATGGATAGCAGTACTGTCTGCACTTGGAAAGCTAGTCTGAGCACTGACTCTGTGGAGTGTGGTTGCCTGCTCGATAATATACGCCGGACGTGTTGATAAAGTACAAGCAGCTTGCTAGCAGCGCTACTGAATCTTTCACATTATCTTTCATCACCACAGAAAGACTGGTAGGTGGCTCACACAGTATTAATTTCATAGCTGTATAATAGTGCCACATTATCTTTCATCACCACAGAAAGACTGGTAGATGGCTCGCACAGTATTAATTTCATAACTATAATGGCAATCGTTGGTGCCGTTATTGACTGTATACATGTAGTCCACAAATCACGGACGTGTGAACTAGCAGTTACTGTACTTTCCTGCACAAGAGTTCTACCCTGCATCTGTGGCAAGTCACAGTGAAACCCAGACCAATGAATATCATGGGTATGCTTTCGGCTAGTGGTGTGCACGGGTAGTCGGGTACCCGTGCTACCCGTGAGGACGTCGGGTAGACGGGTACAGAATAGTGCCCGAAAACCCGAAGTCACAGATGACATTATGTACAGTGCACATGTACAAATTCATGTAATACTCCACATGTCTACCCAGTGTGTAAGGGAAAGGGTGCATTGTGGTGCTACCATGGAAACATTACCCAATCAGGTACCCGTGCTACCCGTGGAAAACTACCCAAACCCGATACCCGAAGAAAATGCTACCCGACTCAGCCCTACTTTCAGCACGAGGGAGAGACACTTTTGATTGACATGCACCTTGTGTAGAGTGTGCAGATGCAAGGTAAATCAAAATCGGCGTCAACACAAGTAGTGCCTGCTGCTGCAGAGCCAGGCCGGCAGGGTCAGTAACACGGTTGAGACCGTGTGTGGCCGCTTGGTTGAAAGAAGTCATCCACATACACACTGATCTGCACTGGTTGAGACTGGCTCCATTCATTTGGTCGGTATGAACGCTTATTCACCTAAAGCCGATCCAATTCAGGTTGGATGCCCTAGCTCAAAAAGTGGTGTCATGTGAAGTCGTACTGCGCTGACACATAATCCTATAGTAGACACCGAGGAGTACTAAAAAAACGTTTATTTAGTACTCCCTGGTAGACACTGTGCAGATACACACATACATAATCATTGGTCCAGATTTTTCTTGCCGCGCCTGTAGCTGCTAAGCTGTCAAAATGAGATTTGCAATGATTTACAAAACATTTACTCTCACGGAAGAATTCATGCGAATTGTTCATACACTCTACCTAGCGTGATCATCAAAACCTACAGAAGAACTTGAACTGTTATCACGCGGGATCTACAAGTAGAGAAACCGAGCGGAATCTGAACAATGGAATTCTCGCTTTTGCTCTAGAGTACAGGAAGCATTTGAGCAGATTTGAAAATGGAATAGAGATTCCCATGGGATGGAGAAATTTCGCAAATCTCAAAGATGTTCTGTACTCTTGCCAGAAACCACAAATGTGTATCATACGAGTGAAAGCTGAAGTCCGGGCACTGCATAAAGAAATTCCTAGAGATTCATAGTGGTCGCTAAACCTTTCTGTAGTTGTAGGGTGTGAAACAGCTGATTAGCCCATGATGACAGTCCGGTAGCTTTGGCGAACATTTCACTGCGGCATGAACTGATGTGGTGTTATCTCCTTTCTCCGGCTACAGAAACGAGGGGAATATCACAAGATGCGTTCGGCAGGTCATGGCCAGCATCCAATGACACTTGGGAGCACACTGCAAGACAATGCTGATTCTGACAGCGAAGCCGAGCTGGACAATGGCCACAGGGAAACCTCGAGCCACACTAAACCGATGCCGATGCACCGAAGACAGCTGATACAGACCAAGTGGCCAGCACTGGATCTTCTCCGCAAGCACTCTAAAACAGTGGCCCCAAATGAGAAGGACTCCGAGCATTCCGTGCAGGTTGCACGTAAACCGCCGCGCCGTAGCGCAGGAGGCGCGGAGACCCGTCAAAAGCTAAGCCAATGGCGAGCACCCTACTTCAAAGGGGTAGGATTATAAGTTAGATAATATCTGCATGTACTGTATGTACTAGTGTGAAGTAGCAATATACATTGTAGTGTAAAAGAATTTCATTCCACCATTCCTGGAGTGCCACTTACTACACAGTGACACTGCATCCTTAGAGGGCGATATTGCGTACTAGCTTGATGAAGTAAAATATAGGATACCATAATATGATACCATATTATCATACCGTTCACCGTAGGCAGACTGAATAGAGTGCAGGCGTATGCAGAAATGATTTCTTCCACGCTATCCTTTTGCTTGCGTCCCAGGCCCCTGTTTATAATCTGGCCATGCGCCAGCATAGTGTATCTCTGCTCTGACTTGCGTTCTCTTCGTTTCAGAATTACGTGCATGTTGGTGAAGCACTGGGGCAACATGTTGAGCGCAGTCTCTATGAGTTCGGAAAAGCCGGTGCCACCGCTAGCACAGAGCGCATCCTTGACTCTAATGGCAGTACACCGTCTGGGTTGGAGAGAGATCCGGACATGATTGGCGATGATGTGGAGGGCGAAGGACTGCGACTGCAAGGTGGTATAAAACATGGCCATGTCTTCAAAAACAGGTAAATCGCGAAAGGCAGCACATCCCATCCGGGGTGTACAGTACTCGTAAGGCTTAGCTGTTTGTACTGCAATGTTCGGCTTGGTCTGGTAGTGTGCAATCCATGGATTTACTAGTGATAGTGAGTTGGACAATCAACCATAAAACTGTTATCATCGTATGTTTGGGAGGCTATGTGCATCTGCCTAAAGGCTGATACTGACATTGACTCGCGTGTTGACATAATACTATGCCAGTGGCTGAGTGAGTGAAGCTTCCTTTATTCTCCGTACACACTCTATTCTATAGGTATGTACTTGCTACGGTCATGGTCATACGAGGCATGGGAGTTTCAGGGGCGCTTCTGGATAGCTGAATCCAATGGTAACTTGACTTGACGGTGCGATTCTTCTCCTGTCACAGGGCTCTGTCATGTCATCGGAGAGCAGTATCTGCACCAACAATTTCGACTTGCCTGGGTGTTTGCTCAGGTATGTAGTGTACCCCCATACGTTAACAGTTTATGCTCGTGAACAGTCGCTGCTCTCACATTACCCATACAGGATGTGTCTGCTGGTCACTGGGAGACAGGAACGTGTATACCGTTGTGTGCTGTTCATCTGTGTGTTGCAGCGTCAAGTGTCGGTCAAGGCACACGCACAGGGCGACCAGCTCGACTGACATCATCATCCTGTGTTGATGCCTACAAACAGAAGCCACTACAATCTTCAGTAGATAGCAGAGCATCTGGAAAGGGTAGCCTTCGTGTCGAGTGGCGCAAAGTTTGTAAAAAGGTGCCGGAAGAAGAAAGAGAGCGTGATCCTCCCAAAGAGATGTGGGCCGATAAGCGGCAGACAAGTTCTGCAAAGACTTCCATGGAGACTAGCCCTAACAACAACCAGTTGCATAGGAAGGCCATCATCGACCACCCATCCATACCGGAGGTGCCCATTTTTTCCGCTCACAGAACAGATGCTATCAGCACCACCGATGAGAAGGATCAAGGAATTGATCACTTCTACCCCAAGACTCAGTTATCCGCTGCCCATCAGGGTTTCCGCGTTCGCAACCAACCACGCCCCTTCAAAACAGGACTACGCCCGAGGCAGCTTCCGGGACATTCTTATCAGGCACCGGAGAAGGCTCTGCCAAGTGTCCAAGTTCAGGCATTCAGACGTCCCAAGAAACCCAGCATTACTAGTGGCTTCACCCCACCAGTTGTTTCACATGTGCCAGAGCCGGTGTTCGTTGACGTGTCTGGCCTTCGAGCACCGCATTCCAGTCCACGGATCAGCAAAGCCCCCACGAAGTCCGCACTACACTCATTCAGATCCTAACGTTGCATAGCCATGAAACGATAAATATGACTGCAAATTCTGTTCCTATCCTTGAAGTCACATCCATTTTCACCTGGTAAACCCGGCTTTGTTTTCATCTAAATACGATTTAAATACGTTAATCTGGCCATATGTCTACCTCAGATAATATTTAAATGAAATATTCACAAGCAGTGAATGGCTGAAATTGTCTATTTGTGTCACCAAGCAAATCAGTTGTGAATCTGTGCTCATCTAGACTATAGTTTGTGAGTGAAGTGGTTCCATCTGAGAATTTGTAATCGATGTTCTGCACTTCTAAGTCTGTGGGAATTGAGGCAATCAGCAAAACGGAAACATCTTTCACATGCATGTAGCTTTCTGTAGCGTGCTTACGGAATATTTGCTCCAGCCGATTTGCCACTGGCTGGGGAGCCATATACATCTAAATGGAAATGGGTACAGTCCGATTGTACGCGCTGTGCATCCTAATAGCTGCCTGCATGTCAGTTTCTGTTTGCTGCATATCTTGGAGCTTTAGTCGCTGTCCAACGGGCATACCATACCGCACATGCATGAAAAAGACTCATTGGTTAGCATACATAATGATCACACTCTCTGCCCTTGTTACAAGCAAGTAGCCGTGCATGCCGGGACCCAGTTTACATGGACAGCGAAAGTAATTCGTGTGCACAAAAAAAAGGGAGGGGGCATTTCTACTTAGAATCATTTTTAACGTTACGCAGCAACTTACCGGTACGCTGTCTACTTTCTGAGTACTGGTAGTTTGAACGTGCATTGACTGTGTTTGATGCGCAGATGACACATTCCCACTCCAACTGAATACAGTCACGAATCACAATACTGCAATTGTATAAGCCGTGTAGGCGCCTCATACAGAAGTTCCATACTAAAGACATGCTTCGGAGACAGGAGGTCCGAAACAGAAGAAGCTCATAAAAATCATTAGTTCACAGACCACACACACACTAAAGTTCACAGAACTGCAAATCGACGAATACTGACCGCACAGCGGTACACCACATATAGTTACTGAAGAAGAAAAGTTTAAAAGATGGGGCAACAGCAGGATGTGCTAATCTAAAGGCAAATACTTTGAGCAGCTGGTGAGCAGGTATCTAAAACAGAACGGTGTTTAAAATAAATAATCCAGATCGACATCATGATGGGCTGTACTGGTGAACTGCTAGACATGTATATGACTTTAAAAACAGGTAACACTCAAAAAAGTTGTAAACATCAGCAGAAAACAGGACCATATTCTGGTAGGAATTAGAAATTGTAGATGTACAGAACCTCTCATGCAAGATCAACTGAAACTGTATTTTATTGCAGGGGGATGAATGGAAATGTACCAATCCACCGTAAAAAGGGCGTGACACGACATACTATCTGTGAAAATGCCACACAAATGAAGACAATCTACTGCTTCATACAATGAAACAGACCGCACGGCAGAGAAGCAACACAGTGTACTTGACTACAACGGACCCGGCCTGTACGTGTTCATCAGTATCAGACAGATCCACAATTCTCCCCTGCCAGCACTGACCAAACTCACACATAGATCTTTGCATAGTGTTGACTAAGAGGACCAGGCGACAGGACAGAGATGAACAATAACACCATCACCCGTCATGTCTCTCATAGCAACACTGATGCATCTGGCGGGGAGTAGGGTGGAGTGCTCACCTCTGAGTTGACATAATCAGACAGCAGCGTGCGTGCTTTATCAAGGATGGAACCGATATCATGTCGGCCCCGCAGCTTGTCAAAATGTATAGCGATGGATTCCTGCACGAGGTTGTCTTGCATGATAGCGTTACGATGCTCAAGGAGTATGGCTAGGCATACAAACATTGTCAGAGGGCTTCCATACGTTGAATACTCTTCACTGACTTGACTGGACGAAGAAGGTCTTGCTTCCTGGGTGCTGCCCACTGCTGCATGTCCAGTGTTCATCTCAATAGGATCACTATGCACTATTGACTCCGTAATGGGTGCGGGGGCCACATCCGCTTCAGCTGCATCTATGTCCACAAGCGTGTCATCACCGTCTACTTCGACTCTTGCTGCAGGCTGCACGTGTCGTCTTCCTCCTCCCACAATCTCTATTTCCGTTGAATCGACAACGTCCCAGTCAGACGGCGTACGGGAAGATTCTACACTGGTAGCACCAGCCGTGACTGGAGAGTCCTTGTAGTCGGGATCAGCAGCCACTGCTGCCTGCCCATGGTGGGCCACTAAACTCTGTGTGAGACTCAGGTTGGTGGCATCGCGGGCCTCTTCGACTGCGGAAATGGCACGCTGACGACTCTCGCTGACTTCATTGACGCCACTCTCCTTGACAGTCGGTGACAGGGTGTCGATAACAAACCAGCTGTCGCCGGAAGCGGGACCGTACTCTCTCACCGTCACCTCCGCACCGGCTGATCTGCCATGGGCAGACTGGCCCGGCGGCACAGAAACCACAGCCTCAGGGCTTAGACCACGCGAGCCAGGTGCCGCTGCCGCCTCTGGTGATGGACTGTGTAGGCTGGTAAGATACTGACTCGGCGGTGGCAGAGTGGACCATAGAACTTCGAACAAGCGCATCACGTCAACTTGATCAAACTCACGCTTGAGATCCAACAGCAGCCAGCGGTACGTAAAGAACAGGTCTTCAGATTTCGTGTGGCATAGGTAATCATAGAAGACTGAGTCGAAGCGCTGCAGGAGTGCCATCAAATGGCCCGATTTGAGAGCGAGGCCCTCCGGTGTGAAGAGAGACCGACTGCAGCGCATGAAGCCGTGGAAGGCAATGTACGTATCTACCTCGTCACCACCATACACCTGCAGCAAGATGGCCACGATGTCGTTGAGACCTTGCACATATGACACCACCGGATCGTTAAGAGCAAATGTCATCAAGATGTTGAATAGTGATTTCAGATACGGGCTGTCATCATCGCGGAAACACTCGTTGCGACGGTCAGTCCGGATGACATCATTGTCTATTGTGCTCATCAGCGAGCGGATAGATGGAGTGCACTCGGTATTCTTCCAGGCATTTCTTAGCTCAATGTACTCCCTCCGGCGTTTTTCCAGAAAGGTTTCACGCTCGTCGCTGGTCAAGTGTGGTGGAAACACATAGAGGATGTGCCTCCATGCCGACGGACGAAGGTCACCACTCACACCGCCGTGAAATACCCTCAGGCGAAAGTCAGCCTCGCGCACCACGCGTCCTCTCTGATCCAAGTACGACGACCATTCAAAACCCTGCAAGGGCAAGCGCTGCGCAAGGCCATGAACGGTTCTCGTGACCTGATTCATGGGCTGACGCTGATGCCACTGAAGCAGGCGTGCGAACGGCAGGTCGCTAATGGAGGGCAACTGGCGCCACAAGCGCACAACGTCCTTGCTATCCTCCAGCAAATCCCAGCCGTCACCGGAAATTGGAACGGATATACTGCGAAGTGATCGAGGTCGACTCATGGACAGGAGGTCACCTAGTAAGCGCACAGACACACACAGACACACACAGACACACACACACACACACACACACACACACACAATGCCAGTCTGGCAAGGAAGCAACATCCGTACGCAACCTTTTAAAAGATTCGAGATACAAAGCAAAATATGTAAACGCCTTGGATCAGATTGCTCATTAGCTAGAGTGAACACATGACTGCAACTCAGTTACTCCGTAAACATTCTACGAAAGAGAAAAAACTGAAGACAAGAAAATTGCTCTTGCACAACACACAACCCAATATGTGAAATGGTGAAGAGGTAAGTGAAACCTACTCCAAGCGAATACCACAATAGAACACACAACAAAAACGAGAACAAGAACAACAGCAGCAGCAGCAATGAAGTGAGTTACATGTACAAGTATATGTGTATGTACTTACCACCTAGATTTTGATGGGCACGGACATAAAGCTTAGGTGAGTCACTGACACCGGTGCTCATCACCGCACAACTAAGTTCCAGGTCTGATGTCAGCATCTGCTGGCGGTACGGATTGATGGAGCGCATGGCCAGAAACTGTGGACTGGTGCTGTATGTGCACACAAACTGACTACACCACCAACACCAACACCGACAGCACCAGCGCCAATACCGACAGCACCACCGACAAGAAGAAGAACAGCAGAAACACAAGTAACCATTACACTGGAGTAGGTAGTATGCATTGAGCCATAACTAGTAAATACAAAACAACCAGTCCATGGTGTTGCATGCTCTTATAGTAAAACAGTATTAGCATGTCCTCTCTGACATCGGGCCTACTAAACCCTTAACTCAGGCTGGTCTGCTATAGCCACGGATTAGATGCTAACAGCACACGCAAACCATAGTGAAGGGAGTAAGAAAACAAATCCCACAGCCATTGCACAAGTGCTTTGCCCCATTGGCCAGATCCATGCGACCCTCATCATGCCAAGTCGTGAGTTTGCAAAATGACAATGAGTCACAGCACAAGTAGAACATCCATTCATCAAGTGTACGAGTATGGAACATGCGAACGCCAGAGGCAGTCCAACCACCCTTCTTTATAGGCTCTGACTGACATCCAATATGGCATGGGTTGACTTTTTCTCTCTCTCCAAAACACATGACCCACACACCCATTTAAGCTGAATTCTTCTCTTAGCTACACGGTGGTACTTACTCCAGTTGAAGGCAGCGAGAAACACGAGATTGGAAGTCGGCAAACGTCGATTGACTAACATCGAAGTCAAAGCTGCAGGTTTTTGACCCGTCTGCAGGATAAAAGAGGGAATTGCTGAAAGTTGAGGGAAACAATACCCTGGCAAGAACAACATGACTGTGCTGAGCTCTTGCTCCCACTTGCCTTGATGTTCAATTTGAACATTTGATGACGGGTCCATCAAAATGTAAGTAATTCAGAGTTACGGACATTTCAAAGTTACGGGCAGTGCCCGGTCCGGGGGGGGGGGGGGGGGTCACCCGGATAAACGAGCTATGAGTGTGTCTACTACCTGCATGTACAGCAGTACACGTGCTAAATGCTGGACCACTATGTCGGCTACATGCAACAGCACATGTGCAAAGTCTTCGATTACCATGATTATCGGCTACTGAGACCAATCTCTTTTGCCAGCTGGTCGCTCAGTGCGCACACACTGCGTACTCACATCCAGTATGCACGACCACTACAGCTCATTGGAGTACGATCCAGGTGTAGTCTGCAGATCTGATGGCCACTGAGTATGTTCACAACTGCACAATCTCGAATACTAGTAACTGTTTTATCGTGGCCTATGTGTACAATGTTCATGTAGTGAGATACGTACTATGATCAAAAAATAACTGGACAAGTAACTCACCATCAGACACTGCATGGACTTTCACCACCGCCTGGCTCTCGTTAGCACGCCTTTGTACATCGGACATGCGTCCGCTCTCCGTCATTGCACGCCCTGTATCCGGAACGCCAGCCGTGGTTTGTCCATGGGTTTTGGGGCGTCTGCCACGAATGTCGGCCACAGCATCCATGGTGTCAGTACTCATTCCCTGATGCAGGGATCCAAGGAGCTCAGCTTGGTCAGCAGGAGCTACACACATGAGAGATTGGCCGCCATCAGCACGTTCCATTGCATTCGAGGTATTACAGGCGGAGAAAAAACAAGCGTCCCCATCCATTCATTTCTTGATTCTGATCTACATTGCAATACTATTTTAGCTAAGATTTAGAGTAAGAAAGCTAAAGAAGGCACTATGTAGTTGAAGAAGCCAAAGTAGCAGCATCCACATACAGGACTCCAGCTCTACTCAGCTGAAGGTATGATCGTCATGTGATGCTGCCTACAAGATGAAAGAGGCCGGCGAGCGGCGGCAAGCGACGTCCTCACTTGAGTCAGTTGAGACGCACTTCCAGTAGAACAAAATCCATAGAGCAAGACGTCTACAACTACGATTACCAGTGCTGCGAAAATAGTTTGGGAGTCGGGAGATGCTTTCAATCTAGCATCTGGGGAACATGCAATCATTTCGCGTGCTTTCTTTCATGATTTGAAAAAAAAGTCCCACGTGGCATCGGGGCGCTGCCCTGTGAAAACGTGGGTAATAGTACATGAACCCGGGTACGGGTGCGAGTACTACGGGGTAGATCTACGAGCTCGTACTAGTCGTAGAGCTAGACTAGAGTCGTACTCGTAGATCTACGGGTGCTGACTGGCGCGGTCGTGATGTGCATTGTAGAATCTACCCGGCGATATCTCACATGATTAGCAGCTAGAGCAGCTACATACACACAGTTTTTTACCTGCTTTGGGACAGTTGGTGGTTTCTTGCCTCTTCGTAGATCTACGTACTGTCTACTGTAGTCTTGGCGAAAGGCAGATACATGTATCATGGATATGCCTTCTGATCTCATATCAGCGGTAGGGAGGATCGTCACGACTGAGTTGCAATCTTGGCAAGAGCCTGTCCCTACATTGTGGCAGAAAAAGATTCAGTCCTCCATGTGGCCGTAGCAGCACAGCTAGCCGTGACGGCGTGAGTCCGTGACTGAATTAGTTGTTCAACCTTGCAACATCGACCACGCAATGATCGAGATGATACGGTCAGGGTAGAGTTTCAGGAAGGAACAGGCACTTATGGCTTGTGAACAGGAGCTATTGACTCAATACGTACTTGGATACAGACGCGGTCATGCATTGCAAGAGCCATCATGAGCGCTCTCTCGG